TTAGGTACCGACCACGTACAGATGAAAAAAACAAAGTGCCGACATACTCAGAAAGCCGATTTTATGGAAATGGTGTTGATAAACATGACCAAGTTGGTGCTAGTGAAACAGTGAGGCTGCTTGATTGATTGAATGAGCAACGCAAATTCACATTAACTTAAATTGCTGTTTGCCCAGTACCAGTACCAGTACCAGTACCAATACCAACAACAACCTCAGCAGTACCAAGCACTAATAACAAAGGTAACAGTTTTCCAACGTGTCCATGGTGTTTAATTAGACACCGCGTAACAAGGTGCTAAATGGCAAGCAATTATGATGAACAACCCGCAGGCATGCAATCCACTCATCGTCAGCACTCCAGCTCTGACTACCGTTGTTGTTGTTCCTGTTGCTGTTACTGTAGCTGTTGCTTTCATGAATGCACTAACAGCATTTCAGTTCCAGGCAGACGCATGCATGATCAACGATCACAATCGAAAATGTAATTTTCGAAAGTGTCAAGATTTATTTAATTTCCTGCGATTCGCTCAAAAGTAGGTTTTTGCGTTTTCGTGAAGTTGTTAATGATGTGTTAAAACAATTTGCATTGCAGTCTTGCACATATAAAAACCCACAAAATTCAACATTCAACGCAAATTGATATGGTGTTCCTTCAACTCCAACAGCAACCAGTGATCGTTCCTCTTCAGCGATGCAAACCTTTATTAAAATATCAATTTTGCTTCAATGAAGGGAGAAACGTTACAGAAAAAGTTTTACTTTAATTAAATATCCTTAAAAAATAATTGTTTTCGTTGAAAGTTGTTTATGTTGCATTAAATTACATGTCCCGCAAAAGGTGTGAAATCCAAAAGTTAAATTTTGTTAAGTCGACACCGAAAATCGCACTTTTACGCCACGAATTCTTAGCCCATAACATATATCATACATTCATACACATCAAACTTTCAATATATCGCCAATTTCAATTATCGTTACTATCAATTGCACCTCACTGATGAACATCGAAACTCATTAGGTCACTCTCTGCAGGATCATTAGGTCAGGATATAGAAATATTGACGTGAACGAGACGACAGACGAATTCGCCAGAAGAGACTCTGCGATACATATAAACCCTATTGTGAATTGTTCCGAAGTGGAATTCGCCATATTTTGTCAAATAACTAGTGCAGTAATCGCGAATGCTGTGAGGTTGCCAGAACTTTACGGCCTAGATTAGACAGAGATATAACCAAAAATCATTTTAGATTCGACAAATCTCTAGTCTATTTACTTATTAGTGTACCATCAAGCCAGTGTGCCATTGCACTGATGCTTTATCAATGGCATATTCCGCAAGTAGACCGTGCATGAGCTACAACGATGAAGATGAAATAGATACCATTTATTTGTTTCTATGTTTTTGTCCAGAACTACAGATGAAACGACTTTAGTGTTTAGTGCCACATTTTTTTCGGTAGTCTGACTGAGATAATGAAAGTAAACGCATTGAATCTACTCAACAACGGTTAGTGTAACTCGCATTTCCCAGGCAACTATTAGGGCATCACAATGGGCAATAGATATCTCCGAGTAGAAGTTATGATAAATAACTTACCAACAACTTCTATTGGAAATAAATCACTATATTCTATATATTTCTATATTTAATATCCAACGTAATCCTAAACATATCAGATTAATATTAAAAAAAGACTAGATACTATTTGAAATATAAAACAGGTGCCGCTTCCCGGTAGAACAGGACTCAGTTTACTAGTAGGTTACCTGTTTTGTACTACCATTCCCACAATAGGTGACCGAAGGGACCTACTCCTACGTAGAAGGGAATAAGTTTCTATTCATATTTTTTTTTTTTTTGGATGTCTGGCATTGAATGTTTTCAATATGGTTAAAGTCAAAGTAGTTTACCCGTAACATTAGACACTTATGTCACTATGCTTCCAGTTTTGAAACAGTTTTATGTATATGGACAACACTTTTCACCTATTGTTGAGATGCGTTGGCATATAAGTGTCTTTCTGAATTTTCAAAACAGTGGCTGGCGCAAAAGATGAAATAGCTCAAATGGGAGATATAAAAAACAATGAGGCTTGATTTGTGATATGTAAAATTAAAAAAAAATTTTCTTAAACGTATTTGTTACGACTATACATAAAGAAATATGCATAAAGGAAGTGTATATAATGCATATAAGTTATATATGCATATAAGTTAACATTACGTCCAATACACGATCAAGCTACCAGTTGCTAGCTAATATATTCCAAATAATTGGAATACATGATAGCACAGGATTACTGAAGGATTGCAGTTTAATTGTACGTTGAACATTAAAAATTTCAACTTCTAACATAACATAATTTCAGTTGGTTAAGGTGCGCTGATTCTGAGCTTCACATTTGGCAGGACCCGAGTTCGATTCCTGGTACTTGCAATCTCAAAAATAATTATTTACGAATAATTAAATACAAGAATTATTTCCAAGACCACTGATGAAGGGTATTTGGCAATACTCGAAACAGCTGTATGGTCAGCCAAAAATTCAATTAATTAAAAATAATATAAAAAAAAAAAATAAATTTTTGTTGTTGTTTCACTTCTGTTCGAAAACCTCTTTATAACATAATTTCTAAATCCATTAAGATAAAAGTATCACCTTTAACATCAATATAAATGATGATTTAATAAAAAGACTCTTGTATACAGACAACGCTAAAAAACACGACCCCCCACTTGAAGTATAAATCAACCAACCTAGCAAGTCTCTAAAATTGGTTAATTCTCTACAAGATGTTTATTTACAATAAAGGTGAAATACAGATTCGTTTTTCTCTGCAAAGCCATAAATACGACAAAAGCAATTATAGGATGGAACAAGTGTCATAGGTTCCCTATCCCTATTACACAATGACCTATCATCACCGATACCACAGTGTTGACCAGGTTCCGCTTTATTGATAGTAGCTGACCGGTACATTTCCTATTCACTTTAAGATAAGTATATCTTACTATCTGACAGAAACTCTCATTCGCCTAGATGTTTTTAGCTATATTCACATATTTTTGTTTGATTGCCAGCTTGACCGTTGCAAGTGGCATACCAATATCAGAGAAATGAATGTCAAACTGCAAGCTCATCTGCTTTCCAGTAGACCGATATGTTCCTGTATCAATGTATACACGGCGGAAGCCCGGCATTTCTAACCTATTAAAGACGAAGCAACGGCGCTTCGTCTTACCAAAGATTTGATATCAGCATAACTGTCCAAGAAGATTACGTTATTAACACCGAGAACAATATAGAAAACAAATAAACCTTATAAACATTTAATTATATATTGCAAATACATATAATTTAATATATATGTAGTTCAAATTATGTAATATGTTAATATATTTACTTACAATACATATAATAGTGTATTTACAAAAATAAATGTTTCGGCTAATATATTCAGCATCAACTTTCTTAATATCTGTGATTCTCACCAAAACAAAGCTAAAGAATCCAAAAATCTACAATTATATTTAGTTTACAATTTGCTACAGATTTCTAACACATGATTAACAATTTTCATACAAGTCGATTCACTTGCTCATCACAAATTAGTATATATACACATATATTTTTGAGTATATTGCATAAACAAATAAACAATAACTAATTATGCCTGTTATTATAAATAGAATAAAAGAAAACATGGAATGAGGACTCCGAGTAAGTCGACACACAAGTCGCACACTGGAGGAATGTAAACCTGTTAAATCTTCATTCATTCACGAAGAATGCCTCATAGTCTCCCTGGTAGTTTTAGGCTGACTTCGCCTACAAAATACAAAACATTGAGAATTTCGCCGGGTTTGTATCTGGCAAGCTTGAAGATAATGGAAAAAAAAAAGAAATTTTGGTACTTAGTTCTTCAACTATTATGTGTTGATACATACTTTAAGTGTTTTTGTTGTTGTAAGTGTTTGGCTTCTTCATTAATCGCTTTGGAATTATTCATTTAATGATCTATATATTTAAACAACTCGCAGTTTTCTTGTCTGACACATTCAACTAGTTTTCCTTCCTCTCTACTCCATTACTATACCTTTTCTCACATTATTAAAGAACACATCGCTGCGGCAATATTTCAACAATATTGATTAATATATTATAATATTTAAAACTGAAATGAAGGCTTGAAGTATGAGCTTCGAACAAACACATTTGGAATTATAAAGGCACACAACTTCACCTTAAAATATACAACATATTTTTTAGCACGTACATCAATTCAAAACACCGAAAAGTATGCTTAGTACAAATATCGTATAATCAATATAAATACGATCTAAATGTTACGGTATTAATATAACTGAAATGTTCCCCGGCAGCACAGACCGGTCCGTGTAATTATATATATTTCCAGGTACAATGAATGCTTTCAATACTGGTTTTAAATGGTATTAAATTTCATCAGAAACAAAGCATCTATTATTTATTTAATACGATATTATGTAAATGTTGTCGCATCGTGAAGAATGGTAAAAAAAAGTTTTTACCACAAACAGAAAATAGTCGAATTATAACATATTACCATACTTTTAGTGAATTAAAATGCATTAAGTAATTTATTTACCTTCCTTTCATTTTAGAACTTTTTTTAATATATATTTTCCACACAGTCTAGTCCCAAAAACACGATTAAAACATGAAGCAAATGTACAGAAATAACGCAATAAAATTCGTTGTCAAAATTTAGCAGCACAGCGTGAATAATAAGGTCAATAACCTTTTGCACTTTCTACTTTCTTACCTTAAGCATCATACGCCCGCATCAGATGTGCTCTTCTCTAAAGTAGATACAGCACATCACATCGTACGAAAACCCGTCTTGCTTGTCTTAAACTCTAAGTAGGTCTTCGGTTCGTACCAGAATCTGTAACTTTCAAAACAAATGTCTTCCAAAATTTTCATGTTTATTTCATGTAGATATAAAAATTTTATACATAAATTTCTTTCCATTCTTGAGGTTATAAAAACTAAATGTAAAAATTAAATGCATGAGCCAATGAGGTTTTTAAACAGGAACTAAAAGAAGTTCGTTCATTTTGATTTGTTGACACATTTAAACATTATTATTCAAAAGTTTTACTTAATAAGTGCATGAGTAATGATCAACGTTATCCCTGAACATGCAACACTGCTTATATACTAGGTAATGAATTTCATTCGCAATTGTTCATTTAAAGCATCCTATCGATCCAGTCGGATACATTGCTCAATTCATTTGCTTTAGCAGAGCATTCAAAGAACTGTATATTCTGCTGCAATTGTGTGAACTCGAAGTCCCTGCCTTCTTTGCCCAGGTACACAAACTTGGAAGTCTCATTATCACCCACTGACTGCAATTTTCTACTACGAGTATCTCGCACAATGTTTCTATACAAAAAAAAAAACAAATTCGAACTTTATATATTCCAAAAACTGTTGAGAATTCTTACAATTCCTTTTCTAAAATGGCTCTAATGACTTGTGCGCTTTTTGCTGTTGGCAAATCCTGTTTGTTGCATAGCACTAGAAACGGACACGACACGGTCGCCCCATCACACAATATTGTATATAAAGCACTGTAACATTTAATTTATCAATTATTCACTGAATTAACTCTTAATCTGCATTATTGCAATTAGTTTGTGTTTCACATACTCACTCTGCAACATCACGAATTTCTTTTTGCGCAGTCACTGCATCCACTACAAATATAATTCCCTTTGCGGTACGTTTATACTGATCAAAGTATTTATCCCGCACACGATAGTGTCCAGGTATGTCCACTAAACGGCCTGACATGCGACCAGAAGTGTATTCTCCTACATTTTCCGTTGTGGATGTAAACGTGTCCGGGAACTTCTTATACAGCATTTGCATGAAAATAGCGGTCTTACCGGATTCACACAAGCCTGCAAACATGAAGTCTCTTCGAGAGGAACCCCTTCTTTTCAGTATGACAAATATAGCTGAAAAAAAAAAACCAGTTTATATAAAAGTTTGTCTAAATCTTAACAGGACATTGTTTTACCAATAATTACGAAGCCTACAGCTGCAGCCAGGAGAATTGGTGTGTAGTCAATCTCCGACAACTTAATAGGCACTTTCGTTTTTGTGTTTGAGTCTGCATTATCCATTGTCATTTACGTTTCATGTAAATTTATTTATGATACAAAATTACTATTACACGCTTGCACCATAAGCTAATTTTAAACAACTTTTTTAATTTCCAAATGAACGTGACACGCAAACCACTTTTATAAAATAAATCGCCTAGCCAACCTATATTACATTTGCCAGTGTTGGTAAACGTTTTACTGAAATTATGAGAGCGTATGCATATTGTGATTTAATGCACCCTACCATTAGCTGCATTTCAGCAAAGAATTATCTGGATCTTCTTTGCTGAAACAATACGGATCACATATGAAAGTAATGTATCAGCATCGTGTCATACATGTCAGCTCTGTTTTTGTTTTGATTTGTATCAAAAATTTTGTTGCTAAATAATAATCCAAAATTTTTATATATAAAAAATCTAAGATATATAAAATAATATGAAATCTGCTATTATTTACTTTAAAACTTAACTTTAATTCTGTAGTAAATAAATGAAAATTGCAGGATTTAATAGAATCAGCGAGCAAAGGTGAAACTAACTCTTCCACTCCCTTTTTAAACACTAGTTCAAGTGCATTAAGTTCATGGGGATGAAATGCATCAACATAGAAATATTGGGAATTTTATAGTTCAAATTTGAGTAATAATTAATAATTTTACAAATAAAAATAAAGCGCTACTTTTTTCGCCATACTTTATGTTTTCATTTATTTTGATCATATTTTTACTGCACCATATCATATGGTAAAGTCCCATTGACAACGACAATATACATTCCACTTTTATTTTGTACATGTATTCCACATTGAACTAGAATGTGAATCAGTTCAATTCGCTTAACACATTTTTTTTTAATTGCTATAAAATATATTAGGTCTGTTCTTCGAGCTATTCGTAATAAAACGCGAGTAAAACACAAGTTAAGTACACACTGAGAGGGTAACATAAATAAAATTCCAGATTATGCTCTTTACACAATTTTTCATAAAATAGCTTTGTTGAAAATCTGATGGGAACAGCTGTTTTTTTTTTTTGTGTAAATAGAAAAATAAGAGCGCGAAATATATTTAAAAAAAAAAAATTTTTTTTATAATATTAAGTGCAAATATTTTTAAATACTTTTTATTTTAATAAAGTGAGTTAGAATTCTGTTTTCAGTTAGTTAGAATGAGTTGGAATTAATAAAATTGTATCTTATGTTATTATTACAGACATAATGAAGGAAAGAAAAATTATTGTACCATATTCACCAACAACTTTTCTGCAATTGCAAAAAGCTAAAAAATTGTATTTACACATTGTTAATCACAATTATTTAATTCATTTTTTAATAGATGATGAATTTGTGTATGAGGTTTCGCAGCAGTTTTTTGCTAAAGAGGGGAATTTCATAACTAGAGAATCAAAAAGGCTTCACAAGTTGCGAAAATGACTTTTGAATGTCTTGTCGTCATATTTCGAAACACCATCTTGAATGTAATGTTTTTCTCGTTTTCTTTTTTCTTTATATAATAATAAATTTACCAATTTTAAATCATCATCACAGTCATTATCTCGTAATATATTAATTACTTTATACTTTGGCTTTGTTGTAATACTTAGTTCACTTAACAAAATATTTATTCTGTTTTTATCCACGCAAATAATCAATTCGAAAATTTTAATTCAAACTAAAACAACTGTCTGTGTTACATTTTCAAATTTCGACAGGGATTTTACACTCTCTCAGATGTTCTCATTTACTCGATAATTTGCTTGTGGAACACATTTGCATAGACACTGAGTTACTCGAAGGTACTACGAGTGGCTTGTGGAACAGGCCTATTGTAAATGCTCACATTATTTAATGTTTAAAAACTATTGTACATTATTCACTTTCTAACACTTTCTATTTCCCGCTGTTTGTACTCTACGATGCAGTAATTTAAGTGATTGGCAACGGCAACAGCTGTTTATTATTATTGAAATACATTGAATCATGCACTGCACATAGCAAGGCTTTTATTACATTTTACATTATTTATAAATTAAGATCAAATAACAATTAAATTAATTTTTAAAATATTTGAAAAAAGATGTCTAAAGTAATACAGCGTGTTGAAGTAACTTTACGCAGTTTTTACATATTCAATTCAAGTTTTGGCAAAAAAGAGGGCGAAGTAAGAGTTCATTTTCAAACATTGATAAATAAGAAACTTTTAATATTAACAGCAAAAATTGGTCAACTTTTTAATTTAACTAATTAATTTTAATATTAGGAACACAAAAAAATCCTTTATTATCACCCAAATGGTATCGAAGAAAACACAAAAATTAAGGATGTCGGCTTAAGTGAAGCAATAATTGCATTTACAGAGTAAGTCAGTCTGCCTATTATTAGCAGACTTATATATTATATTTATTATATAAATATTTTTGTGTTCTTAGAACATTTACTTCAGATAATGATTGCAAGGCTTTACATACTCAAAAAACCACTCAACTATTTTATCAACCAGAAATTGACTATTGGTTAGTTATGACTCTAAATGTTCCAAAAGAGATTCGCTTGAAGGACGGAGTCGAAGTAGCAGATTACCGTGGAGGAGAAATTAATGATAATATTTACAGCAGTATTCTCACTCAATGCTATAGAATGTTTCGTCTTCTCGCTGGTAGTATCAAAATGAATTACGAGTTAAATGGATTAACAAACGACGAAGCTCGGGAACAGCTACAACAAAAATTAGCAATATTCTTTGACAAAGTAAATCTCAATTCAACTGTTTGTTATATTTTCAAGATTTATTTAATCATTTTTAGTACCTAAACTCATTAAAATTACCTGCCTGTGATATACTGGACACCATTTGCTCTATACAGTATTTACCTCTAGAAAAGTCGCTATTCCTTCGCTCACACAATTTCATCAATATGGTTCGTGCCACATTCCTCAATATTAGTGATATTGTATTCTTCTACAATGAGCAGGTTGTTTGGTAAGAGTTGCTTGTATTTTTGTTTTTAAAAAAAATTCCAACCAAACATTTCCATCCATCGTTATATTCTAATTAGTAGTGGGAAAATAAACGCCATAGATTTGTACAGTCTACACGAGTACGTAATGGGAAAATTGGTACCAAAGGACTCTCAGAATGAAGTAAATAATACATTATTCACACGCAGCAGCAGTACAACATCGGAAACGAATCGTAATGGAGCCTTTGTATCTGTTACTGATAACGATGAAGACAATTCAAACCCGACCCAAGTATATTTGCTCAAAGATGATGAGTTAATCGCTTATCGATTGGTTGTTTACAAAGCAAAAAACGCGACACTATGCATACTCATTATTGGTAAATATTTATGAACTTATTAACAAGCAAGTGTGTGAAATATAATTCAATTTTTTTTTTTAGATAGTGCACCTCTTCAGAACGATTTCAACGAAGAACTGCATTCCTATATAGGTCCGCAACTAAGCATTATTGCTCGTGATATTGGCGACAAAATAGCAGAAGTACAGAAAAGTAGTGTTCATACGCCAACACCAACAACCAATAATGATATTGATACAGTTGCACCGAAATATTTATTTGTCAACGAACAAAGTTTGAAACATTTAACAAACATAACTGTAGACAAACGACGACCTAAAATCAATCCTACTATGCCGTTAAATGTTCTAAACATTGTTGGAAGTCTTATGGAGGGCAACAGAAGCTATGCGTCAACTACATCATCCTCATTTGAAGAGGTTTTATTAAAAACAACAAATGATTTTTGGATAGTTAAACGCAAATGTAATTGGCGACAATATTTTGTAATAATATTCAATAGTAAGGCTACTTTATTAGATGTAACGCAAGAGGCGAAACGTATCTTTGAGCAAGAACTTACAGATGATGTATTTTTTGACAAATAAAAAGTATAATCAAATATATAAATGGTGTTTTCCAACTGAAGCGACGCTCATTTATCCGATAATTTTTTTGATACAAACGGTTTTTTCTATAACAGAGCGCACAACAATCGGTGGTGTAATCTCAAGCTAATATGGTCGTACTAGAAGTGTCGGTGTTGACATGAACGCTACTGCCATTGCTGCTACCTTCTTCGCGTAATTTAGTTACAAATATTCGACGATTTGACATGCAGATATTATACCAGTGATCCTCATAATTAATGCAAATACTGTCACAGCTATTTTTGGGAATAAAATTCTCATCAATGCTGCAAAAATTCAAATTCATTATTTGTTTACTAAATGATAAACGAATAGACAACACCCCAACCAACCTTTCTGTCATTTTGACTAGTTCCATTATAATAACAGCACTCTTTTCGTCGTTTTCCATTTCTCCACCAGATTCTAGAACTGCACCATCTTCTTTTAAGATTAAAAACCCAACTTGATGTCCTTTTTCCATTTTTTACGTCTAATTTCTTAATCTGACTACATAAACAATCACCCTAGCAAATTATAGTGTTGCCAATTCCTTTTTTATATTCATATGTCTAGTATCACAATTTCTATATTAACAATAGAAATATAGATAACACACTCTGTTAGTCTTTACAATTTTTTGTTGTAGGTATTAAAAAACGGTTTTAAGTTCGCGAAGTATTTTAATAAAATTTTTTGTTAAAACCACTTTTAGCATAATAAAAACAGTTCAATATCGCTTAAACTCTTTAATATCTATCTGAAAATGTACTTTTAATTTTTGATCGTTATATCATGTTTCCACTGCAGTTAAAACTATTTATGAAAATGTGATTATGATTTAGTCGTTTTCATTGGTATAAGAAAACGCAGAAAATTCAAATAATTTAATATAAAATATTTGTGATATTGTTCACAACATAAATACAGCAATAGGTGCATAGGTGCGTACTGAAAACAAAACATTGACTTTCTGAACGCTTGTATAACACTTATATATATGATTCATATATATACATGTATATATATATATATATATTTATATATATATTATATATATAAATATATTATGTATATATCTTATATACCCCTTACATATTCAATTTATAAAAACAAAAATTTTATTAAATAGCAACTTTTCCAATACTTTTGTTTACAGCTCAACTGTTATTTGATTACATATTACATAAAATTTATGTGAGAAATGATTCAAATTTTAGAAATTTTCCTTACGGGAAATTTATTTTTAAAGGTTGCATTCGACATTTTCGCCTTAAACTAGTTGATTTATTTATAAAGAGATTATTTATGCGAAGACTTTTTATATAGTAAATTACTCTTATTAACGGCCCTAATGAACATAAATGATCTGAATGAGATCAATGGGAACATGGTACTAGCACTTTAAAAATGATTTTAAGATCTCACTTAAAGTAGATTTAAAAACTTATATACAGAGCAGTATTTTTGAAACTGCCAAATGAACATATGTTTCTTAAATCTTATTTGTTTTATATATATATTAAACATTTATATAATTTTTTGTATAAAGTTGTTTTTTCCATCTGCAATTTCCCTATGAAAAGGTAACAAATTAAACATGCTGTTGTTTACCTTATATAAGAAAATTTTAAATGAAACTTGTTTAAAACTCAATCAAATAACTACCTAGAAAATTTTTAATTTTATTTCAAATATATAAAATTACACTACAGTAAGGGCCATGTTATGCAGAGTGTCTCGGGCACGGCATGAGTACAATTGTTGTTGTTTTCAATGCAAATTTTAAATTTGAGAATGAGAGAAAAAACAATATGGCCGTTCAAACTCCGGCATGAGAGCCGGCGTATTTTTGCCCCGGCACTAAGGCAAAACAGTGTTGTTTAGTAATAAATTTTAAAATTTGCGCCTTTTAGGAGCAAACTACTACAATTCTAGTACGTTTTGGAGAAAAAATGGCAGTAAGCAACATAGCATTTTTTTTATAAATCGCTAATAATATAATTATTACACTTTCCGATTTTAAAAAAACGCGTAAAAACTGTTAACAATTATTATAAGATAATATAATAATAAATTAACATTATTATAGCCTCTATGAGTTTTTTCATGCGAGTTATTTTTGGTGGCAAATTGAAAGTGAGCATATCTAAATTTCCTTTTAAATTTAGGCACAACCAAGAAGTAGTAAAAATACAGATTGGCAATACTGATGTGACACTCTGCATAACATGCATTTTCGGCATAGCCCGAAAGAGCGTAATTTGCCGTGCCCGAGACACTCTGCATAACATGGCCCTAAGACACTTCTATATATCCATATATATATATATATGTCAAAACGAAATCGTTTCGTTTTTTATTATCACAACATAATTTAAATCTGAGGAAATTAACATGGACGCTAGGCATTTTGATATACGTATTTTAGTAAAGAAAGGGGCACATATAAACAACTCTGCAAAAGCATAACACTAAAATAGAATATAATTTAAAAACAAGCTCATTGATATTTTTCTAAATTTTTAATTTTGGATAAAAATAAAAAAAAAATTATTTCAGTGAATATATGAATATCTGTATTTGAAAATGTGAACGCAAGGCACTCACTATTATTTTACAGAAGCCATAGCAACCCTGTTCTATGTGTCAAATAGTTCACACTCTCCATTTTGTTCATTCTGTAAAGTGCTCTTGTTTGGGAAAGTTCGATTTTGTATGGAAAGTTACATATTTTATAAAGTATAAAGTATAAAAAGAATATATAAAGTAAAATATATTAATATTAATTGATAAAAAAAGTAAGTGCTATTAGACAAATTTTGTATGATTTATTGTAAAAAGTTTAATAATATTTGAAAGGTATTAATGTAAAGGTGTACGTGCAAAGTATAAAATTTATTGGGTCATCGCCACACCCTCAGTGAAAAATTGTTTTGTAGAGGATTAAAAAGTTAATTAGTTTATATAATTAATTATTATTATAGAAATATGTTACTTTTTGTAACTTTAAGCAATATATATTTTGCAAAATAAGATTTCTGAATGAAAATTATAATTTCTGTATCCAAGTAAAGAAGAAATTGTGCGAAGAGTGTGAAAAGAAAATCATAAAATCATGATTTTTCTCTTTCTCTTGCCGCTGTTTAATTAGATTTCTACAAAAATATGTGGTGGTCTTCAAACAATATCTGATTAGATTGGTAAATAAAAATAATATAATATTAAAATATATAACAAACGATATATTCAATTTAAATAAACCAATTACAAGAATAATTAGTATTCGCGTTGGTATGCAGCATAAATGTTTAAGGTTTAAAATGTGAAAGAGTGTTTACACATAGCGCCGATACTTGAAGTGTTAGGATGATTACGTCATCCAACTATTTTTAAAGTTTTTTCATTCATACCGTACGGAAAGCTATTTTTTTTTTTGTTTTTTTGTATTTTTGTTTTTATTTAATGTTGCCAACATGTCATAAATACTCTATGTATGCTCTCACTTACTTTTGAGAGTTTTCTTTCTATCAAAACATTAGCATAGGGTATGGTCGTTGTTGTTGTTTCTGTGTTGTGAGTTGGATCAATAATTGACTTAATGACTTCATTTAATATTTTTTTAATTTTTAAATTAAGGCAAAGTCTGATTTAATAGAAATTAAGTACTAAAAATGTTTGAAATAATTCAATTTGGTCAAACATTTCGTAATTTAATAAAAAAAAACTGGTGATGTTTATAATTTCTGTATAAGAATAAGTTCATATTAAAAACATCTCATTTCAATTAAAACTATTAACTTTTAAAATGAAGTCTATTTTTTTATATTGCAATCAGAGTGGGTAACAATAATTAATTAAATTAATAGAATTGAGAATTTATTAAATAAACAACACTTTTAAGTTTATTTCAAAAATATCTCACCTATTCCATATAAACAGCTATCCCAACAAATTTTACTTTTTACTAGCAAAAACAATTGTATTCAATTTAGTCTAGTTAAAAAATTAAGAAAACACAATATTTCACTACATACTACATATGAATTCCCCTGTCATACTGCATAAAAATTTATATCAATTGCAAAGTAAACCTTTTTCAAAATATTCATCAAAGTGCTTCATCAAAGTCAAAGTGCTTGCTAACAAGACCAAAAATTTCTGCAGAACACCCCTGCATAGTCGTTTTCAATATTAAAAGTTATTGACTTATTTTTTATATTTTTAAACTGTAATAGTAATTAGTAGTTTTCATATATTGCAAAAGTAGTATATATAATAAAAATGCTTTCAAACCGATTGTAAATTATAATTTAAAAAATATCATTATATATATATATAGCTTTTAAATTAGTGAATGAAACGAAGTGAATGTTTTAATTTAATAGTAAACTGTAGTAGCGATGTAAAACAAGGTAGTTATATATAGTTATATATACATTAATTCAAAAATCAGTTTTGTGAAATTTTATAGTAATATTGTACAATAAAGATTTTATTACGATCATTCATACATCTCTTCATTTAGTCATTTGCTCATTTATGTATAACTAAATTAATTAAATAACAAGTAAAAATACAAAATAGTATTATACGCATTAGTCGAAATAAAATAAATTAACCATACGTAAATATACAGTTTTATTATTGTTGAAAGTGATATCATCATTCTACGCTAACTCTGTTCACTTGAATATTTGCATTTTCTCTTAAACTTCCTTTACAGATACAATTTCATACAATTTTGAGACTCTAAAAAGGAAATATTCAATCTATAAAAAATTCTACCATCATAAATTAAGCCATTAAGTTACTGTGTTACTGTGTACGTTACAAAAATGAGTGCAGCAGAAGGAAAATTAAAAGCACTGTTAAGTTTTAAACTTGAGCTCGAACCGTCAATGGCAACAGCATCGCATACAAACACTAACGATATGTTTACTAAATTTTTCTTAGAACAGTTCAATACTACGACTAATAGTGATTGCACCTTAAAAGATTTTGCTACATATTTTATAAATGCAATACATCAACGAATTGAATCACATTTTCAACACAAAAACGATATGGATTTATCAAATTATCAAACACCGAAGAGAAAACCAAAAACTGATCAACATTCTGTTACACCAAAGTGCCTACTCTTTAATCAAAATCAAAGTACACCTTTAGCGAATAGAAAAGGAACATCCGCTAAAAGAATTCAATATGATGCAACCCCATCTTCACCTCAATTGTCTCTGAATAGCACAGCACAAGATCAGAGTTTTGTAAAATCTATTCATACCTCCACACCTGTACGATATGGTACGCCACAAACTCCACAATCGCAATTAAAACGCTCCAATAATAGTTTGACAACTAGTGAAAAACGTAATCATAACTCATCATCTAGTTTGTGCCTAGGTGACTTTCTAACAATCAACACATCCAGCAATTCTCGTCAAAGAAAAAAACAACAGCACTCATCACAGCACAATACAACAGAAACTCCTAATACTAAGCCAAAAAAGCGTGTAGTCCCAACTACAATTTTATCTCGAAATTCATCTGGACAAACTGGTACGCCTTTTGGCATAACGAATAGTTCGTTCAGTGATGAGAATAACATGCTTAAGATGCGAGTTTTGGAAGTAGATGATAGAAGTAAATGTTCAATTCTTGAAGCTAGAAGATCTTTAAAGCTAGGTAGTAATATTCCAAATGAACTGAGAGCAAGTGAAATAGATGAAATCAAATGTCAGTCTGCTGGTGATTTAAATTTCTACTCGTGTGTAGAAACAAAACTGAAAGATGTCACTGAAATTGACGAAGTCTCAATTAACGCCGAAGTGCTTTCACCAATACATTTAGAAAAAGTGACCGACCGAGGTTTATTAGAACGGTTAGGAGTTATTTATAGTTTATTGATTGAACTTAATTATGTCACCAATGTTTTAAGTGAGATTACCTTGTTACTTAATTTGCTTAACAGCAATGAAAGTGCAGAAGCTACCATTGATGCACACATACAAAAATTAGAAATAAAAGATGACACACTGAATTTAGAAATTTTACGAAATTTTACTAATTCAATTTATTTTGCACTTTACGTGCTCAATATGCAACGGCCAATACTGGGATTATTGGATATAAAAAGCTTGGGCGTCATACTTAGTACCGAACGTATTATAAGTTTAGCCGACGACCTTCAACTATATCTCAGCAATGTCTATGCTGAAAAGCAGCATTTAGATGCCATAAAAGCAGCTGAATTGACTACTTCAGTGAACGCAGATAAGTCCTTTAAATTGGTACATTATCAAGCCAATAAAGATTCAAGACAAAACTTCAGCTCAAACGATGATTTCGGTGCATTTAAATCGCAACGTGATTTATTTTGCAAGATACTTAAAATTTGGGAGGAAAATCACTTAAAACCAACCTGGAACTTATCGACCGGAATTTCTCATAGTGTGCACGAAATATTTAGGCTTTCTGAAAGCGTTGTAAATATAATGCATTTTGCTAAACTTTTTGTAGATCAATTACTTAAAACGTCTACAGATTCAACAACACCTGAAGAAGTCGGGCTTGACAAAAATCTTGATAAATACAGCAAATTAACACAACGTTTAACCGCTCCTAGCAATTTCAGTGCTGAGTATCAATTCCCACGCCATCAAGCATTTTTCCGCGATTTTATAATTGAATCACGTTCAATACCATTCACTGAACAATTAAAAATAACTCTCTTCTCCGAACTAACTTCTTTAAATAACTCAACATTTGAGCATATAAACTTAAAAGATCTAGATAACGATATAGATGCTGACACGTCGACAGATCACAATACACCTAATGAATATGTAGTGCACCCAGATGTACTAGCCTCCATGTTAACATTGGCGAAATTCTTAGGATTTGTAACAGCATTACCGTATTCAGCTCAGCCGACGTGTTTGTCAACTAATATCGAGAAGAAGCAGATAATGTTACGCAGTCTATTTCAGCCAGATTTTGATGTTTGTCGCATTCTGCGCAATGCCATAAATAGTGGTAAGTTACTAATCACTATACCGTGGCTTGTGCAGTACATGGCCATGCTGGATAATATAACACTGCAGTTAGACAATAACGTCGCAGTTGCTAAAGAAATGTTCAATTTGTACATGCAGTTAGGAAATAAAAATTGCGGTTTAAGGGCCACAGCATCGTTCATACTACGTTGTTGTCTCGGTTGGTTATTTGAAACCAAATCAATAATTGGGGATCAGTTGCACCAATATAAAATTAGAAATCCCTGGAATGTACCATGTAACCCACATCCATATGCTAAGCTAAAAGAAATAAATTTATTAATATCAAACGATTTAATCACGTTATTACCAAGTGATCAACAGGCCTTTTACATTTCAAGTGTAGACAATATTGATGACAGTAGGTTCACGATTGTTTTGCAACGTCAACAATTATCACAGTCAACAGTCAAAAGTAGCGCTATGGAGCCTTATGAAACTACAAAGCTTGAACTAAGTCCAATGCTTGAATCAATTTTAACTGTAGCCTGTCCATTTTTAGCAGAATTTCGCCTTTCAATAATGCCAGCAAAATTCACAATGGCCAAATATGTATCTCGTACGGGACGCTATCGTCATATAACCACTCGCATAGCTGAAATAACTACACAAAATGCAGTTATGATGCAAAATAAAACTTCAACCATCCAAGAACATAACACAAATAATTACCAGAACAAGTTAGTGGAAGCATTTCTTCATGCACAGAACTCTTCAATGTGCCGACTTATAGAATTTCTCACTGAACGGACGTTCAAATCTACTGTTAAGGATGCGCAGTACAAAATACTACTTCCCTCGAAATGTAACGCCGATAAAAAAGTGAATGAAATTACCTCAACTGATTTCGAAACCGTGTCGAACTATGTGCGCGATATTTACCTAACTGCTAAAAAAGATGCAATCAAAGAATGGCAAGCACAGGTGCCGAAATGGCTGCAGCAACGCATCAAGGACTCATTAGACTCACTACTGCCTATTGAGACACGAATAATTGTTAAAGATACCTATGCATATATAATACGTCGTGGAGCTGGGCAAAAACTGCGGCAGTGGCTTGTTAGTAATTTTTTAACGGCAAATTTTTACTGCGATGATTTAAAGGACATGACACAAAAAATATGTAAAGCGAATGAACGAAGAAAGCAAGATCAGAAAGTCTCAGGTAATCTGAATTCCGAACTAAATCTTATCGATATAAATCCAAGCGTTTCTGATGTGATAGATAAGCTGCAGTACTTGTTGCATTGCAGTTCTTTACGGCTGGAACTCATGCCTAAAGCTGAAACAATACTGAAATTTTTACAGCAATTGCCATTAGTATTCAAAAACATTTTGCCTTTATCATTTTATATAGTAATTGGATCAAATATCGTTCGATTACTTCAAAACATAATAACACATAAGCCTGATTATCTGACTGCAGACATTATTAATGCAGCATGTAGCATTTGGTTAGCACAACCCATGATAGATGCAAATCGTAACTCGACACAATTTTCTAACAAAGCTGGACCTGGACTTCAAGATTCTGCAACAGATCATAACGATTTGCATACCGATTTGACAAAAGCACTCAGAGAAGAGATACCCAGCATATTTGATGGACTTATAACGGTGCCGTTCGTTGAGGCGCTTAAATCTCATTATCAGTACGAAAAATTAAAAGATTTGTGTATTGAAATGATTTACCAACAATTAATTACTGTCGATTACTTAAATGTGCAAATTCTTAAAATATTTAAATATGATATGAATTCAAAAATTCTGAATGAAATTTCGCTCATGCTGGCAGCTGTTGCTCAAGATACAGCTTCAAATGGTAAAAATACCTATAATGATTATGACAATGATAATGACTTGGATAAGTCACAGTTATTTATGGAAGTTCTTGCTGAGTTCTCCAGAGACATCGATAATTTTTAAGTTACTTAATAGTTATACCCAACTATACACTTTTGAATGTAATTTGGTTCCAATAGAATTAGATACAGAATAAATCTTTTATTGTTACAAAAATATACCGGTTTTTTAAATTTTATTTATTGTAGGAATAACTTATACTGTTTATAAAATTACATACTCGATTTACTTAGCTTATATATGTTTATAATATATATAAGCATGTTGCAATCTTCTTTCTTCCAGAATGAGCGAATTTACAGTAAAGGATTACAACATCAAGTTTCCTTAACCTAACCCTTACACTTGTCCTCGACTGATTGTAAAGGATCTTCAATCACACATGCTTCACTTTGTTAAAGTGGTGTATTGATCCGTCCAGAGTCTACGTTCTGGACCCAAGTGTGAATTACCACTCCTTTTGGATTTTCATTGCAAAACAATATGGTATGGGTTACGTTAGCGGCATTCGACTTTATGTTACTTCTTATACGATTCTTGCTTATTCTGTCATGCCTAGTTGTTGTTGCAATTTCCATGGCTGATATTTTGCTAGGCTCTTTGTCATTTGTTCTCTTCTCTGTATAGTAGTAGAATTAGTTCGATGACTGTTTTTTTAGAACTGGACCTTAGTAATATTATCTACATTCGGTTTTCAAAACGTTTATCAGTGTGTTACTATCAATAAAACACGAAATTGAAGTTAAATCGGATTCAAAAGTAGATTATGTGTCTCTCACATTCTCAGAATTTGGGTGTTATGTATGAACCCATCGTAAGTTAAAGATTTATGTACGTTATACGAAATTTGTTTTACTTATTATTATAATTATATTATTATTATAATTATATTATTACTATTAATATATAATTATTATTATTATATTATTACTATTAATATATAATTATTATTATTATATAATAATTAATAATAATTATAAATTTTTTACTTATTATAATTATATTATTATTATGATTATACAATTATTATAATTATATTATTGTTATAATTATATTATAATAATTATACTATTGTTATAATTATACTATTGTTATAATTATATTATTATTATAATTATATTATTATTATATTTATACTATTATTATATTTATATTATTATTATAATATAACTATTTGCTATTGGTGTGGCTTGTTAATTTTGTTTATAAACTTTTGTGAAATTGATGTTTTTTTAACGTTATTACGAAGCTATTCATGCAATTTTTTTTTTTTTGTTTTTTAGTGCTGTTAGTTAGCACTACTTTCTAATATATAACAGTTTTGTTATAGCATTTTATTGCTGGCTATGTGCTAGGACTTTGCACTTTAGTTTATTTAAATGTATATTTTTAAGATAATATAAAAAAAGGGCCCTATAATTGTTTTCATGGGCTAAAGCAGTTAATAGTTCAATTCATATGCAGTGAGATATTTTCAATGTATCTCTTAATGACTTAAGTAAACGATTTTAAGCATTTTATCTAATCAAAAATACTGAAAATGACTGTTGTGCCGAAGGTGATTTTGAGAATTTCATAAATATAACTTGTAAGCGAACTATTTTGAGACTATTTTTGCAATATGATTACATTTCACAGAAGGCATTTATACTTATTTTATGATAAGATAACATTTACTAAATAATTTAATCTTATCTTGTGTGATTGTACACTCAATAAGACGTAAGTTTGAAGCATTTTTTCTGCAGTTTGACTAACACTTCTCTTTGAGGATCCGGTCACTCTCAGCATAAATATCCCAATAGTAAATATCCCAATATCGTATTATTTTCAATTAGCTACCATTTCCATGCAAAATAAAATTTAATTAAAATTCATAAATCTGTTCTGTACGGTGAACATTTCGTATCTGAATCACAAATATACGGTTTGTCGAATTTATTTGTGTACCGATGAAAAAATATATATTTGTGTGCAAATAAATTTATCAGTTATGTAATTGTTAAATTCTGTTTTCTGACTAACAGATATAAATTTCGTATTTTCGTATTTTTTCAGATTGTAAACGAAGTGTAGCGTGTACCCGTGTACCGAGAAGTATTAATTAAAAATAAGCGGAATTTAAAAGCAAGAGAAGGTCAGTTCATTTGTAAATAACATCGTTGCGACATTTTAAAAATTTGAAAATTATGTCATTTTTTTCAGACTATACTTTACTAATCTTATTTATTACGAACGAAACTGACTGATTTTCAACATCAACATGGAAAATTTTACACCGAAGGAAGTGAAAATCCTTGAAACTGTTGAGGACATACAGGAAAGGCGTGAACAAGTGCTTTCCCGTTACAATGAGTTTAAAATAGAAACACGTCAAAAACGTGAGAAGCTAGAGGATTCACGTCGTTTCCAGTATTTCAAGCGTGATGCTGACGAATTGGAGTCTTGGATACATGAAAAATTGCAAGCCGCTAGTGAGGAAAGCTACCGTGATCCCACTAACTTGCAAGCTAAAATTCAAAAACATCAAGCGTTCGAAGCAGAAGTTTCGGCTCATAGCAATGCCATCGTTTCACTTGATAATACTGGTCAGGAAATGATAAATCAGCAACACTTTGCTTCTGAAACGATTGAACGTCGTTTGAATGAGCTCCATCGCCTTTGGGAATTGTTGCTGAGTCGATTGGCTGAAAAGGGTCAGAAATTACAACAAGCACTAGTTCTAGTACAATTTTTGCGCCAATGCGAAGAAGTTATGTTCTGGATCAAGGATAAAGAGGCATTTGTTACAGCTGATGAGTTTGGTCAGGATTTAGAACATGTTGAAGTTTTACAGCGTAAATTTGATGAGTTCACCAAGGATATGGCATCACAAGAATATCGCGTCACTGAAGTTAATCAATTAGCTGACAAACTGATTCAAGATGGTCATCCGGAACGTGATACAATTAATAAACGCAAAGAGGAATTAAATGAAGCCTGGCAACGCTTAAAACAGTTAGCTATTGTACGTCAAGAGAAATTATTTGGTGCACACGAAATACAGCGTTTCAATCGGGATGCTGACGAAACTGTTGCTTGGATTGCTGAGAAAGATGTTGTACTATCCTCCGATGACTACGGACGCGATTTAGCTAGCGTACAAGCTTTACAGCGCAAACATGAAGGCGTTGAGCGTGATTTGGCCGCTTTAGAAGATAAAGTATCAACATTGGGTGCAGAAGCACAACGCTTGTGCTCCATTCACGCTGATCACAGTGATCAAATTCGTGACAAACAAGCTGAAATTGCTGATTACTGGCAGAGTTTGACAGCAAAAGCACGTGAGCGGAAGCAAAAATTGGATGAATCATATTTCTTGCACCGCTTTTTAGCCGATTTCCGTGACTTAGTATCTTGGATAAATGGTATGAAAGCTATTATATCTGCTGATGAGTTAGCAAAAGATGTTGCTGGTGCAGAAGCTCTTTTAGAGCGCCATCAAGAGCACAAAGGTGAAATAGACGCACGGGAAGATAGTTTCAAATTAACTACGGAATCAGGACGTAAATTGTTGGAGCGTGAGCATTATGCTGCAGCAGAAATTCAAGAGAAATTAGCAGCATTGGAAAATGACAAAAGCTCATTGCTTTCATTGTGGGAAGATCGACGTATATTATATGAACAATGTATGGACTTACAGTTATTCTACCGTGACACAGAACAAGCGGATACATGGATGGCTAAACAGGAAGCATTTTTGGCTAATGAAGATTTGGGTGATTCATTGGACTCTGTAGAAGCTTTGATTAAAAAACATGAGGACTTCGAAAAGAGTTTGGCCGCACAGGAAGAAAAAATAAAGGCACTCGATATATTCGCTACAAAATTGATCGATGGTCAACACTATGCTGCTGATGATGTCGCTCAACGCCGTCAGATGTTGTTGGCTCGTCGTTCTGCATTACAAGAAAAATCAGCAAAACGCAGGCAGCTACTAGAAGACTCAAACCGTTATCAACAATTTGAAAGGGATTGTGATGAAACCAAAGGTTGGATAAGTGAAAAACTTAAATTTGCTACAGATGATAGTTATTTGGACCCAACAAACCTTAATGGAAAAATGCAAAAGCATCAAAACTTCGAACATGAATTGAATGCTAATAAGTCGCGTATAGAGGACATTACCACGGTAGGCACAGATTTGATTGAAAAACAACACTATGCAGCTGATCAAATCAATACTCGTATGCAAGAAATTGTTGTGTTATGGGAGACCTTAGTCCAAGCCTCTGACAAGAAGGGTTGCAAATTACACGAAGCTTGCCAGCAACAACAATTTAATCGTACAATTGAAGATATTGAACTCTGGTTAAGCGAAATTGAAGGTCAATTGTTGTCCGAAGACCATGGAAAAGACTTAACATCTGTGCAGAATTTACAAAAAAAACATGCTTTATTGGAAGCTGATGTTATGGCACATCAAGATCGTATTGAAAGTATTAAGGTAGCTGCAAATAAATTTATTGAATCTGGTCATTTTGATGCAGATAACATACGTAACAAAGAAGCTACATTATCGGCAAGGTATGCTGCCCTAGCTGCCCCAATGGGTGAACGTAAACAGCACTTACTTGACTCCCTTCAAGTTCAGCAGTTATTTAGAGACTTGGAAGATGAAGCTGCCTGGATACGCGAAAAAGAGCCCATTGCTGCATCCACTAATCGTGGTCGTGATTTGATAGGTGTACAAAATCTTATCAAGAAACATCAAGCTGTTTTAGCAGAAATAAATAATCACGAGGCTCGCTTACTAAATGTTATCAGTTCCGGAGAAAATATGTTGAAAGATCAACCATTCGCTAGCGATGACATACGTCAACGATTGGATGCATTGCAAGAGCAATGGAATACATTAAAAGATAAATCCAATCAACGCAAACAAGATTTGGATGATTCATTACAAGCACATCAATACTTCGCTGATGCTAATGAAGCCGAATCGTGGATGCGCGAAAAAGAACCAATTGCAACTGGTAATGACTATGGTAAAGATGAAGACTCCTCTGAAGCTTTACTTAAAAAGCATGAAGCTCTCGTTTCCGATTTAGAAGCCTTTGGTAATACCATTCAAGGACTACAGGAACAGGCCAAAAATTGCCGTCAGCAAGAAACGCCAGTCGTTGATATAACCGGTAAAGAATGTGTTGTTGCACTTTATGACTATACTGAAAAATCTCCACGCGAAGTATCGATGAAAAAAGGTGATGTGCTAACTTTACTTAACTCGAACAATAAAGACTGGTGGAAAGTAGAAGTGAATGATCGCCAAGGCTTTGTACCGGCTGCTTACATTAAAAAAATCGAAGCTGGTCTCAGCGCAAGTCAACAAAATCTTGTAGATAATCATTCTATCGCCAAGCGACAAAACCAGATCAATTCGCAATACGACAACCTTTTGGCTTTAGCACGCGAACGACAAAATAAATTGAATGAAACTGTTAAAGCTTATGTGCTAGTGCGTGAAGCTGCTGATTTGGCACATTGGATTAAGGACAAGGAGAATCATGCACAAATTGCAGATGTTGTTGGCGAAGACTTAGAAGAAGTAGAGGTACTGCAGAAGAAATTCGATGACTTTAATGATGACTTGAAAGCAAATGAGGTGCGTTTAGCAAATATGAACGAGATTGCTATACAGTTAACATCACTTGGACAAACTGAAGCGGCACTTAAGATACAAACTCAAATGCAAGACTTAAATGAGAAATGGAATAACTTGCAACAATTAACTGCTGAAAAGGCTAGCCAATTGGGTTCTGCTCATGAAGTTCAACGCTTCCATCGCGACATTGATGAAACTAAAGATTGGATTGCAGAAAAAGAAAATGCATTGAATAATGACGATTTGGGCAAAGATTTGCGCAGTGTACAAACTTTGCAAAGGAAGCATGAAGGAGTTGAACGCGATTTGGCTGCTTTGCGTGATAAAATACGACAACTTGATGAAACAGCAAATCGTTTGATGCAAACACATCCAGATACCGCTGAACAAACTTATGCCAAGCAGAAAGAGATTAATGAGATGTGGGATCAAATCACTACTAAGGCAACAGCACGTAAAGAAAAATTATTGGACTCCTACGATCTACAACGTTTCTTAAGTGACTATCGAGATTTATTAGCCTGGGTGAACTCAATGATGAGCTTAGTAACCTCAGATGAGTTGGCGAATGATGTAACTGGAGCAGAGGCACTTATTGAACGTCATCAGGTAAACAAAATGTTAATAACTGTAATACACTGAAAATTCATTTTGAGAAAAGTACAAAACGAACTAGTAAAGGAGGCTAAGTCTTGCTTTAGTAACACGCATTGCAACTAGCCTTGCTTGTCACTAAAGCGATGATATAAAATCCTTAACATTTCGATTTTAGACACAAAAAAGTAGTCCATTTAAATGAAACTGTTGAACGAAACATTCACTGATTTTTTGTTTTGTTTCATTGTTGCTTTTTGGTTTCTTTAAATATTGGTACGTTTGCCGCACTTGCGTTATTGGACCAACTGCTATTATGATTATTATCATCACAACCACAAACCAATAAATGTTACAATACATATATAAACAAAAACATACAAATGTTATATAAAATACATGATTATAAATAAATTATAAACATCGTACCCTACTGCCATATTGTCGGCAAAACAATAGGCTCATCGTGCCGAGATCGAATTTATATTTGGAAACAGTAGTGCCAGTGGCTCAGCAGCCATGCCAGCCACCAAGGTAGTTTCTTGTAATAACTTTGTAAAATATAATACACGTTTTACCCATTGTTCGTGAATTTAATTTATTAACTCGTTAAGCTGTTAATACTACCAGTTCTACAATGAATCAATTTAATTTTTTTCATATTTAGTAATCTTAAAAAAATGTTGGCCTTTTCAAAATGCTGCACAAACACATAAAATAACCAAATCACACATCTTCCAATCATACACAAACACAAAAGATACAAACTATTAATTTTTTTTAATTGTTTCTTCTATAATTTCTCAAAATTTGATATAAATAAGTTTATTCGCCTTGTATATTTCTACAATATATTCGTCTGTTCAGTTAGTCAAACCTAGCTTAAATGAAAACCAAAGATATATATCAATTAAACATTTTTATTATTGTTAAAACAATTTGTTTCGTAAAGGTTCTCTATTAGCTCAGCTAAGACTTGGTAACTAGCAGAGAAGATCAACTATAGTCGCAGTATTACGCTCTACTTCGAGCTCAGAACCCTAACTTCTATTTAATTACAACTTCTAATTAATTATAATAAGGATTTTATCAATGCTAAAACTTGTTCTTGAATTTCTTAGTTTCTTAAATTTTAAACATAATTCTTAGAATCTGGTACTAGTACCTGAAAAAATAACTTAATTTAATAGAATCATATCAGCATTAAGATATTGGGATTGGATACTGGGATTGGAACTTATTATTTTAAAATAACTGTGGAAAAGTGGTTTTTAAACATATTTAGCCTTAGCCTATATATAAAGACATTAGGTAATAATAGCATACTAAGCAGCAGCCGCTATCCTAGTACATGGTTCTAGTAATTTTATTATTCCTGAACATAAAGTCCACAAAGGAACTAATATATCTTTGTTACAAGTTCAATGTAGTAAAAATTTTCATTTTTGCTGGTTTGACCTGAATGTATCTTATTATATAAAAATCTTGTATATCTTCCGCTTCCAAAATATTTATTTGCTAAATTTTTTCTTTTTCAAAGAAATCATAAAATTATTTTGAAATTACCTGACTGCCGAATCGCCTGCAATTTCCACTACTAAAGCATTACCATCCATATATATCATAAACCATCATCATATTTTGTCTTCGGTTCTAATTAAACAAATGCGATTCACATACATTGTTGTATTTAATGTTTTTTGTTTTGATTTAATGTTAACCCCAATATCATGTACTCGTATACATAAAATATTGTAAAATGTTGTTGTATTTTTGTACTCCCAAGGGAACCTTGTATCTTTAGAACGACCTAACATATCAATTGCGTTGAAATCAACATTTCTCATTTTCATACCGATTATAAACATCAACATCAACATCATCATCATCATTATCATTATCATCATCTTCTTCGTAATCACAATTACGTTTGGCTTTCGAAATTTAAAATTTTTTGTTATTTGTTGTTAATTATTTTGCTGTAATTATTGTTGTTCTCACTTAATCACCAACGTTGATTTACTTAATCATTGTATTTGTTGTTTCTAATATGCGAATTCTGTGTTAACGCCAACGCCTACTTCTGGCTCATTTCTGTCGAAATTGTTGGAAGTATTTCGTTAAGTCTGCTTTATTTAAATTGAAATTATATTTTTGACAGGAGCATCGCACAGAGATCGACGCTCGTGCTGGTACATTCGCAGCATTTGAACAGTTTGGAAATGAATTGCTTCAGGCAAATCACTATGCTTCACCCGAAATTAAAGAGAAAATTGAAGATCTGGCTAAAACGCGCGAGGAATTAGAAAAGGCTTGGACGGAACGTCGCTTGCAATTGGAACAAAACTTAGATTTACAATTGTACATGCGTGATTGTGAGTTGGCTGAAACCTGGATGTCTGCACGCGAAGCTTTCTTAAATGCCGACGATGTAGACGATAAGGGTGATAATGTTGAAGCTCTTATTAAAAAACATGAAGACTTTGACAAGGCTATCAATGGTCATGAAGAAAAGATTGCTGCTTTGCAAGTACTTGCAGATACATTGATTAATCAAAATCACTATGCTTCAAATCTTATTGATGATAAACGCAAGCAAGTATTGGAACGTTGGCGTCATTTGAAGGAAGGTCTTATAGAGAAGCGTTCCCGCTTAGGTGACGAACAAACATTGCAACAGTTCTCACGCGATGCTGATGAAATTGAAAATTGGATTGCTGAAAAGCTCCAGTTGGCAACTGAAGAAAGTTACAAGGATCCGGCAAATATACAATCTAAACATCAAAAACACCAGGCATTTGAGGCTGAACTTGCAGCAAATGCTGATCGTATACAAAGTGTGCTAGCAATGGGTGAAAATCTTATTGACAAAAAGCAATGTAGTGGTTCTGAAGATGCCGTGCAAAAGCGTCTTACTCAAATTGCTGATCAATGGGAATATTTAACACATAAAACAACGGAGAAATCATTAAAATTAAAAGAAGCTAATAAGCAACGAACGTATATCGCTGCCGTCAAGGACTTGGACTTCTGGTTGGGCGAGGTCGAAAGCTTATTAACCACTGAAGATTCTGGTAAGGATTTGGCCTCTGTCCAAAACCTAATGAAGAAGCATCAGTTGGTAGAAGCGGATATCGTTGCTCACGAAGACCGCATTAAGGACATGAACAACCAGGCCGATTCCTTGGTAGACAGCGGACAATTTGATAGTGCTGGTATTCAAGAAAAGCGTCAAAGCATTAACGAACGTTATGAGCGTATTTGCAACTTAGCAGCACACAGACAGGCTCGCTTGAATGAAGCTTTGACATTACATCAGTTCTTCCGTGACATTGCTGACGAGGAAAGCTGGATCAAGGAGAAAAAATTACTTGTTGGTTCAGATGATTATGGACGCGATTTGACTGGTGTGCAAAATCTTAAGAAAAAACACAAGCGTCTAGAAGCTGAATTGGCATCTCATGAGCCAGCCATACAAGCAGTACAAGAAGCCGGTGAAAAATTGATGGATGTTTCGAATTTAGGTGTACCCGAAATTGAACAACGTCTCAAAGCACTTAATCAAGCGTGGGCTGAGCTTAAGAATTTGGCTGCAACTCGCGGTCAAAAACTAGATGAATCGTTGACATACCAACAATTTTTAGCTCAAGTTGAAGAAGAAGAGGCTTGGATTACTGAAAAACAACAATTACTATCTGTTGATGATTACGGTGATTCAATGGCCGCAGTTCAAGGCCTTTTAAAGAAACATGATGCATTCGAAACAGATTTTGCTGCTCACAAGGACCGTTGTTCTCTTATATGTGACCAAGGTACTGAATTGGTTGAAGCTAAAAATCATCATGGCGATTCTATAGCTCAACGTTGCCAACAGCTTAAAAATAAATTAGACAACTTGAATGCATTAGCAGCGCGTCGCAAAGGAGCTTTGTTAGACAATTCAGCCTATTTGCAATTTATGTGGAAAGCAGATGTTGTCGAAAGTTGGATTGCCGATAAAGAGAATTATGTTCGTTCTGATGAATATGGTCGCGATTTATCCACTGTTCAAACATTGTTAACAAAACAGGAGACTTTCGATGCTGGTAAATTTGAATAATGTTTATTGCGATAAAAGTTAATATTCTTAAATATATTACATATATTATTTTTTATAGGTCTCAATGCATTCGAACAAGAAGGTATAAAGAGCATAACTGTATTAAAGGATCAACTTATAAATGCCAATCATGCACAATCTCCGGTTATACTGAAACGCCACGAGGATGTACTTTCACGTTGGCAGAAGCTGCGTGATGCATCCGAAACGCGAAAACAACGACTTTTAGCTATGCAAGAGCAGTTCCGCCAAATCGAAGAACTCTACTTGAAATTTGCCAAGAAAGCTTCAGCCTTTAATTCTTGGTTCGAAAATGCCGAAGAGGATCTGACTGATCCTGTTCGTTGCAATTCGATCGAAGAAATTCGCGCTCTACGCGATGCCCACGCACAATTTCAGGCATCGCTTTCGTCAGCCGAAGCTGACTTTAAGGCTTTAGCAGCACTTGACCAGAAAATCAAGAGCTTCAATGTTGGGCCCAATCCATATACTTGGTTCACCATGGAAGCTCTTGAGGAAACCTGGCGCAACTTGCAGAAAATCATAGAGGAACGAGATGGGGAACTTGCCAAAGAAGCTAAACGGCAAGAAGAAAACGACAAATTGCGTAAAGAATTTGCTAAGCATGCTAATCTATTCCATCAGTGGCTAACAGAGACAAGGTAAGTACTACTCCTCAGACGTAAGGTAAAAGTTTGGCTAATATCGACATCATTCCAATTGTAATTCGGAAATGCAAGTTATTAAATGATTTGGTTTATATTTTTAGATATTATATGCTGGGTTATAACAAACAAGGGTAATGAAATAATTTACATATTCGATTCCATGTTTTAACTAAAGAGACATTTTTATGTCATGCGAAGCTGCTTCAAATAATTATAAATTAAAAATTAAAAAACTAACTGCGCTTATGTACGCATAACAGTCGCAATCGAATTGCTTGTCGAATAGAAATCGATTTGCGATTTGCTATTGTCAAAATATTATATTAAAGTTGATCAGATCTGATTAGATTGACGTATGTAGAACCAAAAATTCAAAAACTGAATTTATGAATATTATTATAAATATTAATAATATATTCAATTTTTTTTTTTATATCACAATATGTTCTAAATACGATTAGTTCGTTCCGTTCAAAAGTTCAAAAGGAACTATAAAAAATAACTATGAAAAATATAGTAAAGTTTTTAAATATAATACTTTTTACATTTTAGATTTGTTTTTGATTTTTTTTTTGTTTTTTTGTTTGTTCTTTTTTTGTAGTTACACTTCTTTTATAGTTATAAATAAAATGCTTTATTAAAAATGCTTACAAGTTTTTACGTTTACTTGATAAAATTCGTAACTGTATATAAAAAAGCATATATGCATCCCAAAACTGCTTTTAGTTTTATATATTAAAAATTAGATTTCCCGGAATAAAAACCAAAAATCAATTCAAAATTACTTTATAGCGGATTGTAGTGAAAAATGTGTTTTATTTACCTTAACTAATCTCTTTTGTAAATAAAACTTTTAACTGGCATTGTATATCATTATTAAACCAATTGATTAATGGCGTTTGTTGGTTACTAACTTTCTTAAAAATTTAGAACATCTATGATGGAAGGTTCTGGTTCTTTGGAACAGCAACTGGAAGCACTTCGTGTCAAAGCCACAGAAGTACGTGCGCGTCGTGTTGATTTAAAGAAAATAGAGGAACTTGGAGCAATGTTAGAAGAGCATCTTATATTAGATAATAGATACACAGAACATTCTACTGTCGGTTTGGCGCAACAGTGGGATCAATTAGATCAACTTTCCATGCGCATGCAACATAATTTAGAGCAACAGATACAAGCACGTAACCATTCTGGTGTGTCCGAGGATTCACTCAAAGAGTTCTCAATGATGTTCAAACATTTCGACAAGGACAAGAGCGGTAAGCTTAATCATCAAGAATTCAAATCCTGTCTGCGCGCTTTAGGCTACGATCTGCCAATGGTTGAAGAAGGTCAACCGGATCCAGAATTTGAAGCCATAGTAGATGTGGTCGATCCCAACCGCGATGGATACGTCTCCCTGCAAGAATATATAGCATTTATGATTTCGAAGGAAACTGAAAATGTACAATCCTACGAAGAAATCGAAAATGCTTTCCGTGCTATTACTTCCTCCGATCGTCCTTATGTTACTAAGGAAGAACTCTATTGTGTACGTATATTTTTATTTAATATAAATATTTAAATATTATATATGTGTTATTATAGAACCTCACCAAGGACATGGCTGATTACTGCGTTCAGCGTATGAAACCTTACAGTGAACCACGATCCGGGCAACCAATCAAAGATGCACTGGACTATATCGAATTCACGAGAACACTGTTTCAAAATTAAAATATTGAATTAAAAATTTTAAATACAAATACGTTCAGCTAATTTTTTATAGTTTAGATTTAAGTAAACTTTTCGTCTCCTTTCCATTGAGCTAAAATGATATTTATTGCGAATAAATGAAAAAAAAATAGAGATATAATTTTTCAGCCAAAGCTTGAAAGAAGCTAACAAGTTTATTGCCGCACTTTTATAATTTATTTTATATGCTTTACTATACGCATTTATTTTATCTAAATAATCGTAAGCTAAATAAATTCTACATATATCAAGCAGATCAAAATTTTTTAACATAATAAAAAAAAATAATTATTTATTTTTGAACGAACAGTAGCGTGATCAGATAGTTTAACTTTATATACCCATATGTTTTAAGCAGTGGATATTTTTCAAAAATTCTACGAACAAAAGTAAAATGGAATAATTAAAATTATAATAAATTTCTTGAAATATGAATATTTTTTAAAGTCGCTATATCCAGATTCAAAAACTTGATGTATTAGAGTACGTTTAACACATAATAATTTTTCAATATATTTGATATTTATTCACATTTATATAAATATTAAGGAAATAAAATTAAATTAAAAATATAAATTGTATTTATACTGCAAAAATAAAACTTGATTGCTGCATGTTAAAAAATAAGTTTTTTTTGTTTATACCAATATCAAATATAGTTTCATTAAAAACTTATAATATTCCTGAAAACATTTAAGAGGCTTGGAGATCCTAATTAACCCCGAAGTTTTCAACTGGGCACTATCTTATAGGTCTAGATACATCAAAATCTGATATTAAATTCAATGAGTACTGCAGCAGGTGTATATTTGAGAAAGAAGAAGAAGCTTGAACATCTCTTTTAATGCAGTGTGGAGCACTGAGAGAGCACAACACTCTTAATCACTATATTAGGTCACAATCAACTGAAAATATATTGCCAATGTAACTTTTAATAAAACAACTACAATTTATGATATAAGCAAAATGGTTCAATTAATAAAATGGGTGAGTTGCGATACTACAACAGACCAATTTAGCTCAAATGAGTGGATATCTAAATACCATAGGCAGGCGACTACATATTTCTATCAACCTAACAAAATTTAACTACTTATCAAACAATTGCATGTGTTTTTTATAATTTAACATCGTTTTTATTATTATAATAATTGCTTTTAGGTTGTGTACGAATATTTATTTCAATATTTATAACAAAAATTTTTTTACACTCTCAGAGTATAATTTGCTTTGAAATTTTTCCTCCAATGCGGCCTTTTCAAGCCATTCAAATTTCACGCCTGAAGAACTGTTAACATTGCCTTTATTTAATGTGGCACGGTAAAAAAATACTTTGGCTCCTTGACTCTCTGCACGCATTGAACTGGGATATTTGTATTTATAAAAACCACAAGGAGCATGTCCGTAAAACGTTACATTCAAATGATCACCACATTTTTCCTGTAGTATACGTTCTGCAGTCTGCCTCATTGTTTCTCCGTCTTTTCGGGGTCCTTGTGGCAATAGAAAATGCATTTGTTTTCCTAATTTATGTTCAACTAATAGATAAAGCGTTTCTTCTAAACAACGATTCGTTGATGTTAAATTTCGCAGTGAGTCGTCTTTAGTTAAGCGGGAAGCTGGCTTAAACTTTTTCAATTCTTCTGTATATGCATCCTTTAAATCCTGTGCTGTTTGCTTTGCACTTGCATCATCAAGATCGATTTCGATTTCTCCTTTTTTAATTTTCTCTGCATGAAAAATATCGCGTTCATGCTGTTGTTCATGATTAGATTTAAGACTGTTTTCAAATTCCACACGCCATAAATGTTCCTGAAAGTTTTGTTCAAATGGCGTTAAACTTTTTGAAACAACTGGCAAACGTTCCACCAGTACACCAGCATACAGATCCCATTTTTCTGTAGTATTTGGAGCAACAGTGGCAAAGGAAAATTTTCCACCAAATTTTTGAACTTTCCGTATGTGAATTTGATTTAATTTACTTAATTGCCTTAACATTGTTGGTTTTTAATTTAAAAATTTAACTCTACGTTGGTTATCCACTTGTGGTTATATATAACAAAAATCATTTGCACTGCGAAGGCCTGCCGTCTTTTATACCAGCTGTATTATCAGCTGTTTAACATAAATATGTCAGTCTAACATTTATGTGTAATCGATAATACATTATCAATTATTTTTAATATTAATTATTTTATTTTAATTATTTATATTAATTTTGTTATTTACATTAAGTTTTACAAACAGTTTTTCTGCCGAGCAAATAATTTTTATAGCGCAAACTTACAACAACTGAATATAAAATACTGTAAGTCATCTTGCATCCCCAAAACTACCATCCCTAGTAAATGTCGTATCACCAAAACTTCCATCCCTAGGAAATGCAAACGCAAATAAACAATTGGCGCGCTTTGTGTATACGTCTGTGAAGAAATTAATATTTTTTAAAAATGACGACCCGGTTGAAGACTAATTATAAAAACTTATCCAATAAATTTGTGATTAAACCCTTCGACTATCAAAAACAATATTCACATCTGTATGCACACCGTCTAGCAGAAATGACAGCGCTACTATCTGCTCGTGCAATGGAGAAATGGGGAGCAGACAACACTGTTAAGAAATTATGCGATTTACGTGAAGAACAGGATGAAACTTGTATTGTTATTGGAACTATATATAAGCACCAAGCGCACAAGCCAAGTATATTACGCGAAATTTCTGAAGAAAATCAATTAGCACCTCAACCACCCCGTGAATATTACGCTGATCCAGATGACAAATTAATATTAGAAGATGAGTTGCAACGGGTAAAATTAGTGGGTAAAATAGATACACGCATAATGGCTACTGGTGTTGTATGTGCTGTGTTGGGTAACATAGAAGAAGACGGATGCTTTAATGTCGAGGATTTATTGTACTACGAGAGTGGACCACAAAAACCTTTACCAAAATTGTCACAATCTAAAATCATAGTAATAATTTCAGGTTTAGGTCAAATTAATAATCAGAATTTTTCAGATGCCTTAAATATATTCCAGCATTGGTTAGTTGGCAATATAAATTGCAATGAGAAAAATAAGCAAGTGGTGCGTGTAATAATAGCTGGAAATTCAGTACGTACAAATGCTGAACCCCGTTTACCATCACTCCAAACGCGTCCAACGGATTGCGTGAACATTGTGGACGCTGTCTGTGAATTAGACAAATGGTTTGCATCTTGGTCGCAAAGCATTCCAGTTGACGTTATGCCTGGAGCTCATGATCCAGCTAATTTCATGCTACCACAGCAGCCATTTCATACTTGCATGTTCCCACTTGCAACAAAAAATTCCACATTTCGTAGCGTACCGAATCCTTATGCTTGCTCTGTTGATGATGCATTAATAGTAGGAACATCTGGTCAAAATATTCAAGATTTATTACGTTCAACGATGTTAGAGAAACCTATAGAAGCGTTGCGATCAACACTTATGTGGAGTCATATTGCACCAACAGCGCCAGATACATTAGCTTGCTATCCATATATTGACAGCGAGCCTTTTATCCTTAAAGAATGTCCACATATTTACTTTGCTGGCAACTGTAATGAATTCAAAACGGAAATGCACGAAGGATCCAGTGGACAAAAAACTCGTTTAATATGTGTACCAAAATTTTCACAAACGAAAAGCATAGCGGTTGTTGATATAGAAACACTCGATTGTCATCAAATATGTTTTAATGTAAAAGAGGATTGAAAGTCTAATTGAAACTTTTTTATTATTAAACTATTTTTACATAGTTAAGAAAAATTAAATAATAAAGAACATACATTTAGATACCAAATTATTGCTCTTTAACTTGAATATAATTTTATTTAAATTAACACAAGTTGCATATAACACTTTTTTTTTTTGTTTAATAATTATTAGTGAACTACTGGTCCCAGCGGTTCACCACGAATGCTACTTAGATCTAATCGTGCATCTAAAGTTTCATCTAACTGTCCAATTACAGCAATGTTATCCCCACGTATTATATGCAATCCTAATACAATTTGTTCTATTCCAGTATTGGTGGAAAAAACGCGCTCATGAGACTCGTCCAGTATGACGTTAATTGTTTGATCAAATCCTTTGAGTGTACCAATAAAATTTCTACCATCAGCAGTAATAATAGATACCACAGAATTTATATATGACTCTAACCCGGATGCCATTGTATATCAAATAAATTCGTGTGGCTGCCTTGTATTTAGCTTTTATTGTGATTAAACGTTTGAAAAATTGACATTAATGATTTGACTTAATGCGATAAACAATATTTTGCAACGATAAAATAATCGATAACCACAAACTTAGCTATTAACCAAAGAATATCTTTCTTGCTAAAATCTTCTTTGCTATTAACATTAACATATTCTCTTATTATTGCCCAGTGAAGAAATTTGCCGAGAATAATTTTATTAAGATCCATATACAAATCGGGATATCTAGGAAACTGGAATCGTGAAGGCACTTTTACAGTCAAACAATTATTTACATTTAGAATATGTCATATGTATGTATTTTAAAAATGTATACTGTCTTGGAAAAAACAATAAGATCGAGAAAGAATCCTTGATACTATCTATATTAACACTTCTCAATTAAAAAGCCAGAATAACAAAAATTTAACAATTATACATAACTATTAATTTATGTTTGAGAAATGAAAATTGAATTTTAAAAAACTGATATATATAATATTAAATCCAACTCCATTATAGGTGTATTCTTTTGATATAAATACTACAATAGAACACTCTTTGTAGTGTGAGACGCTTATTCGTTAGGCACTTTCAGGGAAGTGCCCTTCATTTCAAGAATTTGTTTTTGCTATGCACGTTCATTTTTAAGCGATAGATGTTCTATTAGAGCATTTATGTCAAAAGAAAACACTTTATATTGAGATTTTTATTTAACATCCAAAATATAATTGTTTTTGTTTGAAAATTTTCAGGTAGCATATCACAAATTTAATTCAATTTTCTTGAAGATTGTATATGAGAACTTGTGTCTCTAAGTTAGCGAAGAAACATCAACGATATAAGGAGTGATAATGTTAATCATGAGATATTAACATTACTCAGTAACTTAAGTAAAAATTTTCGCCAAAGAGTTTAACTATTCAACTCTAAACGTAATTCGACTTTATTCACAAATTTAGTCATCTATTACAGTATTTGTAAAAAAAAAAAAGCCGAATTCGGACGTATCTCGGTAACTCGCCTAAGTGAAAAATGGCAAGAGTCTGAAGACAATGTGTAGTTCTTTTTCGATAAAGTTGTAAAATTGAACTATCTGATTTGATTGATGACAGCTGATTTAGTTTTTTGTATGTTTTGGGTTGTATAAAATTAAGAAAAAATAAAATTGAGATTTAAGTAAAACTTTATCTTTTATTTAACATTCTATTAATAACAATTTATTGTTTTCTGTAACTCTCCAAATTTTAAATCAAAGTAAAAGTTTGTGCAATATTTAACAATAATAAGAATCCGGTGATATCTATTGAGCATTATAATTTCCTCAAAATTATCAGGAAGTGAAGAATATCATTAACAGTTATTAATACATTTGTATTAACCTTGTGCTCCGCCACGTTCACTTTCCTTATTTCTGCCAGACCAAGACCACTGATAAAATGGCCTCTAAGACGTTGAAATCGCTGCATCTATAGTACTAAACAAAGACATATAAAATGATTAATAGATTTTCTCCTCCTGTTTTCACCGTAGCAGTAGTAAAATCCGTTTTTCAGAACACGCCAATGAGGCATCGGATATGATATAGCGCCTTGTTAATAGTACACTTAGAATCCGAACTATAGCTTTACTGAAACCCAGAAAGCTTTTTATATTATTCCTGTGTAATATAAAGCAGGAATAAAAAAGTCTATGTGACCTTACGGATCTCGCGATAAGTTCACAAGCATTTATAACCGCGATGATAAATTCTTTTATATCCTCAATAGTTCACACAATTGTGTTTATACCTAAGTGTCAGACTCACTTATGCTATAAGTCAACCTCTTAAATATTGCTTTATCTAGAAACCATGCAAAAGGAAACAATGTGAAAGGCTTAAAGAAATGTTCCTATTTGTAATAATAACGGAGAATGGTGTTGATCGAAGAAAGAGAATACAAAAGTATTCGCAAAGCATCTTTGTCCAGTATTTTATACAAACCCCAAATTCGATGCAATGCTTTGTCCGATGAGCCTTCCCAATCGAAACATTTCCTTACAGAAGTAACCGATGACATTAAGGAAATTAATGATAAAAAGTCGCCTGGATTTGACGAAATTGATGAAAACGTCATTAACAATTTTCTTCGTAATGTATCCTGGTATTCAGATTAATATACAATTCTATTCTTAGATTGAAGGGGGAGAAAGTGAATATATATGGCTAAGAGTGCAGCGAAATCCTCCTCATGGATATATGAGGTTATCCGTCGGACTTGAAACTCACCATGATAAAGTACACCTCTAATGAAAACAAAGATTCAGCCTCGGATAAGAAAACCGTTTACTGTTGACAGCATATGTACCTGGAATGTCCAAATTCTTTACAGTGAAGGTACATTTATACAGCTGGCAGATGTCCTCAGAAATATAAGGCTGACATTCCCGACCGCTCTCCAGGAAATGCGATAGAGGGGAAAAAGATGCTCTAAAGGATAACATTTAGACATTTACTATAGCTGCCATGCAACAAAGCGCGAATTCGTAGTCGAATTTGTGATAAGCCGAAGGTTGCTAAAATCCGTATTAAGACAAAACACCAAGGAAACTTTCTATGAATAGCTTGAACAAGCATATGAACGCTGTCACCATCATGACGTTACAATCATTGGAAAGTTCGGCCTTCACACAAAAACTAATAATGAAAGAAGGTTGATTTATTTCGCCGTGGCTTAAAACATAGTGGTTAGTAGTACCAGATTGCAGCGTCTTCACATACATAAGCCAACATTTTTATCAGCTAATCAAAACACAAAATCGCAAATTGATCACGTTGTGGTAGCCGGAAAGCATGTTTTCAGTATCTTGGATGTATAAAGAAGCAGCCAATATCGACTTGGATCATTATATTGTTGCAGGCAAGATTCGCAAACGTCCATGCACGATGAAAAGGGTGCGTGAACAAGTACAACGAAATCTAGACTTTTCTACTCGACTTCCCAATTTTTTGAAAATGAACCTGAAGACACCAGTATATACGTGTAATAGAACCACATCTCCCGCTCCCGTGATTGTCTATCACTGCAGACAAAGAAACTGCTGCTTTGCTCAAGAATTGTGACGTTACCGTAGAAAAAAATGCAGCTTCAGCATATTTAACCACTCTGCGGTCAGTTGCGACGAAGAAAAACGTTTTTTCCGGCGAAAAAAGAAAGAAACAGAAAGCCGTGAGTACGAAGAACTTGAGAAGCTGAAAATTCTATCAAAAAATCAAATATCTGACAAATGGTTATAAACTCGGATTTAATTCCTACAAATGTCAATCTGGCGATAGATGCCGAAAGCCAGTTTAATATTTGTAGAGATCACTTTTCAAACCTATTAAATGGCGGTAGTAGTGATGTGACTGAAAACCAAGATGATCCCGTATTTTCAATCGTTGACGATGAAATAATAGAAAATTCATTCTAGACCAGATATTCATAGTGCGTCTAATCCTGGAAGAGACCCAAGAAAAGCAAATTGAGACACACCACCTATTGGCTGACTTCAAAGCTGCTTTTAACACTACGACTAGAAGCACTTTAAATGTCGCTGTCTGAATTTGGTATTCCAGCCAAACTTATGCGGCTATGAAAAATAATCATTATAATCGGAAAAAACCTCTCCTAGTCGTTTGATACCAAAAGAGGTTCCAGACATGGTAACTCCTTCTCGTCTGAATATTTTAACCTGATGTTGGAAACAATAATTCGAGCAGCAGATTTAAACAGTACTAGCACAATATTCTACAAAAATGTAATGCTGCTTGCGGTTACCGACGATATTGATATCATTGGCCTGAACACCCGTGTAGTCATTGCAACATTTTCCAACTTAGAAAATAAAAACGAAATAAATGGGTCTTGTGGTAAATAAGGACAAAACAAAATACTTTCTGTCAATAAACAAATCTCCTGAGCGTCTTGGTACCCACGTCACTGTTGACAATTATATGTTCGAAGTTGTAAAAAAGTTTGTTATAACCAGGGTAAACACCGAAAATGACGTCAGCCCAAAAATTCAATGAAGTATCACTCTTGCCAACAGATGTTATTTCAGGGTAAGTAAGCAATTGAGAAATAAAGCCCTGTCTCGATAAACAAAAACCTCTCTATGGGGTTGGGTTCTATGGGGACAAGTCTGCCATCACATTCACAAAGGCACTACAACTCGACGATTTCTAACATGAAAAAAGATGTACGTCGATTTAGTTGAATTGCTCATCAACTTCCTTTTATAATGTGGAATAGTCTTATAATTTCTATCTGACAGAAGATGTAATAGTAAATATTGAAAGTCAAATTAAACTCTCAGTCTCAGATATTTATACAAACAAGATAATATATAATCAAACATGATAGTTGTATCCAGCTAGGATATTGATTATAGGTATGTATGGTATTACTTTCTCATAGGTAGAGAATTGAACCTCTGTTATTAATTTAAATCGATCTTATGGTTACAGCAGCTCATTTGGGTTTCCGAAATTCTACTGTTGCTTTTGTTTGCCCAGTTAGAGCTGGTCTATAAAGATCTGAGCTTTGGATTTGAACACAATAGTATTCTTCTAAGTTTCGCTTTAATGTATATATTAAATATGTAAAGTTTTAAAGATGAGGAAATTTTCACAAAGATATAGAACTTGCTGCAGTTCTATATCTTTTTAAGCTTAATAAAAGTACTGCCAGACTAATTGATTCTGATTATAACACTTTTTTCCGCTCCTTTTTTTTTATATGTTATAATGCCGCAATTTATTATTGAACAATTGAGGTAGTTATTTGAGCCATTACTATTTTAAATATGATTTTGCTTCTAACTTTAAATCTGTATTATTATATTTGCTATTCCTTTTCTTTGTTTCTTTTGTTTTATATACAATTTCTGTCTGTACAATTTCAAATTTGTTTCGCAAAAATCACGAACTTGTGTAACGTTCGATAATTGTGAGGTGTAAACATAAAGTACTAGTGAAGATACATACGGTAACTGGCAGTGAAATTATTATTGGATGTAAATAAATCCAAACTGTGGCAATCCCATTACTTTACAACTGTCAGCTGTTCAATAATTGCACTAAAAATTATTTATCGATATGCACTTTAAGGGTTCGGCAGTGTATGCTTTGTTTTACATATACGAAAAACAATTTGTGTATTAAATTGATTAAAAATAAACTGTTTTCACATAAAGCTCATTCCAACTAAGCTAATCAGATTAAAATCGTGTCAATACGCAATTGAAAAACATCAACTTGAAAGAAATTAGTATTGATTTTTGCAGTAAAATTTTCAGTGTTTGTTTTTAATATCCATTGAACTACCTTGACGATATGCGAAAATAAGAACACAGAAGACGCCTTACTAAGCCATGGGCGGCTCTGTTAGTCAGGTTTTTCGATCGGGTTCGGCCCTGCTTTCACATCGAGATGGACATAAAGTATCAAAATCAACAGAGGAGAAAATTCAAACGCTTTTCGAAATTCTTCGTGCGAAACCAAAAATATCTATACAACTTTTGGAAAGTTTATTGTTACAAATACCAAAAGTATATTTAAACATAATATTAGTCTAAGTAGTTTACTCTAGATATACTAATTACTTTTTTTTAGAATGAAAACATATTAGTTGTGCATGATAATTGCGGTTTTAATATCTTACAACGATGTGTTGGTTTAAATCACACCGAGCTAACTAAGTGGCTTCTGCATCGTCATCGTCCCGATGTCAATAGAGATAGTCCATGTTCATTACCCCTTCATATTGCATGTCTAAAGGGGTATGAAGAGTGTGTGGAATTGCTTCTAAAATATGGTGCTCGCATTGATACAGATTCCAGAATGTGCTTCCCTGGTGCTCACTCCCATAACTGTGAAGAGAGTGGAAAATATCATGGGAATGATGATGATGTAGCAACAGGCGCTGGTGTGTGCGAACGTACCAATACTAAGTTACAAAATGCTATATGCTACGCCATAGATGGAGATCAAATAAATGTTTTAAATATACTCGCACAAAAAATGGAAGATCCTTGGGTACTTAATATAAATAATATTTTCCTATCAGATTATTTTTAAATATGTTTGCTTTAGATACCATTTCGAGCAAAAAAACCGTTATTACATTTGGCTTGTGAGCGAGGTGCATGGAACTGTGTTCAACAATTAGTTATCACGCGTTCAGAAGAAATAAATCTTATAAAAGACGAATATTATCCTATTCATCAGGCTGTTATGCATGACGGACGATTTTTGGAATTACTTATACAACATGGTGCTGTGACTACAGTGCGTACGTGTACGCAACAAATGACATTATTGCATGTTGCCATTTTTGCTGCTCGAAAATCAGCAGAAGATACTTTAAACACTTTAAGAATACTTTTAGAACGAGGTTGCAAGGAGATGATAAATGAACCGGATTCTTTAGGTAACACTCCTTTACATGCTTTAATTATGCGTTATACTCTGGAAGAGGCTAGATATGGATATGATAAATGGAGTAAATGGGATGTCTTGCATTTAGTACGATTTTTATTGCAAAATGGTGCCAAAAGTTCAATCAATCAGGCAGGAAATAGTGCTTTAGCTTGCGTGTTTCGACATGTAAGGGATTGGGAAGTTTGTTTTGAACTGTTGAATATGTTAATTAAGGAAGATGGTGATCCTAATATTGTTGGTCGTGATGGCTCAGTGCCGTTAATGGTGTTATTGGTACCTCTAATAAACAAGGATCAGTTTCATCATTATACTCATTCGATGAAGGTAAGTTAGTACTGGAATTATTTCATACTGTTCTATTTATTAAGCGAGTTAATTAACTTATTTTTGTCGCTACAACAAAATTATTTTTATTATTAAATAATTATAAAATTACTTTCGTTTTTCATTCAATGCGAAGCATTCCATTAAAAACAGTAATTAACATGGATATGTTGAAGATACAATGTTATTGTCTAGTAATCAATACATTTATACTTATTTAATTTCGACTTCAATTTTTATATAAAACTTATATATCAAAGACTGTTCCCTTTGCTCATTGCAACATTTGTAGACCTAAAAATCGAGGAAATCACTGATTTCTCATAGGATTCATTAAAGTTCATTCATTAAAGGATATCTATTAATCCTGTAAACTAAGTAAGTTTTAAGTGTGTAACTGTATTCTTATAATAGAAAATCAAAGTTCAAAAATACGTTAACATGTTGTTGCTAAGTGCCTATTGGTAGAGTTGAACGCACCTGAATTTAATAAATTATATTAAAAAACAAAAATGCACTTTAATTTACGACCCTTTTATTATAGAATTTGATCGTCCTAAAATGATCTATATTTACGAAAAATAGGAATAAATTCGTCTTTCTTTATTTGTGTTTGAACTATTAAAATACTTCAAACACAAATGGTTTCCAACCATGTAAAGTTTAATGTAAAAAAGCTTAAACCACAAATGAATTTGCATACTTTTGTAATACTTTTAAAATAAGAAAATTGTAGATTTTCCTTTATTTATTATGTCTAAACTTCCATAAAGAATATGTCGACTTTAGATCTTTTACACGTAGATCTTTTTATCGGGTTTTTTTTTATTACATTTAGAATATAAAATAATGAATGATTTTGATGTAACTATGATATATAAATAGAAAAGTAGTTTGTAATTTTAATTGTATTTGGATTTTAATACTATTAATGTTTTATTTTATTTTATAGGTTTGCTATCTGAATTGTATACGGATCTTACTACAATACGGCGCCAATCCAAATTGTTCATATCGTGCCAATCTGACTCCTTTGCATGTTCTTATATTTACACTTAGTGAAAACTTTACGCTTAATTGTGACGCTCAAAAACGAACAAACTTTGATTTTATAAAAAATATTTTACTCTTGTTGCTGCAACATGGCCTTGATTGTAACCAAACATATCAGCATATACTGCAAGCTGTCATGGACATGGTGCAAAATGTGCGTACATGCCTGGATATGCAGTGTATATATGAACTTACACTTACTCTAATACAATATGGAGCTGATCCAAACATCGTGCTCAGTGGTAAAACCACGTCTGGTAGTGCCATATTCTCAAATGAAATTGCGATGTATGGTGAAGCATTATGCACAAATAATGCGCAAGAAGATGGCACTAACGATAATGGCCGGCAAGCTTTGGGTGATAACTCATTCCGTAACTCATTTCGTACAAATTCAAGATATATACTTTTCTATTATATTATATTAATAACTAAAAAGGAGATTATACTCAATGATCCAGAACTTACATTCACTCGTATTATTCATTTATTCTTTTTGACTATGCAACATGAACCGCTATACAATTGTCTTAAATCTTTGCACAACTTTTATGTTGCTCAAGTGCCGAGCAAAAAAACGGAACAGTTAATATCTCTGATTTCATCCTTATACAGAACTTCAAGGTCCTTAAAACAACTTGCACGTATCGCTATAATACAAGCACTTGACCGTAAACTAGCACAAAATATAAATCGCTTAAATTTGCCTGGTCCCTTAAAGGAATATGTGTTAACACTCGTTTGACCTGAACAGATATACAGAACAAACAGAACAAAATAAATTTAATATATTGTATTAATTGTTGTAAGTTTACATAAACGAATAGCAAATTATATATAAATTATTTATTATAATCAAATATCTAATAGTTATTGCATCTAATTAAATGATTTATGTTTCATTTGTTAGATTCCTAAGATATTCTAAGATTTGTTTTCAAATTATCTGTAAACGTATATAAATCCTCTTGATCAGTAGTTTTTGGAGAAACAGGCAGATCGTCTATGTTGTATATTGTATGTTATGAAATGATAAGTTTAAATCTATTTTAGCTTAAAGAAAATGTCTATGTATATGTAAATATAATTAAAACTCAAAAATCAGACGTAATATTTTTGCCTAAATTTCGTAAAATATAAATTTTTCAATTTCAAGTTTGCCTTCGAATATAAAATATGCACTATACAAAATGCATTTATCCCATTAATGGTGATAGATATTACCATTTATAGCGCAATACAATTAACTAATTAACATAACAAAATACTAAGGATATTCAAAAAAAAAAAAACAAATTAAGTTATGCCAAATACCCTCTACTCACTACTTTTGACCAATAGCATATGGCATTTTATTTCTATGGCAACAAAATATTGTTTATATTTAAATAACTATAAACTAACTTTGTTTTTATATTTATTTAAATTGTTGAAAATTGAATAAAAGCAGTAAATTATTTGAAAGATGTTTTAATATTTTTTGTTTGTGAATAAACAGAAAAGTGAAAATAAAGCAAAGCTAAAATGTACACGGAAAAGCTGAGGCGCTTGCCACAGGTAAGCTCAAACCTTAAAGAATTTGACGATGAGGCATATTATTCCAATCCCCTTATGTGGTTTAAATTAAGAACTGTACATAAGCGCCGACATTTTGAATGGATTAAGCGATGTGCAGGAATTGTCAAGTTAAAAATCAGTCAAGAAGAAATAAAAATACCTGAAGTGCGTGAACGTCAGGATGAGTACTACGTTAATAAAATTCGGGTCAATGTACGCAAAATTCCTATCCCCCCTATGCTTAGAAAAACCGAAGAGAAAATGTTGAGTTATTCACCTAAACGTTTAAGAGATAAGTATCCAAAACTAGTATCTGAATACATGAAAGAAGTCAAAGAAGAATATGATAAACTTATACGTGCTTATAGTCTGAAATGCATTTTAGTGCATCCCGAATTTGAAGATGAAGATCCAGATATATTTAAAATAAATCATACCGATTTTAATTTAAAACGACTTGGCCGTACAGAAAATTATAAACAATATTTAGCAAATAGGTCAAAGTTAGAGAAAAGGCTGTTTATGTTATATAAAATTATGCGTTATCTTCTAATAACATCGGAAATAGATTTCCCACGACTATTTATTCCGTTCGAGAACGTTCGTTTCACTCAGGGCCATACGGCGCATGCAGAATATGGACTCGGTGGACGTGAAATGATCACATATAAAATGCTTCTTAAATATGTGAATGTTAATTTAGAAGCACATCAAACATACTTTCGGTACACCTGGTATCCAAAAGTAGTGCCAAATATACGAACTCATTTTCGTAAACGCCTAATACCAAAAAATTTAACGATCGTTGCATTCAATTGCATCGAAGGTTTCATAAATAAACAGTTGAATAATGTTAAGATGCGAAATTACGAGGAATTAGTTAGAATATGCTCTCATCCTCGTCTAATACCCATGTTGCAATTTTTACTGCAATGTGATGAAACTATTGGTATTGATAGCTATCCAAGCTTAGAAGCGGTGGAAGGAACTTATGAAGAAATTGTATATAATATAGCTGAGCTGGGAACAAAAATAGAAGCTCTGCAACCTTTGGTTGATACAACATATTCTAAGTTTAGTCCTGATTACTTACGAATACATACAAATGAAAATTATATTGCTGAATTTGTTAATAGATTAAAAATGATACTCCGCAAAACATACACTCCCTTGCGAGAATATATAGAGGGCTTGAGAGAAAAATATAGACCTCTTTATGATGCTGATGAACTAGCAGAACTGTATGAGTTTCTCAGTGAGCCGCGTGAATTTGACCAGTATTTTGAAAAAATTGATTATTACTACAGTTTTATTACTAAAATACGTAGTGAACCGGCGAATGATTATTTCATAATGGCAACCATCAAGAACACACCAGCAATTAAATCATTGACTAAAATAGCAAATGATCTAATTGATCTAATAACGAAAGAAGTTGTCCGGCAACATATTAAAGCAGAGGAAGATATTTGCGATGTATTTGAAGAGATTAAAGCAAGAGCACTTAAAGTACCAAAGAGTACAGAAGAGCTATTGGAAAGTACTGAGTATATGTTATATGTAAAGAAAGAATTACTTTTCGAACTAACTGACCGCATTAATCACTGTCTTAAAGTATGTACAAATGTTGCTGAGTTGGCGGAGATGTCACAGTATCATTTCGATTTGACAATTAGAACTATCACTTGGCTTAGGGATATTATTGAAATATGTGAACATAACGCTTTACAGCAAGAAAACTATAAAACAGCATTTGAAGAACATTTACAGGATGCCGTCAAAAAGCTTGAATCGGATATACTTGAATTGATACCCAAGTTAAGTGTTATAAATGATATGAACGATCCGGAAAAGTTTCGCGATAACTACATTTTATTGCAAAGTTTTATGGATCAATTAGACATCTTTGAGGACTACGTAAAATGGATAAATAAGGAAGAAAAACTTTTAAAGATTCAAAGATCAGAATACCCTATATTAGAAATTCTAAGAAACTACGTTTTCCCTTTTGCGGATTTACTGAGGTTAGTGCATTAACAAACAAAATTATATTATTATTTAGCTGAATTTAAAAGTAAACATATTATTCTATATATTAATATATTATTGTATAATGTATATTATATATATATATATAATATACATAGTATATATTGAATATTATTATATTAATTGATTTTGGGTTATCTTGATTGTCTTTTGAAGGTTATGCATAAAATGGAGACGTCATTACAATTTATGGATGGATGGTCCATTTGAGTATTTAGATCCTAAATTCGTAGAATATACATCAGATTTTTATCTAAAGGAGTTTCAAAAAAATCAAAAATTCTACCGTATTAAAATAAAACATGACAATATTGATGATCCTGTGGTCAAATTTCGGGCAAGTATTTTTATATAAAAAAATATTTGAATAATGAATGATTTTTTTAATATAATTTAGGGTCAAACAGAGGATCCTGATACAGACAAACACCCTGTACCGTTAAGGTTATGCACTAAAATGATCGCTGCTATTAAGGATTTTTCCACAGGCATTTTTGTTGTAAATAATTTATGTAATCCAGCCTTAAAGAAACGACACTGGGCTGAAATGTCTGAAATTGCTGGTTTCGATTTAACTCCAAATGCTGGAACCACGTTAGGAAAGATATTAAATTATGGACTTGACAGTAAATTAGATCAATTTGAAATTATAAGCGTCAGCGCTAATAAAGAATTACAATTGCAACAAAATCTTCATGCTATGATTAAGGAGTGGGAGACTCGTTTTTTTCCTACTGGTCCATATAAGGAGACAGGCATACAAATACTTTCCAGTCTTGATGATATACAGGCACTGCTTGACGACAATATTTTAAAAACACTAGCAATGCGAGGTTCAGCCTTTATGAAATCTTGTGAAAGTGAAGTATTGGCTTGGTATGATAAAATAATGCGGGTTAATGAAACACTTGATCAATGGGGAAAGGTTCAATCTAATTTTTTGTATTTGCTACCTATATTTTCTTCTAAAGACATTGTTGCGCAAATGCCTGAGGAGGGTCGCCTATTTCAGATTGTTGAGCAAACATTTATGAGAAATATGGGCATTGTGCTTCGACAGCCATTGGTAATGGAAACTGCACCTTTACCAGGTTTATTAGAATCTTTACAAAAGGCTGTTGAACTATTGGATGATATAACAAATGGAGTAAATAGTTATTTGGAAAAAAAACGTTTATTCTTTCCGCGTTTCTTTTTCTTATCTAATGATGAAATGTTGGAAATTTTATCTGAAACTAAGGATCCACTGCGTGTGTTACCACATCTTAGCAAATGTTTTGAGGGTATTAGTAGTTTGGAGTTTGATTCAGTTAAAAATGTTTTATCAATGATAAGTAGTGACAAAGAAAAAATTAAATTCGTTGTTGAGGTGTCTACTGCAGCAGCTGGTGGTAGTGTGGAGAAATGGTTACTGGGTGTTGAGGAGGAAATGTTAAAAGCAGTAAGATATCAAATGGAACTTTCTTATCGACATTATCCGAGAGTTAAACGCTACGATTGGGTTCTACATTGGCCGCAAATGATTGTATTATGCATATCACAAGTTTATTGGGCCGGCCAAGTTCATCACAATTTGCGAAAATCTTCGGCTAATCAAATTGTAATGATTGATTTTTTTAAAGAATTAAATCGAGACCTCAATGATATAGTTGCTCTTATAAGATCTACAACGATTACAAATTTGAATCGGATAGCTATTAAATCACTGATTGTAATAGATGTTCATGCGAAAGACGTAATTGAAGAATTAATTCGTTTAAAAATTAAAAGTGAATTTGATTTTCAATGGATGTCTCAGTTGCGTTATTACTGGGAAAATGGGGACACACTGGTTCGTATTATAAACGCAACAGTGCCATATGCAAATGAGTATCTTGGAAATTCTGATCGTTTGGTCATAACTCCATTAACTGATCGTTGTTATCGAACACTTGTTGGTGCCTATCAGTTGAATTTAAATGGAGCACCTGAGGGTCCAGCAGGTACTGGCAAAACAGAGACAACTAAAGATTTGGCAAAGGCCTTAGCAGTACAATGTAAAGTTTTTAATTGCTCAGATGGTTTAGATTATAAGGCAATGGGAAAATTTTTCAAGGGTCTAGCTTCATGCGGCGCTTGGGCGTGTTTTGATGAATTTAACAGAATTGAATTGGAAGTGTTGTCAGTTGTAGCGCAACAAATTCTACTTATTATACAAGCAGTACGTGCGAAAGTGACAAAATTTATATTTGAAAACACAGAACTAACATTAAATCCAGCCTGCTATGTATGCATTACAATGAATCCAGGCTATGCTGGACGCTCAGAGCTTCCCGACAACTTGAAAGTACTCTTTCGCTCCGTTGCTATGATGGTTCCAGATTATGCTATGATTGGCGAAATTTCACTTTATTCATATGGCTTTGTGGACGCACGTAAGTTGGCTGTTAAGATTGTGACAACATACCGCTTGTGCTCAGAACAGTTATCAAGCCAAAATCATTACGATTATGGTATGAGAGCTGTTAAAACTGTACTCTCGGCATGTGGTAATATTAAGAAGCAATTTCCAGATGAAGTTGAAGATATATTATTATTACGATCACTGCTTGATGTTAATCTTCCAAAGTTTTTGTCATTTGACATACCACTTTTTGAAGGAATTATAAGTGATATATTTCCTGGAATTACTCTACCCAGCGCTGATTATAGTCTTATTGAAACTGAATTCAAAAGAATATGTGAGGAAATGAATCTACAACCACAGGAAAGTTTTCTTATAAAAGTGATACAAACATATGAAATGATTATTGTGCGGCATGGCTTTATGTTAGTGGGAGAACCGCTTTCAGGTAAAACTAAAACTTTACAGGTATTAGGTAGAGTTTTATCGGCGTTGAAAGAAAAAGCACCTGAAGCAAGTCCTTATTTTCAATATGTGCAGATGGGAATAATGAATCCCAAGTCAATTACGATGAATCAGTTGTACGGTTCTTTTGATCCAGTTTCTTATGAATGGACAGATGGTTTAGTAGCAAAAATTTTTCGTGATTTCGCAATGACTCCAACACCGGACCGAAAATGGGTAAGCAAATTTTTTAAGATCTATAACATTATTTGTAATGAGAAGAAAACTACTAAATACGAGTATTTTATTAAAAGAAACCGAGTATTTTTAAACTTTTTCATATAAACAGTTCAGTACCTATCTATGTTTCAATATATTCTCTATATTATGTTAAGTATAATAATATTACAGGTAATATTTGACGGACCAGTTGATGCTGTTTGGATTGAAAATATGAATACAGTGTTAGACGACAACAAGAAATTGTGCCTTACATCAGGTGAAGTTATAACAATGACAAATGAAATGTCAATGGTATTCGAAGTCATGGATTTAACTCAAGCTTCTCCTGCCACTGTATCCAGGTGTGGTATGATCTATATGGAGGCGGCAACACTTGGTTGGAGAACACATGCTAAATCATGGTTTAACAAAGCCGACGAACGTTGGGCTGATGAGGAAAATATACCATATGTCATGAGTCTTTTTGAATGGCTTTTAGAGCCGGTAAAAATTGATACATTCATTTTAATTCCATATTGTTTTTTATTCATTTGTTTCAGTGTATGGAATTTGTAAGAAAGCATTGTACGCAGCATCTTAGGCCAGGTGAATATAATTGTCTAACAACAACTTTGGATATATTAGAAATGCAAATATTGGAATCTCTCGAGGAAAATCCAGAAGATTATGCAAAGTACTTATTCTTGCATTTTCAAGCAGCAATTCTATTTTCACTTACGTGGGGCATAGCTGGTATATTGGATACTTCATCAAGAAATAAATTTGATCAATTTCTAAGAGATGTAAATTTATATCATCATAATATTTTTTACTAATTAGATTAACTATAGATTTAAAATTATAGCTTTGGGGTTCAGAAAATATTCCTGAAAATATTGGAAAACTTGAAATCTCTGTTCCCATCGAAGGCTTAATAATAGATTATGTATATGTGTACAAACAAAGAGGGGCTTGGCGTCATTGGCCTGAATTGGCAAGACGTATGGACACGGAAATAACAGCAGGGGGAGTACAAGTGCCAACACAAGATACTGCTAGATATATGCATTTATTGGAAATGCACATTAAAGTAATAAACAGATTATTTGATCAATGATTTTTAATAGAAATTTGGTTTTTTTTTTAAATTAGCATGGCAAAAGGTTTCTTTTGGTTGGACCTACTGGTACGGGTAAAAGTGTTTATATACAAAACTATCTAATGAATAAATTGGATAAAGAGCTTTATGAGTCGGCATTTATGACTATGACAGTCATGATAACGGCAAATCAAACACAAGATCTTATCATTTCTAAGGTGCGATTAACATACATATGGTATTACGATTGTTCAATAATTCAGTTCTCAAGAATTGATATGTATCTTATTATAATGTATTATAGGTAATAGTGGAAATATAATTCATTATTTTTTTAAAAAAATGTACGATAGAATTTTTAATAAACTTTTCATTTTTTGAAATTTATAGTTGGTAAAGAAAAAACGCGGTATATATGGGCCACCACAAGGTCTAACAACAATTCTTTTTGTGGATGATATGAATATGCCAGTCAAGGAGGTCTATGGAGCACAACCACCGCTAGAACTAATGCGTCAATTCTTTGATTATGGTCATTTATATGACCTGAAAGACAGCTCTAAAGTATTCATAAGCAACTTGATGTTCATTAGTGCATGCGGTTTGCCAGGAGGCAGTCGTCAAGACGTTTATGCTCGATTTCTTAATCATTTTAATGTATTCTCGATAAACACATTCTCTGATGAAACCATGAACAGAATATTTGTAAATATGCTACTAAATGGGTTTCGACGTACTGGTCACAGTAATGATGTTTTCCTGGTCACCAATCAGATAGTCAATGCAACACAAGCCATCTTTAAAGCAGCTCAAAAGGATCTAAGAGCGACACCAGCTAAATGCCATTACATATTTAATTTACGCGATATTTCACGTGTGGTAACGGGGTGCTCATTGTTGAAAAAGGAATCGGTTTCTGATAAGAGGCAATTTATACGTATCTGGTATCACGAAGCATTACGTGTATTTTATGATCGCCTAGTTGATGAAAGCGATCAAATTTGGTTATTTAAGCAATTGAACGAATGCATTAAAACAAATTTTAGAGAAAAAATTGAATCCGTATTTGACATATATTGTGACAATACTGGTCCAGAACCTGTGTTTACATTAGAAGGGGCAAGCCAAATCTTTTTTGGTGTTTATTATGATGAAGATAATACTCCAGATGAGAGACGATACGAGGAGGTGCCTAGTATGGATAGTTTTTACAAAATTGCTGTCAGCAGCTTAGAGGATTACAACTCAACAAGGCGTAATAAAATGGATATAACACTATTTACATTTGCCTTGCAGCACTTGAATAGAATATGCCGCATAGTTGCCATTCAAGGCGCAAGTGCTTTGCTTATTGGTATTGGTGGTTCTGGTCGACAGTCATTGACTAAACTTGCTTCTAATATGGTACAAACCTCATTTTTTCAACCAGAGATCACAAAAAATTATGGTCCAAATGATTGGCACGACGATTTGAAAGGGATTCTAAAAGAGGCTGGTGGTTTGGATAGGCATACTATTTTTCTTATGACTGAAAATCAAATTAAAATGGAACTATTCTTACAAGATATTGATTGTTTATTAAATCAAGGTGAGGTTCCTAATATTTTCGCTATAGATGAAAAACAGGAAGTGCTGGAAATGGTGCGTCTGGCAGCACAAGGTGGCAATCGTAACATCGATATTTCACCATTGCAAGTATTTTCATTTTTTGTGAATAGGTGCAAGCAGAAACTACATATTGTGCTTTGCCTTTCTCCAATTGGCGATGCACTACGAACACGAGTGCGCTTATATCCCTCGTTAGTGAATTGTTGCACCATTGATTGGTACCAAAGTTGGCCTGAAGAGGCATTGCAAATGATTGGAAAGATCTCATTGGAAGGTGTTAATGTGCCATCGGAAGCTATGAAACAATCAATTGTAGAGACCTGTCAGTATTTCCACACTACAGCAATGCAAGTGACTGGCAAATTCTGTGAACAGACTAATCGTCACATTTACATTACTAATGCATCATTTTTGGAGTTGATTAAATCATTTGAAAGTGTGATGGGACGCAAGCAAAATCAAATAATGGAAATGAAAATGCGTTACGTCGGTGGATTAGAAACCTTGGCAAATGCAGCTGCTGCTATCTCAATAATGCAAACAGAATTAAATGCTTTAAAGCCGAAGTTGGTGCAATTGGCAGAAAATTCCCGTCGCATGATGTTGGAAATTAATCAGGAAACTTTGGCCGCGAGTGCAGCAGCAGAGCAAGTGAAAAGAGATGAAGCTGTTGCTAGTGTACAAGCGGAAGCAGCGCAAGAATTAAAAGTTGATTGTGAAAAGGACCTTGCTCAAGCGATTCCAGTATTAGAGGAGGCTATACAAGCTTTAAATACGCTTAAACCGACTGATATAACTTTGGTGAAGTCAATGAAAAATCCGCCATCTGTTATTAAATTGGTTATGGCAGCTGTGTGTGTTATAAAGGGTATAGCACCAGATCGAGTAGTTGAACAAGGCACTGGCAAAATGGTGAATGATTATTGGGGACCAAGTAAACGCTTGTTAGGCGAAATGAATTTTTTGCAAAGTTTAAAAGATTTCGATAAAGATAATATCAATCCGGAAATAATGAAGAGAATTCGAAAAGAGTTCATACCACATAAGGATTTTCGACCAGAAATTGTTGCAAAAGCTTCAAGTGCTGCTGAAGGTTTATGTAAATGGATTAGAGCAATGGATTTATATGATGATGTATACAAAGTTGTAGCGCCAAAGAAAGCAAAATTAATGGCTGCTGAAAAAGAATATGCTGAAACAATGCAATTCCTGACTGAGAAACGACAAATGGTCGCTGATTTGGAAGAGAAAGTAGCTAGATTAAACGAAGAACTAGAAAAAGCTAACGCTGAAATGAAGAAAACGCAAGATGAAGCTGAACTCTGCCAAAATAAACTATTACGTGCAGAGGCATTAATTGGTGGTTTAGGCGGAGAAAAAACTAGATGGACTAATGCTGCTGAAAATCTACAAAAAGATTATGATCATTTACCAGGTGATATATTAATATCATGCGGTATTATTGCTTATTTGGCGGCAGTGAATTTTCAGTACAGAAGTGTGTGTGTAGATGATTGGTATAATAAATGTGTAAAGGCTAAGATACCATTGTCCAAGGAATATAGTATAATAAATGTATTAGGTCTTGACATAGCTATACAAAACTGGAATCTCAATGGATTGCCAAATGACGCATTTTCAACAGAAAATGCTATTATACAAGACAACTCAAGTCGCTTTAGTTTGTTTATAGACCCGCAATCACAAGCAAACAACTGGATAAAAAATATGGAAAGAAAGAATCGGCTCAGTTGCGTAAAATTTAATCAAAGTAATTACATGAAAATATTGGCAGAAGCGATGGAGTTCGGAGCACCAGTATTAATAGAGAGCATATTGGAGGAACTTGAAGTACCTCTAGATCCTATATTATTTCGTAAAACATTTCGACAAGGAGGACAAACGCTAATTAGCTTGGGTGACAATGTTGTGCCTTTCTCGTCTCATTTTCGTTTATATTTAACATGTTCTCTCAGAAATCCGCACTTTCTACCAGAAACATTTAATAAAGTAACTATAATAAATTTTGCTCTAACACAAAGCGCACTAGAGGATCAACTACTAAGTATAGTTGTAGCAAAAGAACGTCCAGATTTACAAGAATTGCGTCTGTCACTTACTACTGAATCGGCACAAAATAAGGCTGCACTAAAAGATGCTGAAAACATGATTCTTAAAACTCTAAGCTCATCTGAAGGTGACATTTTGGAAAATGAGAAAGCAATTCAAATTTTAAATGAATCAAAAAATCTGTCTATTGATATTGTAAAAAAGCAAGCGGCATCAAAGGAAACGGAAGTGAAAATTGAAGCTTTTCGCTTAAACTACAAGCCAGTTGCTGTTCATTCGTCAATACTGTACTACTCCATAACTGATTTGCCAAATATTGATCCCATGTATCAATTTTCTCTTAACTGGTATATAAATCTGTACATGTATTCCATTGAAACTGCGAACAAATCAAAAGATTTACCCAGACGAATAAAGTTTCTGGTAGATGGTATCACTAAAAACTTATATAATAATGTTTGTCGATCGATTTTCGAGAAAGATAAACTTTTGTTTTCCTTCATTTTGACTTCGCGTATACTCTTAGGTTCCAATCAACTAAAAATGCGGCAATTATCACATCTTGTGACAGGTGCTAAAGAATCTACTGGTGGAGCACCAAATCCAGATCCAAGTTGGATTACCGATATTATGTGGTTAAGCATTTTGCATTTAGAAGAACTATCTGAATTGAGAGGGTTTGTTAATTCTTTTAAACAGAATATGCAGGCTTGGAAGCGAATATACGATCATAGTGAACCGGATCAACAAGAGCTGCCAGCTCCATGGCAAAATAAAGTAACTGGTTTTGAGAAAATTATAATATTAAAAGCTTTTCGGCCGGACAAAGTATTTCTTGCCATACGTTCTTTTATAGCAAAAGAAATGGGTGCACAATATGTCACGCCGCCTGATTTTGATATAGCCAAATCGTATGCAGATTCGAATGCGTTGTCGCCACTAATTTTTATATTATCTCCAGGAGCTGATCCAATGGGTTCTCTTTTAGCTTTTTCTGAGAAAATGGGATATGAAGAATCATTTCAAAGTATATCATTAGGACAGGGACAAGGTCCAATCGCATGTAAAATGATAAAAGATGCTCAAGAGCTAGGATTTTGGGTATGTTTACAAAATTGTCATTTAGCGGCTTCGTTTATGCCAATACTTGAATATTCATGGGAGAATATGGATACATTTAATACACAGCGTAAGTAGAGAAAGAAAAAAGACAGATAGATATATGTTATGAAATATATTTTTGTATTTTTTACAGCAAATTTTCGCCTATGGTTAACAAGCTATCCAACCCCACAATTCCCTGTAGCAATACTTCAAAATGGTGTTAAGATGACAAATGAACCTCCAACAGGCTTAAAAGAAAATATTATGCGGTCATATAATTCTGAACCTATTAATGATACAACTTTCTATACAGGTAGGTACAATTCACTGATTTTCTTTCAACGTTGATTTCGTTAACATCACAAATAATTCATTTGGCAGGTTGTGCTAAACAAGACCGCGCATTTACTCGTCTTCTATTCGGTATATGCTTCTTTCACGCTGTCGTGCAAGAAAGACGAAAATATGGTCCTATGGGTTGGAATATATCATATGGTTTTAATGAGTCTGATCTACAAATATCAGTGCTCCAATTAAATGTACGCCAACTTGTTGTTACAATTCTATTAATTAAATTAAAACCAATTCTTTTTAGATGTTATTGAATCAATACGAACATGTTCCTTACGATGCTCTTTCCTATCTCACAGCTGAATGTAATTATGGTGGCCGAGTCACGGATGCATGGGACCGACGTGCTATTGTGACAATATTAGCAGATTTTGTTAATCCACTTGTTGTAGCTGATATGCGATATAGATTTGCTGAAGATGATAGTTATATTTTACCTAGAAAATCAGAACATAGGGAAGTTTTGAGATATATTGATGAGAATATCCCATCACTAGCGCCACCAGAAGTATTTGGATTACATAGCAATGCAGGCATAACAAGAGACTTGCAAACAACAAAAACCTTACTTGATTCAACTATAGCAATTCTTGGAAGTGAAGTGACAACAACTGCAGGTGCTGGACAAAGTGCTGATCAGATGATATTAAATACAATTGCAGGTATTATACAAAACATGCCGAAGGATATGGATGTCGATGGAGCGAAAGTGAAATATCCTGTAGAATACAGTGAATCAATGAATACCGTTCTTGTACAAGAAATGGAAAGATTTTTAAAACTACAAAAAGAAATTCGCTCCTCTTGTCGCGAACTAGAAAAAGCGATTGATGGCATAATTGTGCTGACACCCGAATTTGAAAATATTATAAATGCTATTAAATTAAATAGAATACCAACTAAATGGATGGGAAAATCATATCCAAGTTTGAAAACGCTTGGATCTTACTGCAAAGATTTATTCAAACGCTTAGTTTGGCTGGATCATTGGTAGGTTGGCCATAAAAAACATTAACATAATAATAATTATTCACCATTATCATTTTGATAGGTACAAGACAGGAAAGCCACCTACATATTGGTTATCAGGGTTCTTCTTTACTCAAGCATTTTTAACAGGTGCTATGCAGAATTTTGCCAGAAAATACAAGATTCCTATTGATACCTTAACTTTCGATTTTGAAGTTTTAAGCGTTGACAGGTATAAAAATAATAATAAAAATTACCAAAAAAACAATGTTTAAATAGTACCTAAAACTTGTAGTATAAAGGAACCGCCTACTGACGGAGTCTTTGTCAATGGACTATTCATAGAAGGTGCTCGTTGGAATTGGAATCAAAATCATGTAGATGAGCAAATTCCAAAAGTATTGATTAGCAGTATACCTGCAATTTACTTAAAGGTACTTTAACTTTAAATATAAAGAAAGCACACTAATAATTATTATTTTTAACTGTGTAGCCTGTTGAAATCGTCCGTCTCGTTGAAGGCACTCGATATAAGTGTCCAGTTTACAAAACAGCCGAACGTAAGGGCGTTCTATCAACCACAGGACACTCCACAAATTATGTTATTCCTGTTTTATTAAATACCAAAAAGAAGGCGTCTCATTGGGTAAAACGTAGTACTGCTCTCATTTGTCAAACAACTGACTAGTGAGACTAGTGAATAACAAATAATAAGTAACAAATAATTATATATTTTGTATTTTTATTGTATTTTTGTATTTGTATTTGTAAATTTTATGTTTGATAAAAATAAATTCATAACAATTGTTTAATTTCGATAATAACGCGCACAACAATCAATGTATTTAAAAGTATGTAGTTATGTATATGTTTCAAATTAGTAGCGACTAAAGAAAACTAAATTAATTACAAACGTATATAACTGCAAGTTTAAGTTTATTGAGGGTGACAGGCCAAAAGTGGCACATTGTCCTCGCTATCACTGTCGCTGGAAGATGTTGCATAACCCGCTTCTGGGCTCGAATTGTTGCTCGAGCGTGTAGAATGGCGTAAAAACTGCCGAAAGAGATATTGAAATCGCCGTTCATCGACACCATCAGATATAACATTGCGTTTTATATTGCGACTAATATGCTTTTTAGCAGAAGTCAAATCAGGAGGATACTGCATTTAAAAGAAATATAATTTATATTTCGAGAAGGTATAAATAGAGTAAATTTAGTACTTACGGTAGAATTACTTGGTGTCCATATCTTGATATTGCTGTCTAAACCTGAAGTAGCAAGAACAGGAGTACATGGATGTGGTTCTAAACAATTAACCTAAATATAAAAAGAATATTATATTATTATGAACGTTTTGTAATAAAAATATTTTTACTTACCACACCCAAGTCATCACCAGGACACACATTTAATATAGCTTCCGTTTGCTTATCCCAGAAATAAATATTACCACAATCACTTCCGCTTATAATATATTCAGAATTTGGTCCAAAAAAATTTACACCTTTTATGGTTTTATAATTGCTATTAAAAGAACAATAAACTTATTTAATTTATTTATTGTATATGTATGTATTCTAGAACTATATGTTCATCGCTTTAATATTTTTTTTTTTTGTACATTTACGTTATTTTACATTGTTTTACTTACTAATGACCCTTATAGCTGTGTAAGAATTCTCCCTCCTTATAGTCCAAGTTATTGAATAAGTATATGTAATCATCACTGTAACTGGCTAATATTTCACTACCCGTGCTATTATAGACCGCACATGTAACTTGTGACATGGTCGGCTGAGGGAAATTTTAAACAATAACTTACAATTAAAATATTTACCATACTTATTAATACTTACATCCTCTAAGTGTCTTGGGTACATTTCATATACAGTCTTATTAAAATTGCGTTTGTCGTAAACACGAACATGGCTATCACATCCACTGACACAAATTTCTGGCTTAAATGGATTATGCGAAATACTAAACAAACGTACTCTTTTCTTGTGATCAGCATCTAAAACTTTCAACATAACAGTGGCTTCACAATCGTTAGACCGTAAGTCTTTTTGACGGATATAGCCATCTTCACCAACGCTAATAATTTGATGCGAGTCATTCGGAGACAACACTAGCTTGTGGACCGAACCATTATGCTTATATTCGCAAACCGTTCTTGCTTTACCGCAACCTGGTGTAATGTAACTACGACGAACTTGTCCATCTCTGCTAGCAGATATGATTTCTGAACTGCCTGTGTGAGGTAAGAACTTGGTCTGAAAAATATTTTCTGTGTGGCCGGACTTAAATGACATTATGGGCTTATTGGCAGCCCAATTCCATAGTATAATGCGCAAGTCATCGGAACCACTGCAAAGAATATCTCCAGCAGTATTAAAATTGAGACAATTAACACAGCCATTATGTTTGCTTAGTTTATGTGATAATTCCATACGCTCAATAACATGACGAGAAGAACAAAATCTATGATTTAAATTGGTTGACATTCCATTACGAAGAGTTCGTTGACCACGGCCGTCTAGTCCGTGTTCACGTCGCATAATTTCATAAAATGAATGCCAGGCATAATTAGGCTTTGGTGCATTTAAAACTTCGTTAATTGTTTTTGTACTTTCCTCACGGGAACTTTCACTATCCGCATTAGAAAAATCATGATCAATATCTGTAGAATTGTCATCGCTTGTACGAATAATTTCAGAATCTATACTTGAAATTGTAGTCTATTTTTTAAACAAACTTGTTAGCCAAAAATATTATATTTATGCATAGTTGTGATTACCTCCTCATCAGTAACAGCAGGTAAAGCATTTGGATTTTGGAACTCTTCATTAGATTCATGTGCGTCAACTAAATCAGGGAGGTCCAAAATATTTTCCTAAACATTTAAAGTGAATAAAAGTTATTTTAAATAAACTTGAATTTTATAATATACTTCAAGATGATTCTCATTCTCCTGGCGTATTGTTTGACTTAAAGTGTTAATCATATCAATCAGGGAATGTTCTTCTGGGGATGGGAGGTTATTACCATCTGTAGATGTGGTTGGTATAGCAATTACATTTGGAACCGCGCACTCTAAAACTGTGCCAGCAGTTTCACAGACTGTATCCATTTGTGTTAAAGGGAGATCATCTGCACTTTTTTCCTTAATGTGTTTATCCTAAAACAAAAAAATTTTAAGTTAATGTATATTTAGAAAAAATTAAGAGATTTAAAATAGTAACGGGTCATTTAATAGACGTATACTAGATGTGAAAATTTCGTTTGATAGAAAAAGTAAGAAAAAGTAAGCGCGCTGCGGTAAAGCATATCTTTAAGTTATGGAAAATAAAGCACCAAAAAATAATATGAATTTTCTAATTGTTCTTAATTATATTTACCATTAACGGTTCAACTGCATCACTGTAATTTGAAGTTTCCTTTCGTGGTGATGACGAACTGGATGTAGACGATGACATATTAGAGTTACGATAGTTGCGGGACCTATAGCGCTTTTTGAAACTACTAGTCGAGGGCTCATTTTCATCATCTAATCCATCATGCGTATTTATGAAAGTACGCTTGACACCCTCTTGATTTTCCATCCCACTATCACTATGTGCTTGCATTTTTTCTACATCATCACCGTTCATTTCATTTTCAGCACATTCGGACTTTTCACTTGCTGTTGGAAGTTCTTGGTTGTGGAATTCTTGATTTGCGCATATACCACTGTCATCATTTACATTGTCACTAAAATTATGTTAATTTAATATATTATCTGAAATATTTTTATAATAAACAGTAATACTCGGACTTATTGCCAATCTCCTCAAGACTAGCACTTAAATTTTCACCAACAGAATTTACATCTTGCAAATTACGTTCGCTGGCAGATTCTATCTCACCATCCATTATCTTGATTACAATAGAATTTCTTGTTTGTATTAAATCTCTCAGCAGCCTTTCAGTAACCAATGTTTCTATCTAACAAAAAAAATTTTAAGCAATAGTTTCTAATATTTAATTAAAACACTTTACTTCAAATGATTACAAAAACTACGACATATGTGTAAATAAAGAAGACGAAAAATTATGATTGAAAAAAGTGAAAGAAATTTATCGATAACTATTTGTCACAATTTGCCGGTAAATTCAATTTTCACATCAACACGATTTTTTGTACTTAATTTTTATTTATAAGTTGTTGGAAAATGTAAAATATTCTTAACAACAAATAGCAAAAAATACATAAAAAAATAAAAAATATGTATTTTCAATATTTAAAATTTTTGAATATTATATATATAGCATTTACCCATATCTATATATGACGTTTTCTTTTATATGTGCAATTGTTTTAGAATATTTTATTAAAATAATTAATGAAGACTTTTTAGTGAATATATTAATATATGTTCTTATCATAAATTGATACTTTTATTAAAAAAATTTGTTTATTTAAAGGGTGAATTTTTGCATAAAGACTAATAAATAAATATATATATTACCTGCTTTAGTAGAAAAATCCAGCCTGTCAAATTGTACAACAATATACGCGCTTTATTTACAAAATTTTTGAGCGACAAAAACTAGTAAATATATTTGTTGCTTTCAACTTACTGATATATGGTAAAATAAACTTTAATTTTTTTTTAAATTTTTTATATAGGTAAGATGTTTAATTTTGAAATCAAAGAATATACGTTATTCAATATTTTTAATGCACAAATATAAATAAAACAGAATTTTAATTACAAAAGTGCGCGTCGAGGCAAGTTTAACTATACGTCAAAATAAATTTGTTGCTTTATTCTACAATCAATAAACACACTTCTAATGTGTGCAGATTTTATGCCATAAAATACTTTGTTCATTCTTCATTGATTATAATTAGGACCGACTTTGCCACCCTACAAGATATGTGTAGTAACAACTCATAGACACGGGAAGATAGTTCTTAAGACACAAATAATATCTTCTGAACAAAAGTCGGTAATGAACCCTTTGAACATTCAAAACTAATCATACCATATTTACAATGTAATACAAAAATATATCATTTTAAAATCGTAATTTGCATTGTATGGTTCAATAATGTATATGCCACTATTTAATTAAATTGAAATATCCTATAATTGCTTTTAACTAATATCCTTCAGAAAATAGACTTAATACTGTATTTACACTTAGAATTCTCAAATCTCATAGACGTAATTTTATATGAATTTAATACAAAAACTATAAAATGTGTTAATGATGTCCGATAATTGTAAGTGTTAACATAATATAAACCTGATTCTACACTGACTAAACTTTGACAACAATTTTGCACACACTATTTAACTAACACAAATTTTTGCTTACAGAATAAATTCAAAAACAACACATTTATACATCAAACATAAAAATCTTGAAAAGGAAGAAAATAATATTAAATAATAATAAGAAAATCCACACAAAATGTGTTAATGATGTCCAATAATTGCAAGTGTAAACATAGTATAAACCTGATTCTACACTGACTAGACTTTGGCAACAATTTTGCACACACTTTTTCATTAACACAAATTTTTGCAGAATAAATTACAAAATAATACATACATACATTTAAACCCAAAAATTTTGAAAAGGAAGAAATATATAGTAAGTGTATACACAGGGTAAAAAACTTGGAGTAAAAATTATGCTCGTGTAGTTTAATATATTTTCTTAAAATTCATAACAATAGGTCTTTTCTTTTGTAAGCATGTGTCAAAAGAACAAATAAAATAAGCATTACCGATGGCAACTCTGGACAAAATGGAGATTTTGTTCGGCTTATATGTTGTTGTTCTGATTTGAGTTAGTGCTATTGCGCACTCTCACTCTTTTATGGCTGGAGGGCTTATCCCTGCCCCACACTAAACGGACCGCAAATCAGCATATCTTTTTGTGCGTCTTGAGGTGGACTTAAGGTTTGTTATATGCTTATATATGCAAAACACGTAATAAAATTTAAAGTTGATTCGATAATGAGTAATAATTCTTTGCAATTACTGGTGAACATGTTTAATGGGAGGACCCACACACTCTGCCTTCTTCCCGCATTTATTCAAATTCGCATTTTGCCGTTTGGAGCTTCTATGTATTAAATCGTCTTGGACGTGAATAAACTGGCTGACCTATGGTAACAATAGACGCTAAACAACGACGTGTTTTCTCTTAATTTTGTTGTAGAATGTTGGAATCACCAGCTCTTTGAATTCCTGCAAAAATTGGTTCGTGTTGCTGGTGTACAGTTATGCTAGGCAGTTTTTACTCAGTTGTATTGTCGATGAGGCACTTGCATTTGATATCTGCTATGAGACCGTAGTGTTCGAGGAAGTCTGGACTAAGTATTGGTTTCTCGATTTCTGTCACCACAAACTCCCAATTGAATCTCCTGCGTAGGCCTAAGGTTATTGTCAGTAACTTATTACCGAAAGTATGAATAGTTGAACCATTTGCTGCGTAAAGAGAACGAAACCGGAAAAATAGAAAAATCTGCCCTTATGTCTACTAAAAATTTTGATCGTGTGAGAGCATCGGTTATAAAAAGTCGGTAGGATTTGTTTGGTTCAGACGCCTCGTCAACCACCGGTGACGAAGTGATTTTTGAACCGAATTTGAAATGATAACATGTTGGGTACTTTGCAATTCGAGAGATACCTAAGCGTAGGTGTAACTGCTAATCTGAACTGATCGCGACTTTTATCGGATTCCATTGCATTCAGTCTTTTGTTTACCTTCTCGACTGTTGCAATCAATGAGCTAAGGTGGAATGGTGTGCTGCACACTGAATTGTTTATTCTTGCTCGCACTGCCGAAACTGTATGATTGTTGCCCATCTCAAGTATCAAATCAGCCTGCTGTGCTCAGCCTGCTAGCCACTTATCTAGGTCGACAGCTGCGATTGAGACTACAGCTCGGACAGCTTCAGATAACCGATCGAGCCACAATTGTTTTATAGCGCAGTCTTTCATTTCACCGCTAGCCAAATAGTGACTGATCTTGCACCAAGCGTCACAGCTTCCGGTTTTATGAATCGGCATAATCCTGGATCAGATGTTTTTTTATTGCTTCATATTTTCCATATAGTGAAGGATTTCTGTTATGTTTTTAATGTAACGCTGTCAAGGCTACAAACCACATGATCGTATTTTCTTTGATCAGTTGAGATGTTGGCGATTCTAAACTGCGCTTCCATTTGTATGAAATAGAAATCTGGATCATGCCTGATGAATGGTTGTGTTTTAATACCCAATCGGCAGATATCTCGCGAGGTTTGTTCAGGCACCGATATCAATGTTTATTCACCCTCAAACTCGTGGGTTGCTCCATCAATATTCGGCATTGTGATGACGTAATGAATATATTAACGAAAGTAATTGCGAAAGCAACTTTTATTTAAATTATTTCTTTTTATTTATTTACTCTTTTTACTTTAGTTCTTAAAAGAGTTTTTTTTTGTCGGGGTTCACCAATATGGAGATAATTCACTAAGTGAAATAAAACACAATTTTTAATATTAACTTAGATTTACTTTCATTATTACTAACTATTTACAATAATACTTTATGATGTCCGCGCACTGCTGGTCAAGTGAAGAATAAATGAATTAATTAATTTGCATCACTATTGAACACGCCTTAAGTCTAGTTTTCAAACGGTATTAAAATTGCCTTTCCCTTTGAAAGACTCGTGCACCAGAAATCTTTCGAAGAAATTGTCTCTCGAATGCTTCCAACGTCTTCTCATCACTATTGGTAATTATCCAAGTTTCTGCACCATACAGCAGGACAGGCATGATACGACACGTATAGAACGTGATTTTTGTTTGTTGAGAGAGGACTTTATTGCTCAATTGCTTACTTACCCTGAAGTTACATCTGTTAGCAAGAGTGATACTTCGTTGAATCTCTAAGCCGACGTCATTTTTGGTGTTTACGTTGATTCCCAAATAAACAAAGTCTTTCGCAACTTCGAACTTATAATTGTGAACAGTGAAGTGAGTCCCAAGACACTCAGTAGATTTATTTAATGACAGAAAGTACTTTGTTTTGTCCTCATTTACCACAATACCCATTTGTTTCGTTTTTTTTTCTAAGTTTGAAAATGCCGCAATGACGACACGGATGTTCAGGCCAATGATATCAATATCGTCGGTAACCACAAGCAGCATTACATTTTTGTAGAATATTGTGATAGTACTGTTTAAATCTCCTGCTCGAATTATTGTTTCCAACATCAGGTTAAAATATTCAGAGAGAAGGAGTTACCATGTCTGGAATCTCGTTTGGTATCAAACGACTCGGAGAGGTTCTTCCCGATTATAACGAAGCTGGCGGTCTTGTTCGAAATTATTTTACATAACCGTATAAGTTTGGCTGGAATACCAAATTAACACATAGCGGTATTTAGAGTGCTTCTAGTCGTAGTGTCAAAAGTGGCAATGAAATCAACCAAAAAGTGGTGTGTCTCAATTTGCTTTCCTTGGGTCTTTTTAGGATTACTGTGAATATCTAGTTTATCAATCAGCTAATTGGCAATTTACTTCAATCTTTCAGGCGTGACGATTATTTCATCGTCAATGATTGCAAATACGGGATCATATCGGCTTTGTCACATCAATACTACCGCCATTTAATAGATTTGAGAAGTGATCTCTCCAAATGTAAAACATGCTTTGAATATCTATCGCCAGAACAACATTTGTAGGAATTAAATCCGAATTTATAACTGACCGCAGAGTGGTTTGATATGCTGGTGCTGCTTTTTTTTCTACTAGAAACATAGAATTGTTTCTTTGTCTACAGTGATACCCAATCACTTCTTCTGCAGCGGTTTGCATAGATCGGGAGATGTGGTTCTATTACACGCATATACTGGTGTCTTCAGGTTCCTTATCCAGAAATTGGGAAAGTCGAGTAGCAAAGCCATTAGCTGTCTGTTGTGATTGAAGCTTTTTGATGTCTAGCTTTAGTTGTGCTTGTTCACATACCTTTTTGCAGCGCGAAAAGACGTGTGCGGATCTTGGCTGCAAGAAGATAATGATCCCAGTCGATATTGGCTTCTTGGATGGTATGTACATCAGGTCAGGTGACAGCCATGGTAACTTATGTATGTTAAGATACTGAAATCTGGTACTACTATCCACAATGTTTTAAGCCGCGGCGAAATTAAACAATTTTCTTCCATTATCAGAAGTTTTTGTATGAAATCTGAAATAGATACAAAGATACTTTCTTTACACACCTTTGCGTTGAAGTCTTCGTCAACGATTTTGAGGTAATGATGGGGACAGCGTTCATATGTTTGTTCAAGCTGTTCATAGAAAGTTTGTTTAGCGTCGTCATCTTTATCTTCCGTAGGCTGATGTAAAAAAGTTTTGTCTTACTACGGACTTTAGCAAGCCTTTCCTTTATATATGTGAAGGTATTCCAAATTTCACAGTCTTCGGTTTACCACAAATCCGACTTCGATTTCTGTATAAAAGCACCTTCTCTGTAAATAGTTCCAGGTGCATATTCTTAAATCGTATTCCTTATAACATTTGCTTATACCGTCAATAGTAAGCGGTTTAATTTTCCGAGGCTGATTCTTCCTTTTCATTGGAGTTGTATTTTTCTGTGGTGGGTTACAAGCCTAACGCATAACGTCATATATGAGGATGATTTCGCTGCATACATCAGTTTACTACGCACGGTTGATTGTAGCTATCCAGACGGGGTCACGTGGTGGCTATGTGTCAACTTGGAGAGAACAGTGACAAGAATTGTGCTGGTATTTACCAAGTTAAATGCAATCAGACACTTTACCTTGTGTGTTTACACCCTCCCCCATACAAGAATCGATTGGTAAAATTTTTAATCTTATGGATGCTTAACGCTATTGCAATAGTTTTTATTCAACAACAGCTGTCAAATCTCTGTGCTTTAAAATCTGGAATAAAGCAAATGAATGCATTCGCTACTGTCATTTTTACGTTATAAAACAATGCAGCAAGTATGGTACCATTTTGTTTAAATCGACGCAAATATATTGATTATATATTAGCAATTATTACAGACCATATACCTAAATGCAGCGAATAAAGCATATTTGCAGCTAACAAAGCATACTATACAAATCTTAAGTTATAATATTTAAGCCGAAACTCCTAACAAGGGATATTAACTTTAAAATATATAAAATTATGCATAGAAATATGCATTTCACATACTTAGACCCTGTGCGAGTTCGAGTAAATTTATGGTAAATTCAGGGAAATAGGTCGTAAATTATTCGGTTTAACTGCGAATGTTGGTATTTACCAGAATTTCGAGTAGGTTAAATTAGATAAAAATTAGGTAAATTAGGTATTACCATTGTGAAAATTTTATAAGATATTTAATAAAAAAAATTGAAAACTTTTAACCAAAAATAATAAATAAATAAATAAATATTTACATAAGTGCAGTGCAAAAAGTCCCTAGGAAATTTCAATTTACTTTATCTCAATTCACTCGAAATCGCACACGGCCTTAATGTTCAAGACTGAAATCTACTGTGATTTTAAGACATAATATTTTACAAAAATTTTGTTTATTGAACAAAACACTCCTCTAAATCAATACAATCCAATGATCCAATCCAACTTCAATCCAATGAAGCTGTATTAATTCGATGTAAAATATCTTACGTTATTAATAACGTAAATTTGGTTTACAGCGAAAACCCAGCAGAGTTGCAGCAGAGCTATACGCACAAGAATTGTAAAAGCATGGAAGAATTGAGTATATTTTAGATCGTGAACCAGACAAATGTCTTATTGACCATTTCATTGAACTGCCACTGTCTTATATAGGCAATGACAAAGCCCTCTTGCCTCTTCAGTACGATCAGCTGTAAGATAAAGAAACGTATTTTATGCAGCAAAACCAACAAACACTGAGAAACTTCATAAACGAAAGAGAAACTGAAAGAGCAGTAATTTCATTAAGTAACTGTAACCGCATATTGGCCATAAGGCGTACTTTATATTGGTTTTCTTTTGTGTGTCGCTTGACACAAAACCAAAACTGAAGCAGTTAGTTGTTGGTAAGGCCTGGTCTGTGGAAGTTGGCAATTCCGTGTTGTGCGCGTTCTAGTGTGTGATTCGAGTGCTCAGTAAAATTTTTTGCAAATTGTGTTCACTTAATAAATGTACTTAGTCTGATGTACTTCTTAGTTGAAAATTAGTTGATTGTTAACATATTCAGGCTTAAAAGTAAGTTTAACTCATGTTGACAAATCAGATTTTTGCGTGAAATAATGTGAACAGTAAGATTTCTTTCAAAATAAATGAAGAGTTTATTTTTTAATGTAATTCTCGAACAAATTTTAAACTTCGGAAACAACAAAACGACGAAACGACTGCGCATGCGAACGTGAACGCGTAAAAGCTGTGTATTCAATTAAAAAAAAAATTTTGTTTCCCTAAAGAAGCGACTTGCTTCTTACTCATGCGCTTCAAAAAATTATAATTTGCATATTTTTTCCAAGTTTTTTTCCATTTAATACGTAAAAAATTTTTATTCCGGTTTCGATTTGTGAACTGATTTCTTTAAAAGTGCTTAAAACTGACTCTATTGCTTCAATATTGACTCCAACATTTGCTCTCTTAGTCTTTGACTGTTTTTTATTTTAATTAAATCTTTTCCACGACAACACGCTGCTTTAATAATAAACATGTTTATATGAATATGCTTAAAAGCGAAAACTGGAATTTAAATTAACTTACTTGCTTATAAAAAATAAAAGTAATAAAAAGCAAAAGTTATATATATACAGATTTTAAACTTACTCACAGATGTAAAATCATGTTCTCACTGCACACTCTTCTTCTTCTTCTTCTACTTGTAAAAGTGGATGATTGACATCAATTTCAGAACTAATTGAAAGCTATAATCTGTAACAATTTTTCTCTTCGGTATAAAATTAATAAAATATTTACTTTGAAAATAAAATGATTCATCTAAAGAAAGGAAGAACAAGTGTAGTTATTTTAAAAATTTTTTCATTTTTTAATACCATTTTAATATCAAAGGTATTAAGATAGAGCTTGTAATAGATTGAAAGAATTTCAATCATTCTATCAATCTACTTGTCTCCCACTTCAAAATGTCAAACGAATTCTCAACATTATTTACTAAAATAATTAAATTGGACATTAAGAATGTCCTCTTTACAAAAGCTAGGTTCATTTCTGATAAACATTTCATTTTTGTTTACATTTTTATGCTTTTTTTTAATTTAATTTTTTTTTTGTTAAAATGAAATTAAAAACTAAAACTTAAACTAAATGAAAAAATAAATGTAAATCTTAACTCATTTCGATTTTTACCTTTGTGCGCATATAATTCGATTCGAATTCGAATTCGAATTTATAATTTTTATGATAACTAAAATATCGATACATGCTAATAACAACAAACAATGCATGCGCGGTGTGTTATGCTTGGAAATTACCCACCTTAATTAAATTTATATCTATTAGGAAGTAAACTTCACTCACACAGCAAGCATTGCACAACTAAGCTCATATATTATACACATGTACCTAAATATAAACAAAGTCCACTGGTATACGAGTACAATATAAATTATTGTTGCAAATTTGTTGTTTTTGTTTTGCCGAAGAGTTTTACGAACATCGATCACTTAATAACCGCTATCGTTAAATTTAAAAAATTTCGAAGGTAGAAGGTGTCTATATAAACATGTTCATGTTAAAATTCTTATGCAAAGATTTACGCCAATCTTGCAATAATACATGTAACTATTGAACAGTACTCTCAATCGAATATGCATAGAATAAACAATAATAGAACAAAATAATATTTACCAGAACAAGAATGTTTATCGTAAAGTTTAAAAAATTTCGAAGGTAGAAGATCTCTATATAAACATATTCATGTTTAAATTCTTATGCAAAGATTTACGCCAATCTTGCAATAATCCATGTAACTATTGAACAGTACTCTCAACCGAATATGCATAGAATAAACAATAATAGAACAAAATAATATTTACCAGAACAAGAATGTTTATCGTAAAGTTTAAAAAATTTCGAAGGTAGAAGATCTCTATATAAACATATTCATGTTAAAATTCTTATGCAAAGATTTACGCCAATCTTGCAATAATTCATGTAACTATTGAACAGTACTCTCAACCGAATATGCATAGAATAAACAATAATAGAACAAAATAATATTTACCAGAACAAGAATGTTTATCGTAAAGTTTAAAAAATTTCGAAGGTAGAAGATCTCTATATAAACATATTCATGTTTAAATTCTTATGCAAAGATTTACGCCAATCTTGCAATAATCCATGTAACTATTGAACAGTACTCTCAACCGAATATGCATAGAATAAACAATAATAGAACAAAATAATATTTACCAGAACAAGAATGTTTATCGTAAAGTTTAAAAAATTTCGAAGGTAGAAGATCTCTATATAAACATATTCATGTTTAAATTCTTATACAAAGATTTACGCCAATCTTGCAATAATCCATGTAACTATTGAACAGTACTCTCAACCGAATATGCATAGAATAAACAATAATAGAACAAAATAATATTTACCAGAACAAGAATGTTTATCGTAAAGTTTAAAAAATTTCGAAGGTAGAAGATATCTATATAAACATATTCATGTTAAAATTCTTATGCAAAGATTTACGCCAATCTTGCAATAATCCATGTAACTATTGAACAGTACTCTCAACCGAATATGCATAGAATAAACAATAATAGAACAAAATAATATTTACCAGAACAAGAATGTTTATCGTAAAGTTTAAAAAATTTCGAAGGTAGAAGATCTCTATATAAACATATTCATGTTTAAATTCTTATACAAAGATTTACGCCAATCTTGCAATAATCCATGTAACTATTGAACAGTACTCTCAACCGAATATGCATAGAATAAACAATAATAGAACAAAATAATATTTACCAGAACAAGAATGTTTATCGTAAAGTTTAAAAAATTTCGAAGGTAGAAGATATCTATATAAACATATTCATGTTAAAATTCTTATGCAAAGATTTACGCCAATCTTGCAATAATCCATGTAACTATTGAACAGTACTCTCAACCGAATATGCATAGAATAAACAATAATAGAACAAAATAATATTTACCAGAACAAGAATGTTTATCGTAAAGTTTAAAAAATTTCGAAGGTAGAAGATCTCTATATAAACATTTTCATGTTAAAATTCTTATGCAAACTCTTACGAAATTTAAATATCTTTACTGGGTTCTATGTCACAAATCTGATCTATCCAACGAAAATACAATTTTGATATTTAAACCACATATTACACCTATCTAGACTATAGTATGCAGTACAATATTAGGGAAACTGCTAGTAACTTAATCACATAAGACTGAGATTAATAGTCAAAGTAGTCTTATGTGTTTTACTATTATGTAGCAAGTATTTAAACATATGCTATATGAAGATAGAAAGAAAACACAGTAAGTGTGTATATAAAATCATACCAACACCTTGGCAATTTTTAAATACGTCTGAGATAAAAAAATCTATCTACGTATATATAATTTGTCTGGATGTGATTTTCAACCTTGAATCCTTCTCTAGTTCCCTCTACCTATCCTATCCTTCTATAATGGGCTGTCCTTTGGTAGTAAGTATCTGTAAAGGAGACTCATTACTTAACACAACTCGGCAAAATAAGAAAAAAAACGCACTGTAAGTTACTGGAACTTTATGATTATATGTTTTCAGACCCAAACGTCGTTCAGTATTGTATTACAACATGTCATTATTTATGCTTGAGGGCATTTTGGTTCACAAGGCTGACACCTCAACCTAAGCCAATATATATATTTCACTTGAAAATTAACTACTTAAATCATTGATAGCTGAAAATTGCACAAGGCCATGCTTTGAGAAGACTTCTCAAGGTGCCATGGTACATTAGGACGAATGACATCCTCAGGGACCTCAAGATCGATCCGATCAAAAAATATATAAAGGATAGAGTATTACCAACACCGCGTTATCAAATCTTAAATTGGTTACAGGCGACGAGGTATGCAGATCTGAGCTCAGTTATTGTTTAGTCAGATGAAGTGATAATCAATAATCCAGTCAAGGCGTAGAGAGGGGTTATGAAGACACCTCGCAGTTTGTAGAGAGTAAAAGTGTTGAAGTGCACTGACTCAACTAGCCTAAACATACTTGTACGATTCTAATTATGAAATTTTATTATCTCTTGCATAGCAAATAATACACCATTCAATAGGGAACTTAATTGCTTTGAGTTATCGATTAATGTTTATCGATGTATGGTTTTTTTAACTAGACTTGTACGAAGTTAAATCGTTATATATATAAATATATAATATATCCCACAATATATATATATATATATATATATATATATATACATATATATATATATATAAATTCCTATATATATACAAACTATTTAAATGAATTTTCGGGATATTGTTATTAATTTCTTGACTGATAGCTTGTTGAGGGTAGAATTTTTATATGATATTCTGTATCTCGATAGTTAAGATTGAAAATAGAAACTTCAAACGATCTTTAAATAATGCTGGTTATAATTACAAAATATGATATTATACATATGTATGTATATTTTAAGTAAAAGTCGGCGTTATCTGGAAATCTTTCTTCATTTTAAATCTACAAAGTAAAATTCATAAAATTTTTTTTAATTGTTTCAATTGTTCGTCGGCGTTTAATTAATTAAGCGGTAGCAGTTTGCGTGCGTTGCCTTTCAATAAAAACTGGTGGTCATTGATCGGCGTTTGGTCAGAATTTCACCGTCACCGTTATCGTCGCTGTCAGAGAGAATGTTCATATTTTGTCTTTTAGGTGACGAATTCTATGAGTATTTTGCTATTAGTGAATTAATATATTAATTTTGTTATTACAAATTAAATACCTAATCAATTAGTCATGAAAAATCAGTAAATATCGAAATTCAAGCGAACAGCTCTATTACGTGTGTTACAAATGAATAAATATTAATTATTTATTAACTTTAATTAAATTGCTCATGTTTTCAATTATATATTCCATTCACTTTAAATTAAAATAATTTTAAATATTATATGTCAGTATTTCTCTATACTATATACTCTCTTGTCTTAAATTCTATTCTTAACTATTAAGATATACACGCAGATAAGTGCATCAGAAATAAAAACACTTCACTTCTTTTACTTCTTCTTCTCTTTTAAATTGTTCTACATATTGACAAAGTGCAATCCTACAATTCTAAGAGTAGATTTTTATTTTTTCACATATCTCTGAACTTTGCACTTGAATTTGATGTTTTATTCGCTGAATCGTCCGATTTTGCTTATTTTCATATATGTAGATGTATATGGTATGTATATATGTGTATGCATATAAGACAAAGTGCATCAGAAACAAAAGCACTACCTTTCTTATATATATTTTTTTTTGAACTGATCCACCTATTGACGAAGGACAATCTTATCTTTATCCGTTTTATGTATACTCTAATAAGATTTATTTCATTCTCTAATATCTCGTTAATCACGAATCTAGTTGTTAATCATTACTTTGGTGGAATTTTATTTTTTGAATGATAAAATATTTATAATAATAATTTATAAAGAGGTTTTCAAAAAGTAGTGAACTACAACAACAAAAATTATTTTTATATTATTATATTGGCTGACCATACACTTGTTTCGAGTGTTGCCAAATACCCGTCATCAATGGTCTTGGAAATAATTCATGTATTTGATTATTAGTAAATAATTTTTTGAGACTGCAAGCACCAGGAACTCGTATCCTGCCAAATTTAAAGCCCAGAGTCAGCGCATCTTAACCAACTATATATATATATAGTTGGTTGCTACAAAAAATAATTTATAGCAATAAAAAAATAAAATAAACAATTTCTGATCCTTAAAATATCAATATTTCATGTATTTTTTTTGGAAAAATATTAATATTACCTATCAGGTTCAAACATAGACTAAATTAATTCATTTCGTCCAATAATATTCCATAAAAATTTATTTAAAATTCATTGGATGGGTAAAACAGTCAATATAGTATATTCTATGAAAGCTAACACCTGCGATAATATAACGAACTTCAAGATGCTTGCGATTAAAATAATAAGCCATATCTTATAGTCCGAATGAATGCTAATCGGCTACAGAAAGTAATAATGAACTACCCCATTGTTATTTGAGTATAAAAATATTATAGCTGCTATGGCTACTGGAAGAAATATTTATGCTTCATCATCGTTTGTGCATACTTAATTAATACTGCAATATGTTATTTGTGAAATTCGAATTTACCAACTAATTTTAACCCTTTTATTGATATATTATATCAATGATGTGAGAAATGACTTCAGTACACATGAAATTTTATATTTATATATACACCCTTATTCAACTTGTAACATTTCAATCGAATTTCTTTGAAGGAAAACATCAACACAAACACAAATGAACTGCTGGCGATACATAAATGCAGGAAGTAGGACTATTCTTACCTGTATCGTGTTCATGACCTTAACATGTTTGGTTTCAGCTAAAACAGGTAATTACTATGTTACCAAATATTTGGTGAAAACTGAGTTATTTTGTTGGATTACAGGACCAGCACACGGAAAAGTTGTGGTTTGTTATATATCAACTTGGGCTGTGTATCGACCTAGTCACGGTGCATACTCAATTGACAATTTTGACCCTAACCTATGTACGCATGTTGTGTATGCTTTTGCTGGTTTGGATATCACACAATCCGCGATTAAGTCTTTAGGTAGTGTAAGAGATAATTTTAATTGTAATAGTTTATATTTTAATTATAAAATTTATTATTTAGATCCATGGCAGGACTTAAAAGAAGAATACGGTAAAGGTGGTTATGAGCGTTTAACTGGTTTAAAACGTATGCATCCACATCTAAAAGTGAGCTTAGCGATTGGTGGATGGAACGAGGGTTCGAAAAATTATTCAATACTAGTTGCAGATGCAATGCAACGTGGACGATTTGTTAAACAAGTAACGAGCTTTATACGAAAATATAATTTCGATGGCCTTGATTTGGATTGGGAATATCCAACACAGCGTGGAGGCAATCCAAGCGATCGTGAAAACTTTGTTAAGTTGACGAAAGAACTGCGGGAAGAATTTGATCAGTATAATTTGTTGTTAACATCTGCAATTGGCGCTGCTAAAAATGTTATTGATCAAGCTTATGATGTGCGTCAACTTTCTAGATATTTAGATTTCTTACACATAATGTGTTATGACTATCATGGCAGTTGGGATAAAAAAATTGGGTATAATGCACCACTTAAATCCTCAAGCAGTGACGTACTCAGTGTCGTAAGTCAATTATTTCCAAACTAGTTATCAACATTTTTATAAATCTTATTTAAATTACAGCAATTCACAATTGATTACTTGTTAAAATTAGGCGCACCATCGCATAAAATAGTTGTTGGTTTACCTTTTTATGGGCGTACATTTAAAACACCATTTAGTGGAAATATTAATGATGATTCCGAAGGTGTTGGCTTCCAAGGCCCATATACCCGTGAAGATGGTTTCCTCGGATACAATGAAATATGCAATATTTTAAGTAACAAAACATCTGGTTGGGTGACAGAATTCGATGTAGAAACTTCTCAAATGCTTGGTCGTTCAGAGCGAGACGTGTTCAATGGACTTGTACGTGTCGTTACATTTGATAATTCACGTTCCATTGCGAATAAGGTGAAGTTTGCTATGGGAAAAGATCTCGCTGGTCTTATGGTTTGGTCAGTTGATACGGATGATTTCATTGGTGATTGTTTACCTGAGGAAGACATATATATGGATTACGAATTTGTTAATAAAGGGTCGCCTTTGACTGTGCCAACTCGTTTAAATACTAACTATCCATTGTTGCGTACAATTAACGAAGCAATTATACTGTCTATAGAAGAAATTAAATATAAGGAACAAAATGCTGTTATACCTCATATTATAGATAACGAAATTCCACATGGAGTTTTAACAGACCGTAAAGGCGAAAGTAATAATGCAACCAAAATGAATACGATAGCAGTTCAAGTTTTGTTTTTAATATTAAATGTATTTTTAGTAGATCACCTATTATATTAAATTTTAAGTTATTAATTTAATTTAGTACATGAATTCATTATTCATTACTTTTGACAAATTGATCATTCTGATCATATATAGATCTAAATGAAACCACTTAAAAGTATTCTTCTTTGAATTCTTTAAGGATGCTTAATGATCAACATTCAGCTGCAACAAAATTAAGATAGGTAAGCTTATAATAACTATAAAAATATTATATTATTACACATATTATACATAATTTTTTTTAATTTGAAAATATTTTAAGCAATTAAAATTTAATTTGTCCCATTTTCATTAACTTTGTATCAAGAAATTAAAATAGTCTTCAAAAACTAATAAGACATTGCTAAACAAATGATATAATATTGTGTTAATTTATGTATTATAAAATTTTGAACTCAAAATTAAAATATATACTAAATACTTTAATAAGAAAACAAAATAAAGATATTTTTATAAGAATATACCTCTTGATTTTGTATAGAAGTATTGAATTTTTTCTACAAGTGCGTATGGAATTATTAATTACCTTTTTTTCTTATAAAATCTCCTTTGAAGTACAATATTTTCCAAATCCACTCAATGTTATTAGTACATTTAATATCAAATTTACGTAAATTAAGTTATGCTAAATAACACTTCTGTTGAGGCAGGCGTATCACAAGGATGAGTGCTTAGTCCAACTTTATACCACTTATGTATCACTTATGATAGCAACATTTGCAGATGATATCCTATGTCATAATTTTTTTAGTAAAGATATACAGCAAGTTAATTACAAAAGTTTATTAATTAGAGAATAATGGAAGATAATATGGATCTTCCATTTTGATAATGGAAGATGTATGTTTCAATAAAACTTATCACCCCTGCAGCGTACAAGTTAATATCATAACCATTAAAATTATGTATATCGCAAACAAAATATAATACTAAGTTATAGCTATCGACCCAAAATAGTCATGGAAAAATCAGACAGTAAGAAAAACCAGCAAATAGCTAGTCTAATATTTACATTTTAAGTAAACTTTTGTAATAAGTTATGGTAAACAAAATGATGAACTACAATAGATCATAAATAACTTGATCGAAATGAGAATCATTGTTTATGCGAGATATAAGTATATTTGAGAATTAAACTAGTTATACTGGTTTACTCTATGATACCACAGATTATAAGTTTATTATGAATTCCTAGTAATATAATGATATATGTAATAAGTTATCAAATACATGACACCTTTACCTGGCAAAGTGCAAAAACCTGCCTTCCGCATTATTCATATACACTCTGGTCATCGTAAGAGAATGACAAATACTTATCACATGCGATACCAACTATTATACAAAATATTGGTGGCAATACTAATGCTGTTAAAAAAAAACACTTTTTGTTTTATAATAATTTTTATTATTATACATTTTTCTATTTTGAGCAATAGTTCTATTAAAAATTAAAATAATTCTTATCGAGTCCAAAGTTAGCATAAATGTCTTATCATTTAACAGTTTAAAAAGTTATTACAATTCTTCTATTTATATAAAGCAGGCTATAAGTTTACAACATCATATACAACAAAAATGTGAATTAAATAACTAATTTATAATTAATTTAATTTATTATTTATACTATATATTTAACTGAACAATTCAGAGCTATGTGGGTCTTCACATTTAATATGGTTAATATGGTTGGTTTCGTTCTTCAACGACTAATATGATTAGTTAAAATTACTTATTTGTATATAGATAAATAGCTATATATGAATGTATATAAATGCATTTTATGTATATTTAATTTAATATAACTAACATATTTGTAAATATAGTCTATATATATTGATATATATTTTTAAATACTGATATATCATAAATACTACTATATTTTCCTAAATTCTAGAATATTTGCCACATCAACAAGAAATATGTTCGGCACGTAAATATATATATATATATTTATATATACATATAAATATATATATATATGTATATATATATATATGACTCATTTTTTATACATATATATATCCATATAAGGATTGCTAATATCATAAATACAATTTTCTTTCTATTTAATAGGTAATAATACACAGCATATCATAGTTTTTTGAGTATATAGAGCAGATAGTTAAAACTACAATGAGAAAGATATTCACTACTATATATATATAACATAGATAAATTTACACATAAATATTCATACCACTAAAATTGAATACAATTTGATAGACATAAAGGCTTACATATTATAAAAATGATGTACTAAATGCACAAAAATAAAGACAATTGATTATTCGTTGAAATGGAAATCAATATATAGAACTTGATATACTACACATATATGCCACGTATGATTTGGGAATTCTATATACATATATAAAATTATATAATATGTAATACATATAATTTATGTATGTAGTTAACTGAAATAAGTATAAATTTGAAAACATTATCAGTGAGACATACTTGTATCGTCTAAACATTTTTCCAAACTATATTCTGTAGAGTTTCTGTGTTCTAATAGTTTTTATAGTTCTCTTACATACGGGTATATATGCAGAAGTATTGAAACAAAATATTCAGTCCACCTTATTTATACCTGACTGCCAACAAATACATTTTATGCAAGATAAAGTGAAAAATGATATACGAAGAATAGTTGTCAGCTACCGGAAACGAAAAATCGACAAATATGGGAGAATGCATTTTTTCAAATCCTTCAAGGAATGTTATGTCAAAAAAAAAATATATAACTAATAGTATAACTTAGTTATAACACACAAAGGCATTATTTCGGTAAACCGGAAACCGCGTATAATTGGAATATAACATAACAACTCAAGGCTGAGCTTAAATTTAGAGGTCCAACAATGAGAAGTTATAAATGAACTTAAGGTTTTAAATTTAAATAATCCAATGAAATGCTTTAAGCATGTGGGTACACACGTTTTAGGAAGACCTAATGTATAGTATTAAAAATAATCAATTCATCAATCAGATTTTGTCAAAGAAGTGCTTGTAAATTTCAACAAAATGCTCTTTTTATTTTGCGATATTGAAAAATATTAGTTTAAAATATTGAAAATATTTTGTTTCGTTTTAACGAATTAAGTAACTAACACACTGCAAAAATTTCCTTAACTAAATATATCTAAGATGTCAATGACAATATCGTTCGTTACTATTTCCCATGTATTCGTGCTACTCTTCAAAAGCATAGATTTAAGTTCTATCTTTATAAAAACATCTATACATATTATGCGTTATTAAATTATGAACTAGACAAAAACTTCGTTTCACAAATGTCTTCGATTATCTCCGCTACTTTCAGACCATTCGAGTTCTGACTTATAATTTTCACTCGTGTCTAAACGCTCTCTTGACTTGGATTTGGGTTTGGATTTGTGTATAAACTCATTGTGCTTATTGTTTAAAAAATTGTTAGGGCGGGACAGTTTTTGCATTCCTGTTGTTTTGGCGAAATCACAATTGTTTTCACTGATTACCTCATAGTGTGCTTCGGGTGCTAGCATTAGTTCCTGTTGTACATTTTTTGTTGAGCGCCGATGGGCTTCCAAACTTTGCGATTCGGAGGAATAAGGAAAAGTTGCAACGAAATTAACAGGTGGTCTTACTATTTCATTTGGATCTTGGTTATTACTGTTAACATTGCTGTTATTGGTTGGAATTTGATTAGTTTGAATGAATTTATTACTGCAGGGAGTCGATGGTGATAGATCAGTAAATTCAGTCTTTGCATCTGATTCGGTTGAACACATGCTTTGTCGAGATATTTCCTTCTGCATTTTATTCAAATTTGATATATTGTTTCCACATCTCATGTTAATAGGATTATTGTCTTCATCATACATTTCATTACGTGTTTGTGGAAATGGTAAGCGACTGCGTTTTGAATTTTCTCTTTTACCGAATCGTTGTGCTAGATAATCCTCGTTTGCACTACTGCTATGACTGCAGTTGCTATGTTGGTGGTGGTGATGGTGAAGTAACATACCATGAAGATTGCGTTGATTAGTTTCATCGTAAAAGTTATCATTCTTGACTGATATATTGCAACAACTACTAACATCTGCGAAATAAACCTCAGATTCTGTTGGATCGCAATTATTGTTTATAATCGCAGTGGCACCACAATCAGCGCTTGCGCCTTGAAAAGCTGAGTTCTCAACTCCGAGCTGATGCATACTTGACTGTTGACACAAACCTCTACCACTTGCGTTGTCTTCACTGCTGCGTACTATTACTGACGTAGCTTCACTGGTACTTGGCTCTCCAGAAAGGATGTTATTGTTTCCAGAAGCATTTGGAAAGACTTGCTGTACATTAATTCTTTGTGTACTTACAGCAGTATTAGAATTATGACCTATACTTTTATGACCAGTATCGATACGTTTTTTCATTTTGCGAGTTGGAAGAGTGTTAGAAAAACGATCGCAAGCGGTGCCAATATCCTCATCGGAATGTGCATTATCATATTCCATTTTGGACTTAAAATTATTGTTACTACTATTGTCATTATTATTTTTATTTAAATTTCTCGTATTGGAGATTTGTGTAGTGCAAGGCATACTACGGTGTTCAAGAAATTGACCACGGTGATTGATGCATGGCATATGCTGTTCTGCAGGTGTTACATTGGTGTTGCACTCAGTTGGCGCATTATGACCAACACAATTATTAGGCTGTATATACTGATAGTATCCCCGACGGGCCGGACTATTGGGGTCACTGTATGGTGGTGGTGGTCCCCAAACACCATAATTTGATACAACATTGAAGGGTTGCGCATTTCGTGGAGCCACTGCTAATTCTTCTTGATTTATAACATGTTCATTGTTTTGTGCATTGTTTGAAAAACCATACTGTGAGTCCGGACTGGAAGGTGTTTGACGAAATCGAGGATTTGCATCTTGAGTGTTTCTTTGCCATGGCATACGAGGCCAACTCCAGCCAGTTGTTCGAGTACGAGAATTGGGCGGCGCATGTCCACGACAAAGCTGGCCAGCATGTACTTCATCTGTCCCTGGATTTGGGGAGTAAAAGTTACTTGCTTGTGGACCATTCCAAAAACGAGGATCAACATTTTCATCCCAAGGATAAGCGGTGGTTTGTAATGGCATTTGACGATGAGCGTGGCACTGTTCGCAACAACGGCAAACAGGATTACGTGTATTTGATGGCGCAATATTCGTTGGTGGCGCATGTTGACTAGTATAAAGAGAACGACAACGTAATTCAAGTTGTTCCCAGTACATTTTCTTTCGTTCATGACTGGAAATATAAAATTATTAGAGTTATGTACATGTTTATGAAATTTAACAACAAACCTTAATAGCTGATAAACCAGCATACAACTAAACACTGCTATTAATACGCCAGCCACAGATAGTCCAAAAATTGCTCGAAGACATGAGTAGAGCGAGCCGTGTACAACCCCACAATCTGACAACGAGTCAAACACTAAGCGAATACCTTAAGAAAAATAAATGTAAATTGATTAATTAAAAACTATATAGCATTATATATAATGCTAAAAAAAATTTAATTGTTATTTATTTATAACATAGGGCAATCTGGGTGATTGAAGTTAAAGCTCTATGTAAATTTTGTAGTTGAGTTTTTTTGCAAATAGAAGCTCTATTTCTGAGACAGTACCATCAAACATATTTTAACGCCTGTTTTAGTGCGTCTTTTAATACCACACCATAGTAGGATTTCAGCTCAGATCTTCTGTGCCGTAATTCTAGTACATACGCATCGTGTCATTAACATATAATAACATATATAATAAGAGTATATCTTAGGGAAGCACTGAGGATTTACTTAGAAGGAAAGCACTGGTTAATTGTTATTCACTCTGATGTTAGTAAAGAATTGATGATAAAATACTTCAAATATGTTATAAACAAAGAATTTTAAAAATAATAAAAACTTTTAAGAGTATTGTAATGACAAGTTATGGGCAGATAATTACTGATACCATACATCCGCGGTAACCAAAATTAAATAAGCTGCAGGGAGAAAAGAGAAAAATATACAATTGAAATCTTTTTATATAAATGCTCAAGCCTGCATAGGTTAAGTCTTTTCAAGATGGAAGTTTACTAATAAATGAACCAAGCAGATATCCTAGATATTGATTTTAAAATAAAAATCTTTCTAAATCAAGAAGGTTGACATCAAAAAAATTTGTCTTAATCTTATTAATGAGTTTTTGGAACAAAACGGCGCTATGCGTTATATGGACAGAAGAGAAACTCTACGGGCTCCAAAAATGAGCAAAGCAAACTAACTATAATGAAAACCTATTACTTCAAGTGAAATATATAAATGTTGCCCTATAAATTCGACATAATATGTAACATTTAAAATATCTTTGTCTTTGTTGCTATAACTTGAGCCCTTTTAGGTAAAAAGACTAACCACTTACCCTTATCGACACGGTCTACATCTCCACGTGAATCAATCACATCCGAATAACAAGTGCACGTACGCGTCTTTTGTGCATACTCACATTCACGCAAAGCCTATGGGATACCACGATAAACTTAATGTAAACAACGATAATCGGACATACGAGCTTACCTGCAACCTGCTCATATGAAGAACGGTAGTTGTCACTGTAACCAAGGCACAAGTAAGAGCAGATATGAGCCCACAAACTCCTGACAGTTTAATCTATAAAAATGTGTGTATATAATTAAATGTTATGAATATCATGAATATCAAGAGAACATAAGTTTATATTTACCAAGTAACTGTAACGATTTTTTCGTTTAGCTAAGCTGATTATGCACAATCCTGTTAGTATTAACTGAAATTTGATAATTTAATTAATATTTATTCTATTATTTAATTAAGAAAATTAGAAACTGTAAAACATACTAAAGCAGCTGGCACAAACGTTGGTACGGTTTCAAAGCTACCCACGGTTATTGTGTAGGAGTGCAATAAAAAATAAACTCCCAGAAATAGTAAACCTAGTAAACATGAAAATCCGCCACATATGAGACACCAAATAACGTACTTTTTCAATCCAGTGTTGCTTGGATTTACTGCAAAAATAATATGATTGCATATATTTAAAAATTATAATAGTTTATTTATGTGTATATATATATATATATATATATATATTTATATCTATAGTATCTAATAATTATATTCGTTTCAACTAACCACCCATTGAAGGCGGCGGTCCATGAGCTACTCTGTGTGGATCGTGCGATGGTACCCAAGTACAAAGAGGTGGTACACTATATTGCACAAACTGCATGACTGGATACCCATGCATTCTGCTTGCTCAATACAAATAATTAAACAAAGAAGTATGGGGCAAGGAGAGGGTAATTAACACTGCAACTATATTTACTGAAAATCACATTAAACCATTTTAAAATCCCAGAATATTTATTTATATTTTTCAAAAATTTTTTAAACTATTTTCACTATAACGGTTTAACCTCTATTTTAGTATCTACCCGAATATCTATATGCAGTATATTAAATGTCAACTATAATTCATGACATTAACGCACTTCCTACTCTTGCACACATATCCCTGAACTCAATGCTCAAGAACTCAATGCTAACGAGAGTATTGAATGCAAAAAGCTTTTCTTTGGGAAAGCTTTCCTGAATTGTTGGCATTAATCTTGATTTGCTCTTAAGAAGCTTATATGTTTCAAGAGACTACGCATGTCCCGAATTTTGAATGCTTGTACCTTTTAGATGTCGGAATGTACAGGAATATGCAGTAATACAGGGTGTTATTAAACAAAGATGTATCTATATTATTAAAAAAAGAAGAGATTTCACTATGACGATGGAAGATTATATTTTCAATATGCGGTAAATGATATTTCAAATAGACATAACTAAATGAAGGTACCACTAGAATTTATCGTGAGCAAAGTAATTTAGACGGATAGCAAGTCAACTGTTGCATTCAACAAGTGCCTACGTTCTGCCATCTAAGTATTAATTACATATGAACTACACCCAAAAACTGTCTAATTTGATCAGCGCTTACTAAAACTTACACAGGTGATTGATGCCCGGAATAGAAGATATTTAAGGATGATATTCATAGTATAAGTATTATAATACAAGCAACACACATCGTTATCAACCCATCGTTAAATCGAGAAGAAATATGAATAATTTGTAATTGAAGACAATCCCTCTTATTTAAAGAATGTATTATTTAAAGAAAGAACTGCATCAAGAGCATTAAAGACTTTAATTATTTAATTTGATTTAAAGGTCGTTCGAATCAGGACAATTTCCAGAGGACTTATAAATTCGAGATCCTAGTCGTATATCACACTCTAGATTTTTAACTAATATATTTAACATGATCCAATAAATTATACTGATATAAAATATAATAAAATTTAACCGGAATACTCGTATAAAGTACCAGTACAGCTCATAGCTGAAAAATGTCAATTTACCATTATGTTTTAGCTACTGCAAAGGAATGGAATACGTCGAAATCATGATAACTGAATATTTATATATTTCATATTCATTGTTGTTATGGATTTAATTCATTGTGTTCCTTATGGAGTATGGCTACATATACATAATTTTAGCGTAGCATTGACTTCTGCATTTGGTGCAGAAGCTAAGTCAATACGAGTATACCAAGTATAGATTCAATTAAATACAACCAATATTGTTTAATCTAATTTAAACATCTACAGCAGGGCTGTCCAAAGTACGGCCCACGGACCACATGCGGCCTGCGACATGTTTTTAATCTACTACAATTACACAAATTTTCATTTGATGTACTGGTGAAACTATTTTATTTTATTTGTATGGTATACCAAATAAATGAATTTAAATTGATAAATTTATAAAACTAAATTTATCATTATAACCGTATTTTTATTTTTGGCAAAAACAACTATGAACGTATTTATTTGTTTCTGCGACCCTCCAATCTGTACAGTGATCTACGGTGTTATTTATTTCATCGACGAGAATCATTGAAAGTATTTGGCCCCGTTGTGATACAACCCATCGATTCTAATTGCTATAACCACATAACCAATTTCCCGCACCTATAAATTGAAGTTTTGGTTATGTAAATTGGACATAAGATGATGCAATTCAATTATTTTAACTTCAAATTTTTTTTTAGAGTTATAAAAATTATTATGTATATGCAGAGAATCCTTAAACTGTTGACGCTTTGGGTCTCGAAGCTTATATTATAATAAAATTTTAAATTGTAAATGTTAATTATTTACATATTCACATATTTAAATTTTCCTTTTTTAATTGAGATTATAACAAGTTATAATAACATTTCTGAATAACTATATATATTGTTATTTTATTTCGAATTCAAGTTTATAAAATTTTAACTGTATACTTACCACTCGTATTAGACATGCTTCTTGGGCCTAAAGCTGGTCTTGGCGGTAAAGGTGGTCTCTCATTCGTTTCTCCATCTGTTATGATACTTTCATTGTAAATATCTATTTGGCTGGAATTGTAATTTGAATTGCATACTTTCCCTCGTATGACTGTGGGGTTATGATTTTCACAACATGCATCTCTGCGATTACAAATGAGATGATTCTAATAATTATAAATTTCTAATTATAAATTTATGATCTTACATCTTCTTATGCGTATACGGACAATCATGAATCTTTTTCTTCTTCAGAATTGTGCTATTGTTATCAGATTCGCTAACAGTTATCTCATCAGCGCCTATTACAGCATCAACGAGATTGGAATGTTTTTGTTTTTTTGGGACCGATGCGCTACATGTGCATTCCAAGTCACAATCACAACTTGAGTTATGTTTAGAATTCGCTAATACATTGAGCGGTTTATCCTCAGCTTGAGTGACTTGCAGTGCTTGATACGAATGGTGTAGCAGTGATGTTTCCGAGTGCGCATGCTCAGTGTCCACTCCAACGCCACTGCGCTGATGCACAACAACAGCTACTGCCATTTTATCATTACTCTGTTGCTGATCGTGCGATGTTGGTGGTTGTGACTGTTGCAGTTGTTGTTGCTCTTTTTGCATTGGGAAACTATTTTGCACCATAGGTCGTTGTTGGTGAGCATTCTGTGCTATACAGGTACAAGTGCAATGACAGCAATTGTATTTCGCAGCCTGTTGATATTGTATGTAGTGATATTGATGACCCGTATCAGTTGAACTCGCTGTGGACGCATTGTAGTTTGCAGTATCCAGAGTAGAAGTCTTAGGAACATATCCACCGATTAGAAACCTAAAATCTATTGGTTCCCTTGTTTGAGGCGGTGGGCGGCACAAATTGTTGCAAGACGCAGTGGTCTCAAGACGAGCCTGCGATTTTTGTTTATGGCGCATTTTTTAATTTTGTATTTTAAATTTTTGTACTTCTTCCATTTATAATTAAATGTATTTACAACAAATTATTCACACTCTTGTGACCTCTGAACTTGTTATTATATCATGGTTATATTTTTTCTTATCACAAATAACTTATAGATTTTTTTTCATTCTGCACGCATTTATTTATAACCATTGAACTTTAAACCGGTTTATCCAACCCTTTCAATAACAAAAATTTCAATAATAAATTTCTTGACGGATTTGGTAGCTTTTTACCTATTCACATTCATTTTCCTTAACGAATCTACAAAATCTTGTTAAAAGATTCCCAAGCTTCCCATTGCAGAGAAACATAACAAGACTCGGTTCGTTCGGTTCAAGTTAATTAAACTTTACTTATGTTGTTAAAACTATCACAGTGCAACGAAAGGAGAGCGAAGTACGGAGAACTTCACGTGAGCAAAACTCAAACACAACTGAAGATTGTCTAAACAAGATCGGACGGGATCACTTCACTCAAATAAAATTTCTTTGCTCGTTCAGTCTAAAAAAAGGAAAAACAAACTAACCACACTTGAAGATATTTATTTTGTTTTCTTAAGCAAAGCAGATACAAATACAATATATTTGTAAGTGCTTATATATATGTATTTATGTATTTCGATATGTGTGATCTTTAGACTCGAGAAGAGCAACTTGTTTTCTACACTGGAAACAATAAAATACCAATATGCATACCAGCATTGATCTTATAGTATGTGGTCATTCAGATTTGAGTATGTTAGATACCAAACTTCTAAAAGAAAGTATTTTGAATAATTATTTTTTACATCATTTATATACATAAATATCCCATATTTATAGATTCACTAAAATGTAATTCAATTAAATTACATAGAAATGAAATCAATCTACCAAACAAATGCAGACCCCACAACAAAATTTCAAACATTCCTTTTCTGATGTTACATAGCTAATGATTAGGAGCTACTCTGTGCATTTAAATACTTCACAAAATTCAATCTGATATATGTATAAACTGTACATTCTTAGACTCACATATAAAAATAATTCTCTAATGACTATAAGACGCCATCCATATAAGACATATCCACTATCAAAAAAACAGCACAATAATATTGGATTATGTTGTAGTTATAGGTAACATAGGTAAGAGTATTTGGACTGCTTCTATAAAAGACAGGAAAATAAATAACAAAACATTTTTATATGAAACATAGGAAACATCACTAGGAGTACCATGTAAGAAAAATAATGATTGATGGAAGATAAAATAAATGAATATACTAGAAAAGTAGAAAAGAAAACAAATATGTGTATGAAAATGGTGATTAAAACTAACTTAGATCCAGATTAGAGGACTTTGATAATGGAAATTGTTTAATCAATTTTACCAGGGTTATTAATAATAGAGGATCTATTTTATTAATCATTCATGTTAGTATTGAAATTTGCTCCTTTTCATCAACAATTATAAAAAGACTGTGATAATGTAGTTTCACATACGGACCTTTAAGGCATAAATAGGAGCTGATAATTTAACTAACTAGATCCAAGTTAAAGGACTCTTAAAGTTGATAAACAAGTTACTTTCCTGTCAGCATGATAAATTAAAGGTCGGTAATTTTTGTCGACTTTATCAATACAATTCAGTAATCATATTGGTATTATGTCACTGCCCACTCCGATAATAGCAATTGCATTTGTGACAAACAAACGACTAAACCGCTTGTCTTTGAATTTAACTTGCAACAATTTTGAAAGACTCGTCAAAATTACAGTCAGTACGATAGAGAGTCATTCACCCAGCTAACTTCAAACCTAATACTTTTGTATTTCAGCAAAACATGGAGAAGTTATCTCGAAGTGAATTGTGAAATCTAGATTTTGTAGGGCAATTTACACTAGCATCAGACATGTAACTAGGAAGGTTAATAATTTGGCTTTTCTTCTTTCAGATAATAACGCAAAATACAGAGGGATGAGTGGTGATATTTCGACCAGTTAGTCTCGAATAATCGTATAAACGTCGAAGTTGAACACTTGTTAGCCGTTATTATTAACTAACAACGCTAGAACTCAACCTGATCGATATATCAAATTCTCTAAAACTGATAGAATACGGTATAACAAGGAAAAACGTCGTCCTAAAATCTTTTGACTTAAATCAATGGTTTTAAGAATAGAAATATTGAGCGGTTGTGACTCTGTTGTTGTGATTCTTTTGTCATCTGTTGTGACTCTTTTAATCGCAAAGATAAAAAACGATACTTTTTAAATATGTTGAGATAGAATAAATTATTTGAATATATTCTTACAAACTGCTCTTAACACTGCTTAACACTCCTTGGCAAAACTTGTAGCTCAAATTGCCATTCTAAAAGATCAGTAAGAATTTCCTTTTGTACCACAAAACTCAAATATGTTGATCCATTATTTTTTTCGTCTTCAATAAATCCGGTTTTCAATACTTTGATTCATAAGAAAATTATAAGTTTTTGTTTTTATTTTGATTTCTTCAGGTAGAAAATAACTTAACAACCTGACATTGCATAAACACAAATTGGTTCTTTTCATGCTCGCATAAGCAGATGCGCCCGTTGAGATGCAAAAATAGGGTGCAACAGCAATCCTTACACAAATGTTTGAAGATTTTCGACTACCTGTGGACAAAGGTAAAAATCAAAACTGCCTTACAACAAATAATTAAGAACACTATTGTGTTTATTGTGTTTGCTAGGAAGAGTATGGGATTATTTAAACTCAGCAGCTGCAATATGAGATGCGAAATTTATTTCAAGGTAATTGCTTTTTTATTGGATTTACCGTATGAAACAAATTAGATAAAAAATGTATCAATTATCAAAATGTGAACTTTGGAAACATTTCCGAAGATCTTATCTCTCCATAATCTAATGTATATTATACAATAATTATAATGGTACAATTCCTGGTAAGTTTCTAAAATATTCGTCAACTCTTTTAATTATGAAGCCTTATACGATGCTAACAAGTAATTTTTATCGTACTCTATATAATGTTCATCGTTTATTTCCAATTTTACATTTAAGTCGTTATTCTGCTTCTATTTGCTTCTTCTATATGTTGCATACTGCATTTGGAATTATGATCCAGAATTTTTTAATGATATATTTTGTAGGGCTATTTTGTAATTGCACAGTTTTGAACCATAACTTGTTACGGATATTTATTTAGCCAGAATACTAGTAAAATACACTTCATCTTTTATTGCTATATAAACGTGAACCTTTAACCATATGTGTAGATCAGTCTTGTGAAGACATGTTTAGATATCTCCACATTTTGTTGATGATGTGAAACAGTTGCCAATACTACCGCCGTTATTTAATGTCACCTTGAAAGCCTTAGCCTCCAAAGCTTAAAATTCAATAAGTATCAGCTGTTTAGTCGCATTCATTTCATTTTGGCGATTTAGATTGCCAGTCCAATACTCTTTGTTTAGTTTCAATTTTTTGTACTTATTTCTAAATCTTAACTATACAAGCCTCTTGCATCTGACTTAACAGCGTCAATGGCAATTGCCCTATTTTAGATTTTACGAGTACTATGGAATATTAAATTCTGTGAGGTACTCTTAAATTCGTTGGCTGTATATATAGCCGGTTTTCTGTAATCCTTCTGGTATAACAGCTATGATAATTCTGAATAAAAAAGAACAAAAAATAAAAACTTGCCATACTCCAGATTTTTCGAGTGCTCTGTATACCAGAACTATTAACTTTCGTGTAAAACCCTTACTTCCAGGATTGTTCAAATAGCGCCATAATCGTTCAAATCGTTCTATAAATGTTACATTTTATATTAAACGATTTTTAAGCGAAGATTACTGGAAAATATTGATAAAAATTTTAATGAAATATACACAAACAAATAATATATTTTTTTTATAAATGTTTTTATTTTAACAGTTCTCTCATTTTTTGTACATTATCTTAAACAACAATTTTTATTAAAATATTTTAATTTAATTTATTTAACACAAAATGTTATATATATTTTTTTAATCGACTTATTTATTTTTCATTTAAAACTATTTTGGCAAGCAAAGGCTTTATTTAAATTTTTGGAATACAACAATTTAGAAAGGAAAAAATATCCTAGCTCAAGCAGTGTTCAAAATCAAAATCAAAATTATAAATTTAAAAATAACCATTCCAGGGGCATACAATTTTAATTCGTAATTAAATGCAATACATAGTTTATAACTGAGCAAAACTTGCAAAATACAAATGAATCTTAAATACTATTTTTAAGTTAATTTTTTTTATCTAAAATGGACGTAATCGTGACGTCTATTTGTCTTATAAAATTTTTTAACCAAATGTTTCCGTAAAATAACATAAGTTGTCAGACCCACTCAGGGTAATCTTTTAACTCATAAGTCGACTTTAAAATACTTTTAGTTTTAGTTTTTGCAGTAACAGCGCCACTCAACAGTACATAACACAAACTACTTATACATTTTTTACAAATGATCGGGAACTAGAATGCAGTTTCTTTTGTTACCTTCAGTTACGTTTAGTTTAGATTAACTATATTATTTCACAATTTTTCAAATATGCCATGTATATATCAATCGATTTCTCTTTAAGTTGTCTGGGCTGAAACCCGTATATAATCTTTAATTTTCATTCACCCTATTTCACTTATATTCTCTGTGTTTCAAGAAAATGCGATAAGACTATTAATATTTTCGAGTAGGCTTTATAGACAATAATAATGTCTAAATAAAAAATTCGGAAAATACAAATAAATGTACTTTAGATTAAAAGATTAGGTTCAAAGATATCCTTACTCTTGAAATAATTTCTTATAATTTTAAGTATACTTTCGAAGACTGACTACAGAAATGATCCTGTGAAGTATAGCAGCATTCTTATAAAAAAAATATTCTGTATTCTTATAAGAAAAAATATTCTGTATCCTTATAAGGAACCTGACTTTTATCTATTTCATATTCTTTATTTAAAATTGAGGAATATATATTTTTTCCAAAATGAGCTGACATAATTTTTTATACGGACTTAATAAAAGTATATATGTATATTACCGCATTTTAACTTTAAAAAACTCTCAGCTGTTCGGTACTAATAATGTTTTTCTGAACGAGCAAAACTTGCTCTTCGAGCAATTATAATACTTTTATTATTAAAAAGAATAAATCCAAATAACTCCACATAATTTTTTTTCTAATTAATTGATTCGTTTGCATTAATTTCATCATCATCAGCATTGTTTGTAGAAAATTTAGTCTCCAATACGTGAGTCCAATTTGCATTTAACTTAATAGTTTCCATTCCTTTACGTAATTCTTCCAACGCAGGATAATCACTAGCCAAATTCTTGCAGGAATTCAGTAATATCATAACGTTTTCCAATTGATTCGCATAAACGAGTAAGCGTTCGTTATTATCCTGTGAATTTGATTGGGGCTTCTAAAATAGGTAAAAATTCATTTCATCAGTGGTTATATTATTAACAATGTACTTATATATGCATTAATAACATATTTGGTTATTTCATAAAGTTATTTCATAAAATATCAGAAATACTTGTAATTATTGCAATTTTTATTACTCCACATCTTTTAAGATAGATATGGAGTGAGACTTATTTGTTCGACAGTGAGACTTATTTGAGAACCTTTCTTAGTGAATAATTGTACAATTTTTACTCGTAGATTATAAACTAAATGTTCAATACAAAAAAATTAAAAAGAACAATTAAAATTAAAAAGAATTAACAATCATCATAATAGATATACGAGATTGAATAAGGTGCGCACGAAACAAAGGTGCCGAAAGAAGGGCACAATTATAGAACTATGCAGTGATAGAGTCAATCAGGCATTAATCACACTAGATTAGGTGCGCACGAAACACACACCTCGAGGGGGTGAATAAGCAATTAAAAAAATATGTACCCATACCGATATAAATTCCCAAAATAATGATACTTTTATAAATATATAAATTTTTATTTATATATTTCCATAAAGTGTTTATGTACAAAATTTCATTTTTTAGGCAATAGTCTGAATGATTAGTTTGTAATGAAACAAACAGTTGAACAGAACAGAGTGATACACTTGACTAAATCTGGTATTATTATCAGACTCATCAATGATATTACAATGGATACAAGCATTTTGATCATCACCTCCAACCACTATTCAAAAATGAAAATCTCAATACTAAGAATAGGAAGTTGATAAAACACAATAATTCGACCGTCACTTCTATATGGATGTGTAGCGTTTAGTAAAGCCTCAAGCACTACTATTCGCCAGCTAGAAATTGCACAAAGGCAGGTTCTGAGAAGACTTTTAAAGGTATCAAGGTACATTAGGACGAATGATATCCTTAGGACTTCAAGATTGATCCGATCACAAAATACATAAAGGATAGAGCCCTAAAATTAGTTACGAAAACTGACAGAAGTGATAAACAATAATCTAGTGAAGGCATAGAGGAATAGAGTAAAAGTGGTCAAGTGCACTGACTTAACTAGCCTCAATATAATATTAATTATATTACATTTGGCTTAGTCATCTAAAGTTATCATTTCTATTTATTCTAATTTTTGGAATATCAATTGTTTTCATTCTTAATGTATTCTTATTTATTACTGTTAAAGATTCGAAAGAAATTAAAAAATTTACGAAAAATAAAATTGGAGTTAATTAAATTTTAATATTTTTTGAATAATTATGGCGTATTAAAGCAAGTTTTCAAGTTTGCAATAAAATTGAATTGTAAAAGTGATTAAATTTTAGATACTAGCAGTATCTAGCAAGATATACAAGATATGCGACTTACTTATGCTCTAAAAATTGTTTCCAGGACTAAAAAGGCAAATTTCTCACTCTTTTGACTGAGAAATTATTGTGTTATTTTTTTAAAATAGACAATGTCTTCAATGTCCGAACTAGTGATATGAAGGAGATATTGGTGAAACGAGATTCTAGACGTATATCCATTCTAGAATGGATATACGTCTTCTGAGGTGTGCCAAGCCGTCACTGAGTAGATAATACGGCAGTTGTCGTTGAAGGACCCGCTAACTGGTTGTCATGTCTACACATTAAACAAAACCCTGATTGTACAACAATTGTATTGGGTGCGGTAGAAGTGACACAGAACATGGGTTACTTTTATTTTTCTCTGTCGTACGTGTAGTACGATATGTATAGTTTGATTCAATTTTAATCGGACATTTAAACGTATTCTGTTTGTAAACTCAGTTCAACTTTAAATTGATGTTATAGTAATCGTTAATTTATATTTCAGTAATTCGCTAGCCAGAAGGATAGTGTAGCACAGACAACTAATATGTAGATGCCTAACATCAATCACAAATTCATGGATTTCGAATGTTCAAAACAGCACTTTTTTTAGACTAAATTCATTGTACGAGTACATAATATCATAATTTATATATCTTACATATTTACAAGATTTCATTCGTCAGTTGCTCTATATAATACTTAAATGTGTGTGTAAGTTCTTTGATTTATAGGGTACATGTGAATAACGATACGTTGTTGTAGATTGAACGACGATCGAGCGGTCAAATCGAGCGGTTGTTCTATGATGAGTTTTTTGGAGAATACGCTCTCCTCCAAATTTAGAGCGATTTGTTAACCTTTTAAGGCACTTATTTGGTGTAAAAGAATTCAACTCAAAGCAATATATTGTTTCATATAAATAATATAATATTCTTAAATCTTACTATAATACAATATTTACCAATTAATTGTTTATCGACCAAAGTTATTTGATTACCAAATATATTAAATCATCTAGTAAGAGTTCTAAATCAATTAAGTGGCAATTATTGTAAAGACGTAAACGTACAAGCATGCATGTTTATGAATAAATGTGTAACGTACATTAGCTGTGAATAGTTTTTTTAAATAATTGCATATTCTGATGTCCTTGAGTTGACCCTCAGATTGCCATAATTTTAGCACATTTAATATACCAGCAATATCATCCATCTCATTGGAACTTGTACTCATTTTATCCGGCGAGTTTAGCAATTGCACTGGCGGAAACTCTGTGCTTGGTGACAACTTTCTGTAGTTACTGCAAAGTGTACTTAGAGTGCAGATATCCTCATTCAGGCGCTAGTTTAATAGATTATATTATTTTGAATAGTAGTTTACTGCTTTGAGGAAATTCAATAAATGCTTATTTATTGGTTTTTTTGCTTGCTTTTAAATGAAAATTCTTCGATTGTATGATGATGAAAACTGTATAGTGAAGAGTGAAGTTGAAAAGATGTATGAACTGATGAAATGCATTGAGATAAAATATCGCTCATGAAGCACTTAAATGTATGAAGGCTAGTTAAGATGATGAAGTCTTGTGATTTACTGCGTAACGAAATTCTTGAGCAGTTGTACGCGTAGCTATAATTTTATTGGTTCGTAATAAATTTCAAATACAAAATAAAAATAAATATTAAGACACATATGTGTAAAATAAAGGAAAAATTTAATTTTTCTAGCATTTTATTTTTGCAATCATATTTGTATAATAAATAAAAAGTTTATGAAAACATTCAAAACATAAAATATGGTACTTAATGCGCAAATCAAAAATAATACATAAATTAGACAAAAACATAGGTATAAATGGCAAAATAATAATTTTTTAATACTTAAATATATATATTAGTTATCATTGTTAAACATAGGAAATTTATTTACGCAATAAGCATGGTGCACTTAGACCAATAAATATTATCTTCAATCTCTAATTTATTTAATTTATGTCTATTTTAAGATATACATTAATTGTTTTAATATTATTAGTCAATAAATATAATGCTGTCATGTGGTTTCATAAGCTAAAATATAATTAACATGTATTGTTCTAACATGGAAAATTTAGAAAGCCAAAAAATTTAATATACGTTCTAAAATATCAAGCAGTTTAATAAAAAAAACGCCTTTTTGATGAAAGCTTTTTAATATGAATAACAGTTATTATCCTTAAAATCTTACATCAATTTCATTCCGATGTCGCTGCATTTCGGCTTTGGTACTTGTAAGGTCATTATTTTTTAACATTAACTCCTGTGTAGCATCCATTAGTTCATCCTGTAATTTCATGTTTACATCTTCTAAGTCCTTTAATTTCTCTAACATATCTTCCTTGTTTTGTTGCAATTTATTCCTAAAAATACCAAAGAATAAAAATGATCAAATTTACATTTCATTTCTTTCTAGAATTATTTTAATTCATTCATTCAATTATTTCTAACCCCACAATCTTTATGATTATTTCGATAATGCGGTAGGTACAAAAAAAAAGGAAGGTCTTTTTGCATGAAACAAAAGAGTAGAATTGAATCTAATATATATATGGGTTTAGGAATCTTATATATTTCATATCATGTAATAGCCTAACTAATCAATATCTATATAAAGTTTGTGTGATAAGTAATTACAGTCTGTAAGTTTCAGTTTGACACACATTTCTCTCTTTTTCATTTTCCCTTACCTTAGATTTTATTTTCTTCCATTGGAATATATCCCCCTCTGAATTTAATATTAATTCACTAAAGAAAAGGTGGCAGCAATGTTCAATAGAATACAGAGAGAATACAATGGTAAGCTCTCTAATAATTACAGTAGACTCTTGGTATAACAAATGACATAAATGACATTAAATTATTCATTTTTAATATGTTCAATATTTACAAATATTTGATCGTTCGTTATTTAGAGTGTTCATTATTAAGAAGGTTCGTTTCAAATTTAATTTTGAAAAACTAAAAGATGAAGGAATATTTTTTGTCCATATACCATCCTTACTTACTGCTTATCAAATGTTATTGGCAAAAAAAACATGTCTATCGTATTGCAAAACCTCATTTGATTTCTAATATTTAAAAAATAAAGTAAAAAAATCTCATCACTACCTTAAATTACTATAAGTAAAGACAAAACCACAGACGGAAGAATCGATTTTGTGATTTCAACGACCAGTTAAAAATAGACAAATATCTCTATATAATTCGTAACTACTCAAATGAATCTTTGCACAAGAACTTTTGTGTATAAAGATCAAGTAGATTACTTGATTATTACTTATAGAAGTTAATCAGAAGTGAATAATAATTGATTTATAACACAACTAAAAATGTAAAAACTAAAAATGTGAAAAGTGTAAAAACAAAACTAACTTTCTTTAGAACCGTAACATATATCTGATCGATCTCGATAAATATTTCTTTAATATTTTCCCATTTTGCATAACAAAAATTTGATTAAAAAGCCAATTTCTTAATTTACTTACTTATCTACTATTAGTTGTTGTATGCAATTATCATTATCCATTTGTATTAAACGCAATACTTTCAATAGCTTAGTAACTAAGCTATCAACTTCAATAACTTGATCGACAACTGTTTGCACAGAACAGTACTCGACCAATGAAGGCATTTCAGCAACAGAATCATGACAGCTTATATCGTCCGAAACACAGTTGTCGTGATGACTGTAAAAATTAAAACCATTAAAAATCATTATCGTTTACGCAAATATAGTGATTTTACTCACTTTGTCGGTATTGCGATTTTTGGTACTGCCATGGCATTTATTTGCAATTCCATTTGTTGACGATTTGTAATCGCTTGAGACAGGTTTTGCAACGAATCATCACAAGTAGCGCTGTTTACATTCAACAATTCTGATGGGACTTCAATTTGTGAGATCATACCCGTGCATGATGATACCATATTATGTGAATGTGAATCGGGCATGTTAACATCCTCTAATACATTATCCATCATAAGACAGGGCTCCGTTTCAGAATCTAACATTTCTGTTGAATCAGAATCACCTAAACAGTAAACAGTAAATAGTATATTATTCTACAATAAATAATTTCAATTTGTTTACTACTTACCATCATTGCCAGCAATGTAATTTTGATTAGAATTGTTATTAGTATTACTACCTTGATTTCCCATACGTTTGACGTTACGAGCTAATAAACGTTTTCCGGAAGGTGTGGTAGCATTACGTATGGCACTAATTACAGCTGCAATAAATGATTGATTTCTTTGTGGTGACAAAGAACCATCACTACCTTGTGACAAAGGCATTTGTTGTTGAATTGATAGCGAAGCAGAGGCGTCAATTCCATTGGCATATGTTTTTATTGAAATTGTGTCGTTTTCATTCGAACCATCTATGCTATTAAGTTGGCTTTCACTTTGAAAACCAATATCCTGGGAGAAACGAATATAATATATATCTTTAATAGAATATTAAAATTATATATAAATATACAAAACGATTTACTCTCTTCTACATGCAACAGACGCGATAACACATAATTAGGTCTAAACTAAATTCTAGCATAATTTGAAACGTAATCATTACAACTTTATATAAACTATAAACTATCGATATATCAACCCACCCAAATACTTAAACGTCAGTCAGAACCATCAGTGTAGCTCTCGCTGTCCTTCAAGGGAACAACGAATATATAATTAATAAAAATAATTGTAAAATAAAATATAGACAAGTTTAATCAAATGAATCTTTTTTATCGAATAATGGCATATATAGTCATATACACATAGCCAATAAAGTCTGCGCACACCTTACGAATTTTGATATGTGATAAAGAAACATAACATAATTAAATATTTTATATTAAAATTTTTACATATATTTATTCTTTGAAATCGTAAGTTTAAATAGCAAAAGACTGAAATTGTATTCGTTTGTTCATTCTTGAGATAACGGGATAAAAGTGTCCCTGCATGTAAATATAGGCTCCATAAAGTCTGCGTACAGTTATAAAAAAGCTGATAAAATCGGTAGAAATTTTAAAAATAAGGCTAAATTTATTACTTTGTTGTTTAGCCACACTGTTTTAAAATTTCACTTAATGTGTTTGGCATGGAATTAACAGTAATTTTCGCCCATTCTGCTTGCATTGTAATCCGCAAAGCCTCTTTACTTGTTATCACATGCTGACGAATTCTTTTTTCCAATAAATCCCAAAGCTGCTCAATTGGGTTGAGCTTAGGTTATTGTGGAGGCGTTTTAAGCTGTCTTGAAACGTTGTACAAAAACCAAAGTTTAACAATCCCCGCTGTGTGTTTTGGGTCATTGTCCTGTTGGAACCAAAATGACGTGGATAAGCCCAAATTATCTGCACATTGTTTCCAATTTCTTTTTAAAATGTTTAAATAACTTTTTTCATCTTTCTAATAATTAATAATTATTGTTTAATAATTATTGTTCCTTCGTGTACACTGATTTCTCTTCCCCTTGATTCCATACTTTAAAATAGTAACTACTTAAAAATTAATTGACTATTGATCTCGCTAAATGTTCAATTCAAATGCTAAAAAATATCAAATGAGCAAAAATGAGAACAAACTGCTTAAAAATTAACGATATTATCTAAACAAACAAACTGTACGCAGATTTTATGGGGCCTATATTTACATGCAGGGACACCTTTATTCCGTTATCTCAAGAATGAACAAACGAATACAATTTTAGTCTTTTGCTATTTAAACTTAAGATTTCAAAGAATAAATATATGTAAAAATTTTAATATAAAATATTTAATTATGTTGTGTTTCTTTATCACATATCAAAATTTGTATGGTGTACGCAGACTTTATTGGCTATGTGTATATAACATTATTAGAAGTAGACGCAAATAACTAACTTTGTTTTTTAAACGATTTTTTCAAAATAAATATTAAAAATGTGATCATTTAAAGAACAACTACAGATATTTAATCATTTTTAGTATTATATTTTATTACCTCCAAATCTTGCTCCGAAATACTGTATGATGAAATCAATTGTTCCACTAAATTATCCAAACGTGTATGTAAGCCAGATAAGGACGTTGAGGCAGCAACTATTGAAGTGTTCTTTTGTTGTATGAGCTCTTTAGATTTGTTTTCTAGAGCTGAATATTTTGCCTGTAGCATTCTATTTTCTTGTCTATAACAATTTTATTTAATAAAAGTTGCATATTTAACTTAATTAATTTGATTTATTGAACTAACCTTCGTTGCTCATTTAATCTTACTAAATGTCTGCATTCGTCACGCAAAACTTTTACTTCCTCATCGCGATTGGACAGCTGTTGTTTGCAATGTTGATATTCAGATTCTATTTCTTTAAGGGCATCACACATCGTTACTTTTTCATGTTGCAAAAAGTCTTGTAGTTCATTCGACTCTTGCTCAATCTCCGCTTTTTCTTGCAATAGACACTCTTGAGTTGCTAACGAACGTTCCATTTCTAATTGTAAAGATCTGCACAATTGACGTAATTGTCCAATTTCCTGTTGACGCTCAAATAATTCGTGTCCACTCAATTGAATTTGTGATTCTAACATTAGCAAACTGTCATGTCCGCCATCATCAGATGTAGGTGTGCCCACATCATTTATAGTCTGACTACCACCAGCTATACGCGCCATTTCCAACATACCCATAACTCTCTCTGTATTCAAATGTAGTTCACGTTGCATGCTGAGTTTCTCTTCTCGTTCACGTTGTAGTTTACCACTAAGCTCTTGTTCACGCACTGTCAGTAGACGATTTTCATCACGCAAACGTTCCAATTCTCGATCACGTATATCTGTTTGAGTTTGTTGTTCTCTTTGTTCTGCAGCATCCACCGGCCTAGTATTAGAGACACCTCCTGAAAATGCTTTATCGATATCTACGCTAGTTAATGCAGTTTGCACACTCGTCTCATGATATATACGCGTTTTAGGTTGCTGCAACTTTCTCACAGATGCAATTTTGCTGGTAGCAGTTGTAGTTGGTAATGTTTTTGTGTGCGTAGGAGTATTATAAGAGTTTGCTAAATTTTTCCGTGTGGGTAAAATCACTGAAGACGTCATACGTGATTCTCTACTTATAGAACTGCTACGCGAACTGCGTCCTGTTAAATCTTCCACAGATTTTTGTTTGCGTCTACGCGGCATTGTACTATAAGGATTTATGATGTTTGTTTTTAAATCACTAACAACTGCATTTGAACGTGCTTTCATTGAAATTAGATCTGGTGCAACTGACATACCACGCTTTGTAGCTGACGATATATTTCGTGGCGTTGATGTTCCTGGCCAGCGTCCATCATCAGACGGCGTGCCTGGCGTGCGTGCACGGCTTAATGACGGTGTCCGTTGAATAACTAATCTTTGCATACTGGCAGATTGAGTTCGGCTTAATACATTTGGTAGAGAATCGGGTTTTTGGGGTTTGGCAATGCGAGTTTGTGTTCCACGAAATGGCGTAACAGAAGCGCCTTTGTTTATACTTTGTCTTTCAGCGATGCGCTCACGTGCTTGCGATGTTGCATTTTGTTGTGGACGCGAAAGTGAAGTTGTACGCTTCAAACCATTTGGTCTAGAACGTACTGGTGTCGATATTTCGGAACTTAACTGGCCAGCAGCTGGTGAGACAGTATCATTCACATCTGTTTGAAAAATAAGATTTCAGTTGTATTTGTATATAATTTAGGCATTTGTATAACTAACCTCTTTCCTTTGCGTTTTTCACTATAGGCGTACTAATGCTATGCAGACCACCAGGTTCAAACATTGCCACCTTTTTCTTGACACTATTCGATCTACGTACAATAGGTTGTGCAGTTCCTGTCAATGAAGAGCTTTCACTGCCATTTTCACTACAACATTCATAGTTAGTTGCAGTACGCATAACTGCCGCAGTGACTATACCAGTTTTCAGTTCATATAAGTCGGAACTACAACTTATCATACTAGAATCGCAAGACATATTTAGTCCATGAGAAGTCTCATCTAAACCACCATTACTGCTCGTATAACCTCCACTGTTATTACTGAGTGCACGTTGAAGTGTAACATTGGCATTAGTTGTAATATCGACTCCACTGTCACTTCCATCGCAATTTTGCAAAATGACTTCATTTATATCCAAAGCAGACATTTTGTCTCCAAGCAATTGCTCACAGATGTTGCTATCGATGCAAAGATCTCTTGAGCCATTATCATTTGAGTATGTGCCATTATCGTTATAAGAATTTCGGGACGGTGTTGATGGAACGGTATTCAGTTCTTTGCTTTGATTTATTAATATGGCTGACATTTTTTGTGTATTTGGCCGGCATTTAAAAAGTATCACTAATGCATTTTACCTATAAAAAATAATTTGATAAAACTTATTAATTCTAGTAAATAAATAAATCAAAATATATTTAGTTTATCAAAAAAAAATTATTATAACTAGCCAGTTAGCTAACATAGCAGTCAAAGGCAAATTCTCATCAAGGAGTTCAACTAACCAAATTAACTCACACATTTCATATTTCACATTTCACATTAGGAGGAACATATTAAACAATATGAACACAACAGTCATAAAAACTGAACACCCAGCCAGACTATGTGCTTCAAGACTAAAACTATTCTTAGATCTTCTAGTTTGCGTATCATTTTTTATCAACTTGTAAACAATTTAATTTTGGATGTTGGATGTAGGTTCTTCGGTAGTGCATTAGAGTAAATGCATAAGCACGGTGCATTTGCATACTGCATACTGCATGCAACTGCCTACGAGTACATCAATTTTATTTCATACACAACATACAAGTGACTGCCAGATACCCCATAAAAGAGATTGTGCTTGTTCCATGTTGATTGTTTATACAGGGTGTTGTTGAGGCTGCTTCTGAATTGAACTGAATTCTGAATTGAATTCAATTTTTAACTACAATATTAGATACCAATAAACATTAATAGACGACATACCTTCAAATTATTCCTGACTGGATATATTATATGTAAAACCAATGAAACAATAATTTCTTTACAAAATTCGGCCTTATTCATCAAAATAGTCTCCTTTAAGAGTAATACAATCATTGCAAAATATCTCGCTTGCTTTAAATGATTCATCTTTATGTAGCATATATATAATGTATATATGTTATATACAGATAGATCTTTTAACAGACATACTACTTCAAATTATTTTGATATTATTGCATATATTCATTTTTGTTAGTATAAATATGTCCACATTTATATACAATACTAAAACCTTATTGGATCGCCCTAGAACTAAATCGGTACCTTGTATAAATGGACCCGTAACAAAAAAGTATTTGAACTCAGGAAAAATGAGGAAGCGGCACGTAAAAAATATGTTCTTTTTATTTTAGTTGCTTGTATCAAAAATTTTACTGTAAAACACACATTCAAAAAATAGTTTTTATTGAAATTTACGGTGAAATTATTAAAACTGAAAATTAATAGTAATGTACTGCTGTTTGCAATTGAGAATTTAATAAGGTTAAACGAGTCTAATTGCATTAAACAAAAAAGCAAAATAATAGGTTTCTACATTGTGCAATTAGATCCTTCATGGGAAAATTATAACATAGAATTATAGCATAGTATTTACTAGCTAATAAAGATTTAATCGATTTATTCCAGGTTTATCCAAAGTCTGACCTTTACTAAATTTGAACAGATATAAATTTTTATTATACCATTTACATGCACTAAAAATGATCTTGCAGACTTAATATTGAATTTGGTCTAAACTTAAAAAAAAAAAAGAAATTAAACGTTTGTTTATCACAATAATGGATCGGTCGAGATATTTCTTAATGTAAAATTTTGATATTGGCTCTAAAATTCAGAAAATGGTTCCAAAATTCAACAACACCTAAAGATATTTAAGCAAACAATGGGACTTCAGTTTAAAGTAGTGTAATCTTTAAACTATCTTGGAAAACATAGATGAAGAACTAAGCGAACACCAATCTAAAATCTGTAAAATTCGCAACATTCTCCGAAAGTAGTTTACACAAAAAAACCTTTTCATATCCCATACGCTTCTGCTCTACGTGACTATGATCTTGTCAATACTCACATAAGAAGTTATTAGTATCTCTGACTTCTGTTCTTCTGTTGACCTGAAATATGAGAAGAGTGTGAGAAGAGTGTTACAAACTGTATGCAATAGACGCAATAGATCATTGTCTCGATGATGACACTATAATCAATTTTTTAATAACTATTTAGTTAGAATCATTAAATGATTCTATTTTCATACTACCAATTCTCATAAAATTCTGTTTCCGTTTCTGTTACAGTGAAATCACTATTAAATTGTTTTCCTTTGAAGTTTTAGTGATGTTTTACGGTAAATTCATAAAGCAAGTATCGTTGAATTCAATATTTTAATTTATCATTCAGTCAAGGCTATTTTAGTCGAATTTAGTTAGTTTTGCTAAAAGGTTGATTTTTATATCTCATGGGTAAATTTAAATCCGTGTGTTTCTTTGAACTAAATTCCTTTTTGACTATTTAGACTATTTAGTTGCTTGGGTCAGTACAATATTCTTTCCACTTAATCATCAAAAATAATTTACATTCTTATTTCAATTGCCATTTTTGCTTTATAGCTTAAACTACAATTAAAATGCATTCGCACGCATATACGCCGGCAATCATTTTTTGGAGCATAAATTTATATCTTTTATTATTCCACAGAGACACAAGTAAGTAAAATTGTAAATCTCTTTTGTGTGGTTGTGGAGGCACAAAATCACTGTCAACTGCGAACTGCCAACTGCCAACTTCCAAATGCTAGCTAAACACAGAAAGCAAAAAATTTGGAACAGGAATTATGAGGAACTGAACACGTTCGCTGCCGGTTAATAATAACTTAAGCGACTTAACATATTTGACCGATTTCTTGACAATTTTGGAAAGTATCTTTCTCAATGAAATTTGAGCTATTTGTGTTTACTTTTGTATTTATCTTTTCATTACATTACATACATTCATTACATATATTCAATGGAAATAATGAACGCTTGGAAGTATCTTTTTTAAGCATCAATGTATCATCACATCTTAACATACTGATGTGATTTTTACAATAACAATAACACAAATGTATACAGTGCAATGAGTCGTATACAATGCTCTTATTATTGTCATCGCTGTTGTCGTTTTTGTTTTTGTTTTTGTTTTTGTTGTTATCTATTCTATGCAATTTAAACCAGGTTTTAAGATATTTTTACTTAATTATTACAGTGTGTACAATTATTATGATTATTATGACTTTTGCAATTCACTTTCGTAAGATGATTGAAAGATTGCGCTGTCGCGTGACACTGCAGGGTCTGCAATTGTATTATAATTTGATTTCGTATCTCTATCTTTGAAGTCCGCAGCTGAATGTACGGTTAAAATTAAGTAGGTCATATCTGAACTACTTTTTAGTATAAATCACTTCATATGTATGAAACATGTATTGAAATTTAGAAATGTTTTAGAATAAAAATTGTATTCATTTTTTAAAATTATGTGTATAATTGATTAATCCGCAGTAAAAATAAAATTTAACTCAATTTTAAAACTATTTAAAACTTTACTCTTATACATACTGCCCATTTACAAAATTATTAACAAAAGCTTAAAGTATTAAATTTTTTCAATGAAAAATAAATAGGTCTTCAGTGACGACTGAGTCTCAGTACACCAAAGCAATTCAACTATAATAGATATATCGTACCACAACTAACCTTAAAGAACCTAACCTAAAGAACACATTTAGTAATATCGAATATAGACTGAAGTTTCCATTACAGTATCACACATTACAGTATCTTGGCGCAAAACAGAACCGGCTAATCGTAAAAAATGTAACTAGAGAATTTATTCCCTCCCAGATAGAGAAGGGGATGATTAAATTTGTTGAAATGGTAGCCGTAATGAGGATGTCCTAATTCAAAATTCGTCAGATCACAGAATCAAAACATTTTTAAAATAATTTCTAAATTTTTTATATTCTCTATTTTAAAAATTACAAAAAATATTTTTATTGGCGATCTAAAGCTCTAGACCTCACATCATTGCATACTTAACTCTATTATCTTAAATCGAAGTTTTACAAATCAAGGTTATCAGGAAACAAACTTTTGCTTAGTCTGATGAAATAATAAACATTAATCCAGTCAAGGCGTAAAGAGGGGTTTTGAAGATACCTCGAGTTAATAAAGAGTAAAAGTGCTCAAGTGCACTGGCTCAAATAGCTTCAACATAAAAAAGAAAACAAACTTATATAGAAACCCAGATAAAAAAAATAACGAATATTTACACAAAAAATTTGGAATTGCAATTATGGAAATAAACCAACGATTGTAGTTAGTGATTACTTGAACTCAGTTCAACGCATGTCATAAAAAAAATAAAGCAAATACAATATTGTTGACTTTCCAGAAATTTGCAATTCTTCTAATTAATATCTCACTTAACTCATATATATGTTTTAGATCATAAAAAATGCATAAATATATATTGTTTATTTCTCGAACATGTTTGCAAAACAATATATTTAAAAAAAAAACATGTTTTTGAGTTAACAATTATCTTTTTTCTATATTGTACTTTTAAAACATGTTCATAGTTAATGTTTTCCCTTATAATCACATTTATAAATGAAATAAACTCTTTGGAATCTATCAGTCTATACGTGATGTTCTGAATAAAGCAGTTCCGTATACATTTTCACTTAGTAACTTTTTTAGAAATAATATCAAAATTATTATTAAACCTGTGATCAATAAATTACATAGTCTGATGAATATCAAATGACTTAAATATATCTCATAAAACAATTTAATACCATGTGCGATCGGGTTTACGTTCTAAGTCTAACTGCTATACATAGCTGTAGTTGATGTTTTTACTGCCCAACTAAAAATTTAGTTAGGAGGCGTAACAATGTCTATACCGGATTAGGATACGAATTGTAATCGATTTTCTGCTTCTAATACACAACGTGTAAAATTTCCTGAAGTCGTGAATTATATATGGGAATTATACATTCGTCACTTACATTTCATACGTCAGATGCGGATCATATTATTTAATCCAAATTTGTTATCATGATCAGACTAAAAAACTTCATTTCTACCGGATAAAGGAAAATTTATGCGATTTTGATATGAGTCTGATCAGAATCAATTATGGTTTGATTTTCGAAACCAAATTAGTGATTTTCCTGAAATGCACTTGATCATAACGCCTGATTAGGGTCTGATTTTAAACACGATATATTTCAGTTTGCATCCTGATCAAATTTCGAATGTTCGCAAGAAAAAGAACCAGTAGGATT